CAACTGTTCCAAAAGGTCCATATTGTTGTGCCTTTAACAAATATTGGCAAATTATAATGTCTGCATCCATGCTGTGATGAGTTTCAGCTTCTGGTTTCAAAGGTGTAGGAGCAGACTAGGTCATTATTTCTGGTCAGCTGGCAGCCCTAGTAGTCATTAAAGGTAAAGGTACCCCTAATCATTAGGTCCAGTCATGACCGACTCTGGGGTTGCGGTGCTCATCTCACTTTATTGGCAGAGGGAGCCGGCGTACAGCTTCTGGGTCATGTGGCCAGCATGACTAAGCCGCTTCTGGTGAACCAGAGCAGTGCACGGAAACGGCGTTTACCTTCCCGCCGGAGCGGTACCTATTTATCTACTTGCACTTTGACATGCTTTCGAACTGCTTGGTTGGCAGGAGCAGGGACTGAGCAATGGGAGCTCACCCCATTGCGGGGATTCGAACCACCAACCTTCTGATCGGCAAGTCCTAGGCTCTGTGGTTTAACCCACAGCACCACCCGCGTCCCTTTCTAGTAGTCATTGCTCTTGAGTTAATTGAGTCCAGGCACTTAAAAAAAAGAGCTGAATAACTTTTAATGAAAGAGATCGAGAAGTTCCATCACTGTAGTTGGTTTAGTTTTTGACTAGGATTCCCCTTGCAGCTGCGGCCAACTCCTCCCCCTGCTTGAGGTTCCTGTGCTTTTTAATAGCTACGAAGCTCTGCCAAATTATCCTTGGTCATCCTTTACTCTGCGTTAAGTCTTGGGAAAGCACTAGAACGATAATGAACTTCAAGCACTTTTTTCAAACAGGCTGTCTCCCAGACCACTGCCTGAAGAACAGAGTGGCCTCAGGCATGCGAAAGGCAGCGGTGCCGGCTTTAAAATTAGCATGCACTGCCTCCCCAAAAACCTAAATCAATGCCCGCCTCCCTATCTGCCATTCTATTGATATTTTGAAATATTTTGTTGTCGCTTGTACAACTTGTACACAGTGAGATTACATGAGCAACACCCCACTCAGCTCTCTTAAGTCTTAATTCCTCTCGTTTACTGACACACACCTACCAAACCCGAAAGTCAGTTGTCCTGTTGTTATCTTTTCATTCAGCAGCCTAACAGCCCACAGATAGAAGCTGTTCTTTACCCTGTTGGTGCAACTAATCATGCTTCTATATCTTCTGCCTGACGGCAGGAGATCAAGAAAGTGCCGGCTAGGGTGTGAATGATCCCTGATAATTTTCCTCACTCTCCTGAGGCAATGTTCTTCCGCTGTTTTGTCCAGCGGATTCACGGCACAGCCCATAATATCTTGTGCTGTATTCACCAGCCTCTGTAGGCAATTCCTATCAGTTGATGTCAAACCAGCGTACCACACCATGATGCAGTATGAAAGGACACTTTCTATTGTGGACCGGTAGAAGGAGATCATCAAATGTTGATTGACATTTCTACTTGAAACAGAAGTATCTGATCACCGTGATGGATATTTGGATATACAGCTGGCCGGTGCTGCATCAACCCAGGCGTAGGTTTCCCCATCTCTACGCTTAACGATTTCCCACATATTCATAAATGGCCTAAACTCTGCTGAACTACAAAATGGAGGGCAGTGATGTGGAACTGGATTTGGCAAGATGTTTCCTCCAGCTCCCTCAGGTCCTGGTTGCCAGGGCTTTTGCTGCGCACGACCCTCTCCAAGCCATACCTGCCAACATTTCTCTGATGAAAACAGGGATGCTCTATTCAATACTAATTATTAAAATAATAATAAAATAATAATTTTACTGTTTAGACCCTGCCCATCTGACAGGGTTGCCCCAGCCGCTCAGGGTGGCTTCCAACATATATAAAAACATAATAAAACATTAAACAAAACTTTTCTATACAGGGCTGCCTTCAGATGTCTTCTAAAGGTTGTATAGTTACTTATCTCTTTGGCTCGGTGCATCGCATAACTCCATACCCTCCAACATTTCTCCAATGAAAATAGGGACATCCTAAGGAAAAGCGGGAGGTTCTTCGTTTCATTATGTATCATTTCCCCAAAGCCTTTAGGTTTTTTGCATGTCCACCACCAGAGTGGATTTGATTTAAATCAAATCAATTCAAATCACGATTTAAATCACTAGTCAGTAAGACTTGATTTAAATCCTTTTTTTACAGAAGGACTCATTCTTGCTGGTATAATCTTAATATTTACAATCAGATGAAGGTTTCATTTTTGGAGTAATAAATTTTCAGAGTAGTATTTACAGTTATATCAAAAATTACTGATTTGGTTATACCATTAGAAATACATAGACAGATAATTATGAAATTATTGTGAGGTTTAATAAGTTAACTGTTTATATTAGGGCAACTTTTCTGCTGTCCTTTACTGGAAGGAGAAAAATAACCATTTCCTTAATTTAAACAATTTATTTAACTAAAACAATAACATTATAGCATATGTATCCATGTTTGTTAACTGATGTGGTTAAACAATTTTTTTAAAAAACCAAAAACCTTGGACTGAGTTTTAGCACACATGAAAAACTTAAACTAAATCCTTATTTCCTGATGAATAGCCTTTGGACTATAATGTAACTTAAATAGAAAACTATATTTAGAAAGATTTTTCCTCCAAAAGCATATTATTTTAAAAATCCAATTTAAATTTTAAAAAATCCGATTTAAATAAAAATAAATAAAAAACATTGATTTTTATCCGCCCTGCCCGTCATATAAGGAAGAATGGCCCATCTATCTGCTTACATTTCCAGCATGAAGAAGGGCTCCTGAAATATGTTAGCAAAGCTACCAAGTGGACGTTGCAGAGGAGAATATTCCACAGATGGGGAGCCACACTTGAAAAGGCCCTCTCCCTACCTTCCAAGTCTTTCTCAGATGGGGATGCTGGAGAAGAGCCTCACATGAACATCTAAGGGCTCAGGTAGGTTCATGTAGGGAGAGGCATTCCAGAATGGTGTAGTTCTGTGTTTATTGACTCCTAGCAAACCTTCCACTCCTGCTTTGCTGTCTCCTCTTTGGTTTCCTCCACAGCTACCTACAGCACCTAGAGGGGAAACGCCTGGATGTGGATAGAGTTATCAAAGCCGCAGTCTAGAGCAGCAAAACAGTTATAGCTGACGGCATTATTGGCTGAGTTTTGATCTGAGCTGTGTCTAATTATCCTTTCTTTTTGGGAGAACAGCTGCTATGTTGTGTATGTATATGGCTACTTTCCCCCCTTTTCCTTTTTTTTAATATGAGACAAAATTGCCTGGAGCCAAAAGTTGGCACACTTTTTAATACACACGCTGTCGATGAAGGGGGAGGAATAATACTAAGTAGTGAGAGAGTTCCCTGAAAGCAAAATTATTCTTTCTTTTTACAAACCACAGAAAACAAGTTTCAAAGGCCTGTGGCACACTGTTCCACCCCACCCCCAGTTGTGCACTCAGGATGTGCTTATTATATAGCCTGTGTTCTTTAAAATGTTGTTGTTGTTTAGTCGTTTAGTCGTGTCCGACTCTTCGTGACCCCATGGACCAGAGCACGCCAGAGCACGTTCTTTAAAATACCATATATTATATAGGTACACTCAGGGTCACAGCCACAGCATACCGTATTTTTCCATGGATAACACTCCCCCCTTGTATAAGACGACATCTTTTGGGGGGGAGGAAATGGAGGGAGATTGCCCAGATTGTTGAGCTTTTTTGGGGGGGATTGCTCAGACTTGTTGAGCTTTTTTTGGGGGGGGGGTTGCCAGCAGCTGCCAATTGCCGCAACAGCCAATCGACAGCAGACCCTGCCACAGCCGCCAATCACCCGCCCAAACGCTGCTGACAAAATCTCCTGCTCATGGCAGCCACCAATTGCCCATCCGACCTCTGCACTATCCGTGTATAAGATGACCCACAATTTTTAGCATTTTTTTATAATTTAAAAAACCCTTGTCTTATATATGGGAAAATACAGTACATTTAACGGACATGGTTTGTCCCCCAAAGAATCCTGGGAACCTTAGCTCACCCCTCCCAGAGCTTCAGTTTTCAGCAGCCATAGCAACCTACAGTGTCTAGGATTCTTTGAGGGAGGCTGTGTGTTTTGGATGCATGGTGTGGGTATGATCTGTGGGGAAGGGCAATAGATCAGTGGTAAAGTGGATGTTTCACAAGCAATAAGTCTGAAGTTCAGTTCCTAGTACAGTGGTACCTCAGGTTAAGTACTTAATTCGTTCCGGAGGTCCGTACTTAACCTGAACCTGTTCTTAACCTGAAGCACCACTTTAGCTAATGGGGCCTCCTGCTGCTGCCGGAGCCCGATTTCTGTTCTCACCCTGAAGCAAAGTTCTTAACCTGAAGCACTATTTCTGGGTTAGCGGAGTCTGTAACCTGAAGTGTATGTAACCTGAAGCATATGTAACCTGGGGGTACCACTGTATCTCATGATGGGGTGAGGGGATCCTGTCCATAATACTGGAGATCTTCTTGAAGTCAGTGTAGACAATAGTGAGCCAGGTGGATGACTGTTCTCAGATTTCTTGATTGATTTAATTTATTTCTCACATTTATACCCCACCTTTCCCCCAAGGAGCTTAAGATGGCATGCATAATTCTCCTTCTCCCCATTTTATCCTCTGCTTCAGGTTATCCTGACGACAAGTAGTGACTGGTCCCAGAGCTTCATGGCTGTGTGGAACCCTAGTCTCCTAGGATGGAGTCTCCTGGACTCCATCAGCACCAGCTAGAATGACCAATGGTAAAGAGATTAATAATAATAATAATAATAATAGTAATAATAATTTATTTATACCCCGCCCTTCCCAGTTCAGAAAACTGGGCTCAGGGCGGTTAACAACAAATTTAAAACACTTAATTGTAGAAGCAGCATAAAATACAGTATAAAAACAAGACTAACAATAAAATTCAAAGTTCAGAAATCAATTTGGGGAAAATCCATCTAATAAGCATGATACTCACCAGGGCTAGCTGGCTGAATTAGTCCTACTTGGGCCAGTGAGGAGGCCAGGGGAGAATTAGCTGCGGGGTCCCAGAGTGGGTAATCTTCATAAAGGGGGAGGGGAGGGAAGAGAAGGGAAATAAAAGATCAGGCTGAATTCAAACTAAAGGCCAGGCGGAATAGCTCTGTCTTACAGGCCTGACAGAAGGAGGTTAAATCCTGAAGGGCCCTAGTCTCATGGGACAGAGCATTCCACCAGGTCGGAGCCATCACTGAGAAGGTCTGACTTCCTTAGGGCCTGGGACCTCTAAACTATGGTTATTAATAGATCTTAAGGTCCTCTGCGGGGCATACCAGGAGAGGCGGTCCCGTAAATACTTGGAGTCCAACATCTAGATCAGGGTTTCCCAAACTTGGGTCTCCAGCTGTTTTTGGACTAGAGTACCTATCATTCCTTACCACTGGTCCTGCTAGCCAAGGATGATGGGAGTTGTAGTCCAAAAACCACTGGAGACCCAAGTTTGGGAAACCCTGATCTAGAGGGTTGGCTCCCCTGCTTATATATTAAAGTACATTCCAACCCAACAAAACTTAAGGAGCCAGTGTGGTGTAGTGGTTAAGAGCGGTGGACTCGTAATCCACTCCGGGTTCGCGTCTCCACTCCTCCACATGCAGCTGCTGGGTGACCTTGTGCTAGTCACACTTCTATGAAGTATCACAGCCTCACTCGCCTCACAGAGACTTTGTTGTGGAGGAGGAAGGGAAAGGAGAATGTTAGCTGCTTTGAGACTCCTTCGGGTAGTGATAAAGCGGGGTATCAAATCCAAACTCTTCATAACGGTTTCTACAACTCTCTTTCTCACACACCCTTTCTGCATCTCTCCACGACGTCTGGGCTGTGCCCTGTTATAATCTTTTTAAGCCACCGGCCCATTTGATATCGGTGCACTAGATATCACTGCACACACAAAAAGCCCCCCAAAAACTCCTTATTTATGTTTAAATGGTCTCCTACGTCAACGCTGCTCCGCAGACCATCAATCCACAGAAGCTCTTAGCCGAATGAAAGGAACGGCTTCACGCTCCCAGCCACTCTCCGCTTGGAATTCTGCCAAAGGCATGATTGCAGAAACAAATCATTTTAACCTCAGCATTTTTGGTTTCAAGAAAGATCTCCAAGTGGCACAATAGTCTCCGTCTCCCTTTAACGGCAGGCACAGCTGTGGCCTCTCCACCTTAGCGCTCGTTCCCCCCATGGGAGTCTTCGAAATGCGCACAAGACAATACTAAATACGTTCACAGCACCGGTGTGGGAGCCAAAAGAGAGGCAGGCATAAATTGCCATTGGCTGCAGATGATGTCCTTTTCATCTAGTGCTCAGCTAGGATGACTTCACTGGCACTTTAATAAATTGTCAAGACCAGGGGGCTAGGGAGCAAGTGAGATAATCTTCCAGGAATCAGAGCCTCCTGCTTGGGCAATGGTTCTTCAGTGCCCCCTTTCAAGTGACAAGCACATAACCTCTTGTTTTTTACACACATATATTTCTCTCTCTCTCTCTCTCTCTCTACTATTTGGGGGTGGAGGCTATGTACACATTAGTGACTTGAAACACAGTGAGGTCATTCTCTCCCCCCCCCACCTGCTACATTTCAACTCGCATTATTACTTTGCTGTACACAGCGGAGAGAGGACAAGGGTGTCGTCACCCAGTATGAATAACTTGATTTGTTGTCCCCAGCCCAACCGCAAGACCTTCAGCTCTACTTCTCATCTGGGCACTCAGTAGAGCATGAGACTCTTAAATCTCAGAGTCGTGGGTTTGAGCCCCACATCAGGTGAAAGATTCCTGCATTGGACTAGATCAGTGTTGGCCAAACTTGGGTCTCCAGCTTTTTTGGGACTACAATTCCCATCATCCCTGTTAGCTAGGGATGATGGGAGTTGTAGTCCAAAAACAGCTGGAGACCCAAGTTTGGCCAACACTGGACTAGATGATTCCCAGCTGCTGTTGGACTACAACTCCCATCATCCCTGACCACTGGTCCTGCTAGCTAGAGATGATGGGAGTTGTTAGACTACAGCAGGGGACCCGAGTTTGGGAAACACTGGCTTAACTGCAGCTGATGTATTCAAATCGGATGGAAGCGGTTTGAGGGGAAATTTATCAGCAGTACTTCTCAAGAAGTGACAGGATGCGATGGATTGTGGCTACAGTCATGTGTAAAGGTAAAGGGACCCCTGACCATTAGGTCCAGTCGTGACCGACTCTGGGGTTGCGGCATTCATCTCACTTTACTGGCCGAGAGAGCCGGTGTCCAGCTTCCGGGTCATGTGGCCAGCATGACTAAGCCGCTTCTGGCGAACCAGAGCAGCACATGGAAACGCCGTTTACCTTCCCGCCAGAGCAGTACGTATTTATCTACTTGCACTTTGACGTGCTTTCGAACTGCTAGGTGGGCAGGAGCTGGGATGAGGCAACGGGAGCTCACTCCGTTGCGGGGCAAGGTAAAAAGGTAAAGGACCCCTGTACAGTTAGGTTCAGTCAAAGACGACTATGGGGTTGCAGTACTCATCTTACTTCAGGCCAAGGAAGACAGCGTTTGTCTACAGACAGCTTTCCGGGTCATGTGGCCAGCAGGACTAAACCGCTTCTGGTTCAATGTGGGGCACCATGACGGAAACCAGAGCGCACAGAAACGTCGCTTACCTTCTCACTGCAGCGGTACCTATTTATCTACTTGCACTGGTGTGCTTTCAAACTGCTAGGTTGGCAAGAGCTGATACAGAGCAACTGGAGCTCACCCTGTCGTGCGGATTCGAACCGCTGACCTTCCAATCAGCAAGCCCAAGAGGCTTAGCGGTTTAGACCACAGCACCAACCGAGGCTGAGCGGACCATGCGAGCATCAAGCAGGCAACTGTGTTTACTCACATCCATTGAACTGATATCTAATACAAGCAAGAATTGATAGAGCAGGGCAGCAGGGAGGGGATGTTCACAAAATGATCAGGACTTACGCTCCTTGAGGCAGAGGGGGGAAGGGATACAGGAAAGCTCTGGGCTTTCATGAACAATTTATCTTGTGCTTATAAGGGGCAAAGCAGATGTGACAGGTGATAGACCTGTGGGTCAGAATCATCTCACTGCACATTTCCATGGGGCGGGGGATAAAGGAGCTAAATGGCACCAGCACAATACGGGCTGGATCGAGAGGGTGCCAAACTTCACCCATGCTGCCTCCCCAATACTCTCTCTCTCTCTCTCTCCAGATGTTTTCTTCCTGATGGGGCTTCTCCTTCCAGGGTAATGAAGCATGCTGACATGCAATGAGAAAGTTGCACCTTTCACCTGTGGCCTTTAATTCCTGAGACACTCTAACAGTTATCGGACGGCGTACTCGGACATCCCAACACACTGTTTAAGAATTACTGGCTTTGGGATTAGGTGTTCCTGCTGAGCAGCTTATCAGTTATGTGGGCTTCAGCCTGTTGAAGGGCATTCATGTCTACTTCATAGGTAGCACTCTTTATCCACTTTGTCCTAGCACCTGAGAGTAACAGGAGCCTAGCTAATGGGTGATAATGAAGACCTAGAATCATATGTCTACAGGGATGAGAGAATATGAGAATTTCAGTTTCTCCCAGTTCCTAATTGTTCTGTCCCCTACATTTCCAGGTCAGATGGACAGCATATAAATAAAAAAATTGTTGATGATGAATAATCTCCCCAGGGAGGCTCACCTGGCGCCTTCGTTATACACCTTTAGGTACCAGGCAAAAACATTCCTCTTCAACCAGGCCTTGGGCTGATTAACATCCTATGCCATTTTAAATGTGTTTGTGGTGGTGGGTGTTACTGTTTCTGTTTCTGTTGTGCATTTTGTGTTTTTATCTTGCATTTTTATGCTGTGAACCACCCTGAGATCTTAGGATGAAGGGTGGTCTACAAATTTAATTGTTGTTGTTTAGTCGTTTAGTCGTGTCCGACTCTTCATGACCCCCTGGACCAGAGCACACCAGGCACTCCTGTCTTCCACTGCCTCCCGCAGTTTGGTCAAACTCATGCTGGTAGCTTCGAGAACACTGTCCAATCATCTCGTCCTCTGTCGTCCCCTTCTCCTTGTGCCCTCCATCTTTCCCAACATCAGGGTCTTTTCCAGAGAGTCTTCTCTTCTCATGAGGTGGCCAAAGTATTGGAGCCTCAGCTTCAGGATCTGTCCTTCCAGTGAGTGCTCAGGGCTGATTTCCTTCAGAATGGATACGTTTGATCTTCTTGCAGTCCATGGGACTCTCAAGAGTCTCCTCCAGCACCACAGTTCAAAAGCATCAATTCTTCGGCGATCAGCCTTCTTTATGGTCCAGCTCTCACTTCCATACATCACTACTGGGAAAACCATGGCTTTTACTATACGGACCTTTGTTGGCAAGGTGATGTCTCTGCTTTTTAAGATGTTGTCTAGGTTTGCCATCGCCTTTCTCCCAAGGAGCAGGCGTCTTTTAATGTCGTGACTGCTGTCACCATCTGCAGTGATCATGGAGCCCAAGAAAGTAAAATCTCTCACTGCCTCCATTTCTTCCCCTTCTATTTGCCAGTAGGTGATGGGCCCAGTGGCCATGATCTTCGTTTTTTTGATGTTGAGCTTCAGACCATATTTTGCGCTCTCCTCTTTCACCCTCATTAAAAGGTTCTTTAATTCCTCCTCGCTTTTTGCCATCAAGGTTGTGTCATCTGCATATCTGAGGTTGTTGACATTTCTTCCGGCGATCTTAATTCCGGCTTGGGATTCATCCAGCCCAGCCTTTCGCATGATGAATTCTGCATATAAGTTAAATAAGCAGGGTGACAATATACAGCCTTGCCGTACTCCTTTCCCAATTTTGAACCAATCAGTTGTTCCATATCCAGTTCTAACTGTAGCTTCTTGTCCCACATAGAGATTTCTCAGGAGACAGGTGAGGTGATCAGGCACTCCCATTTCTTTAAGAACTTGCCATAGTTTGCTGTGGTCGACACAGTCAAAGGCTTTTGCATAATCAATGAAGCAGAAGTCTTTCTGGAACTCTCTAGCTTTCTCCATAATCCAGCGCATGTTTGCAATTTGGTCTCTGGTTCCTCTGCCCCTTCGAAATCCAGCTTGCACTTCTGGGAGTTCTCGGTCCACATACTGCTTAAGCCTGCCTTGTAGAATTTTAAGCATAACCTTGCTAGCATGTGAAATGAGTGCAATTGTGCGGTAGTTGGAGCATTCTTTGGCACTTCCCTTCTTTGGGATTGGGATGTAGACTGATCTTCTCCAATCCTCTGGCCACTGCTGAGTTTTCCAAATTTGCTGGCATATTGAGTGTAGCACTTTAACAGCATCATCTTTTAAAATTTTAAATAGTTCAGCTGGAATACCATCACTTATGGAATACCATAAGTAAATGAAAATAAATAAAATGGGAGGGTAGGACTTCAGAAGGCTCCCTCTGACCTTCAGCATCCGAGGCAGTCTGCCTCAATTCCAGCTGGCAGAATTGGGAGCAGGTTATTGTACCTGTGGACTTCCCATAGGAATGTGGTTGCTCACAGTGAGAATGGAAAGCAGGCCTTTGGACTGATTCAGCAGAGCTCTTCTTAAGTTCAGGTAAATAATACTGATCTGACAGCTTTGTGTAGGATGTGGCTCGAGTATAATTACTTACCTTTTTGTTGAGGAATCTCTTATAGGCTTCCAAACCTATGAGAGACAGTGTGGTGTAGTGGTTAAGAGCGCTAGACTCGTAATCTGGTGAACCAGGTTCGCTTCCCCGCTCCTCCACATGCAGCTGCTGGGTGACCTTGGGCTAGTCACACTTCTTTGAAGTCTCTCAGCCTCACTCACCTCACAGAGTGTTTGTTGTGAGGGAGGAAGGGAAAGGAGAATGTTAGCTGCTTTGATACTCCTTAGGGTAGTGATATAGCGGGATATCAAATCCAAACTCTTCTTCTTCTTCTTCTTCCTCTTCTTCTTCTTCTTCTTCTTCTAACAACGTAATTCTGTTTTAACCCCACAAAAGCCACTGCTATCGTTTTGGTGAGCAGGCACACCAACGAGGGGACGGCGGATGATTCTTTGCGGGGTGAATTCCATCAAGGTGTGCGCACACAGGTTCTCAGCGTCGGAAATGGCCAAATCACTTGTGGTCTCCTGTGTAGCTAATAAAAGGAAGAGAAATGATTTCATCAAGAAGAGCCATTTATTTCACAGGTCTGTGGGCAAGGGGGCTGGATATTGCTTCCCCTCCATGCTTGCCCTCCACCGAGAATGTTGCTTTTGCCGTGATGAATGCTGCCACCTTTTGCGACGTTAAGAGTACGTCGTGTCCCTTCACAGCTGCTTGTCCCCTCTTCCCTAAGAAAACAAATGACAGCTCCCCTTAGTGTCATCCCCCCCCATTCCTTTCTTTAAATGACTTTTCTCTTGGAGATTTATTGCAAGAGCTTTGCGAGAGATTTGTAGCAAGCAGTGCTCAGCCTGTAGCCTTACATCCTCAGTGCCACAGCCATAATTCTCCCAGAGTGGAATGATAGAAGATCACAATGGCTAATAATGTATTATGATGATACTGTCTGCGCAAGAAAGATTGTGTTCCGTTTTCAGCAGCTCATTTGGGTCGCACGGAACTTTTCCTCACCTCGCCGAAACAAATGGCGCTTTCCTGGCTGTGCATGCAAGCCAAGTAAATTAAGCAACAGCAAATAAATTAAAATAAGGCAGCTATCCTGTCACTATCTGGCATGAGTTTGACTTTCACAAGGAGCTGCTCTGAGGAAGATGTGTGTGTGTTTATGTATATGTATATAGTTCCTGGTGCCTTAGATTCAATATGTCAGGATGATAGGCAGTGACAAATGTTTAGTGGCCTGTTCCAAATGAACCACATATAAAGATGTGTCTCTCTCCTGCTAGCTGAGGCCTTTGGAGGGGCTAAGTGAAGCCCAAATTGATGAAACAGGAACGCTGTGGAAGTAGAAGGAGACAAGTAACAGAGAGAAGCATCTCATCAGGACCAGCTAAGGGGCAGTGAAATTGTTCTAAGAGCCAGAGGAGGTGTGTTGACTTCCCAAGTCCTGCCCCTCATGTGTGACATGGAGAGCATCTTGTACATCGGCTTTAGATCCATTTCAGTCCGGTTTCCGTCCTGGTTTTGGGACCGAGACGGCTCTGGTTGCCCTAACAGACGATCTCCGTAGACAGCTGGATCGAGGCGGGTCAGGACTGGTGATCCTTTTAGATTTGTCAGCAGCCTTTGACATGGTTGATCATGATCTTCTGGACCACTGCCTCGCAGACGTGGGGATACAGCGCATAGCCCGTAACTGGCTGTGCTCTTTTATCTCTGGTCGGGGACAGAGGGTGGAGCTAGGGAGGGAAATGTCGTCGCGCCACTCCTTGGTGTGTGGAGTGCCGCAGGGCGCAATCCTCTCCCCAATGCTTTTTAACATCTTTATGCGCCCCCTTGCCCAGATTATCCGGAGCTTTGGGCTGGGCTGTCACCAATATGCTGATGACACTCAGCTCTATCTGCTGATGGATGGCCACACCGACTCGGCCCCGAACACACTGACCAGATGCTTGGAAGCTGTGGCTGGATGGTTTCGTGGGAGCCGATTGAAACTAAATCCTTCGAAGACAGAGGTCCTATGGCTGGGTCGGGATGGCATGGGGATGAGGGACCAACTCCCTTCTCTTGCGGGGCCCAATTAGTGCCATTGCCTTCCGTTAAGAGTTTGGGTGTAATCCTTGACGCCTCCCTTTCCATGGAGGCGCAAGTTACAGCAACAGCCAAGGCGACATTTTTCCACCTTCGCCGCATCAAGCAGTTGGTCCCTTACCTTTCCCGCCCGACCTGGCCACAGTGATCCATGCGACGGTCATCTCCAGGCTTGACTACTGTAATTCGCTCTACGCAGGCTGCCCTTGAAGCTGTCCCAGAAACTCCAGCGGGTGCAGAATGCTGCAGCGAGGCTCCTCACGGGGTCTCTGCCATGGGAGCATATTCACCCAGTGCTTTTCCAGCTGCACTGGCTCCCGGTGGAGTACAGGATCAGATTTAAGGTGCTGCTTTTGACCTTTAAAGCCCTTCACGGCCTAGGACCCTCGTACCTGCGGGACCGCCTCTCCTGGTATGCCCCACGGAGAGCCTCAAGGTCCATAAATAACAACCCCCTAGTGGTCCCGGGCCCTAAGGAAGTTAGATTGGCTTCAACCAGAGCCAGGGCCTTTTCAACTCTGGCTCCAGCCTGGTGGAACGCTCTGCCTCATGAGACCAGGGCCCTGCAGGATCTGATTTCTTTCCGCAGGGCCTGTAAGACAGAGTTGTTCCACCTGGCCTTTGGCTTGGAGCCAATTTGATTCCCTCCCTCTCTTTCTTTTTTCTTTTCCTTCTCCTTCTGCGATGAGGCTACATTTTAATATTTTAATGTTTCAATATTTTAATGTTGTATTTTAATGTTGTTTTTAAGTTGTAATCATTTAACTTGTTTTTATTATTGCTTGTAAGCTGCTCTGAGCCCAGCCTTGGCTGGGGAGGGCGGGGTATAAATAAAAATTATTATTATTATTATTATTACTCTGTTCAGTTGGATTTCCTTCCACATAAGTGTCCCTAAGGGACATAGCTTAGTTTTGAGCCTCACACACTGCATGGCGACATGTGGAGAAGCTTTGGGTAGTTGGTACGTTGGCAGGGGTTCAGGCTTAGCACTGAAATGACCACACAATTGAACATGGAGGTTATTTCTCCCTATATGAACCAGCCCAGACCTTGTGGTCTTCATCAGAGGCCCTTCTCCAGGAGCCCAACCCAAGACAGGTGCAGACCAAGACAGGTCCACACCATGAGAACAGGTCTTTATGGTGTGGTGGGAGACATGCCTGGTGCCATTCTTGTCGGTCTTTAGGCACCAGGTGAAGGCTTCTTTGTTTACCAAGACCTTTGGCAATAAAGACATCTGAAGGCAGCCAAGAGTGGTTGCAGCAACCCAGTCAGATGGGCACCATATACCGGTAAATAAAATTATTACTATTGTCTCCTATGGCTGTGCTCATCTTTTAGCAGAGTGGATAGGACATGTCCTTATTCATATTTTACTAAACATGCTTTTTATGTAATTGTATTGTTCATAGTTTTAACCCCCCCCCCCCCCGGTTTTTAAATTGGCTTTATTTGTTGTATTTTATCTTTTCAAGTGTCCTGATCCCCTGGCCTACCTGGCAGACAGCGTGCCAAGGCAAAGTTCCAAGTCCAAAAGCCAATCCATACAAGCCAAGTTCAAAGATCAGGAAATGCAATCCAGGGTAAGTCCAAGTACGCCAATATGGGAGTTCAGCAGTCAGGATACAGACCAGAGTCAATCTCGAAGTAGAAACCCATGACGGTCTGAGGAGAATCCCAGGTGAGGTCCCTCAACATGGGCAGTTGAATAGACAAAGTACCTCAGCTCTGCTGCCTTCTTATACTGTGTCTGTTGATTGCAGCTTCTGCGCTTGATGAGGCAGGTGCCCCAGCTGAGGAATCACATGCGTCCTTCCCCACTTGGAAAGCTAGTGAACTAGGCTCTGCTTCCTGGAGTGCCTCACCCACTGATCTTAGGTGCATTGGGACACTGTGACAGAAACCAGAGCACACGGAAACGCCGTTTACCTTCCCGCACAGTGGTACCTATTTATCTACTTGCACTGGTGTGCTTTCGAACTGCTAGGTTGGCGGGAACTGGGACAGAGCAACGGGAGCTCACCCCATTGAGGGGATTTGAACAGCCAACCTTCTGATCGACAAGCCCAAGAGGCTTGTGGTTTAGACCACAGCGCCACCTGTGTCCCTTGTATTCTTCAATTGTTATTTGATCGCTCCTTGCGCCTGCTTTCTGCTAGGCCCTTTAGTTTTCACTTGCTCTTTGTCCCTGACTACTGGTTTACCTGTGGCTCCTGGGTACTTATTTATTAAAGTATCTAATGCAAATGGTGTGGTATTAAACAGATAATCAACCTATAAAGGTAAAGGTACCCCTGACCGTTAGGCCCAGTCGCAAATGACTCTGGGGTTGCACGCTCATCTCGCTTTATAGGCCAAGGGAGCCGGTGTTTGTCCGCAGACAGCTTCCGGGTCATGTGGCCAGCATGACTAAGCCGCTTCTGGCGAACCAGAGCAGTGCATGGAAATGCCGTTTACTTTCCCGCCGCTTACTTTATCTACTTGCACTTTGACGTGCTTTCAAACTGCTAGGTGGGAAGGAGCTGGGACCGAGCAACGGGAACTCACCCCGTCACGGGGATTCGAACTGCTGACCTTCTGATCGGCAAGCCCTAGGCTCTGTGGTTTAGACCACAGTGCCACCCATGTCCCATTAATCAACCTATAGCTCTCATTTAAAAATAAAAAGATAATGAGAGGCATAGGCGTAGCCAGGATTTTTGTTGGGGGCAGGCTTTTTATCGGGGGGGGGGCAGAACCTCAGCTATGTATTTTTATTGACTGAGGGGGGCAGCTGCCCCTCCCTGCCCCCCGTTGGCTATGCCCATGGTGAGATGTGCACTTCTGATAGCCATGGAAGCTAGTCTACGCCCCGTTATTGGTTGGCTCCAGTTCTTGTTTTTATTATGTACAGTATTTTGTGTTCTCATTTTGTATATTTATGTTGTGAACCGCCCTGTGATCTCTGGAGGAAGGACAGTATACAAATCCAAAAAAGAAAAGAAAAGAAAAAGTCTTGTGTTTAAATTTAGGTTTTTAAGCTGAGGTTTAGTTTGCTTAGTTCTGACTTTGTGTAAGAGCTGAGCCGTAATAGGGAGCAGTATGTGGTGAGTCAGGACCAGAGCTTTTTTTCTAGGACTATTCTTACTGTAACAACTTCATGGTGAGTACTGGCACCATTTCTCATTTTTTTCAAAAAAACAGAAGGAGCACCATCTCCTTCTGAAGATTGGTGCCCATCTTCAGACTATTATTCAAGATATAGCACAAAATATATGAGGATTTGCTGCCTTCCCTGCCCCCTGTTCACCATATTCTGCTTTCTTGAATAAAAATAGTTGGGAAGTTGTTGAGAGCACAGTAGGAGGGTGAGATCCTTTCTCCTGCCCACATATACAATGCTTATCAAACATGAAAGGTACTTTATATCATTCCAGAGTTGGGTCTCTCTGGCTTGTTGGCACATCATCTCTGCACCCGGTGAAACCTAACCAGTTATTTAGTGGCAAGTGAAAACCAATGGGAAAGGATAAAACCACTGATCTTTAGGCAGATCAGATTAGGGTAAGTGAAAGCCAATGGCAACGACCTAATTTTAGCAAAAAAAAAATCACTACTTAACCACGCCATAATAGCGATATTTGTGCTACCAGTGTATTAGCATCACACAGATGGCAAGATACTTCAGTTGCATACCTTCTGTTGACAGTGTTATGAGCACCTACGTTTTAAGAGCAGCTCTGTGTCTCCTGAAAAGGTGTCAGGGCTAATTCCAAAGAGGTGAAGACACTTGCTATTAGCATCTAAGGTTTCTTCTCTCATCATGATTCATTCCTCACATGCAAATCTGTTCTATTTAGGATGACTGCAAAATGATTCTATCGTCCTGTCATCTGGCTTCTCTGTGCTTCCGATTGGTCTGTATTTATAGAATGGCTATAATAATACAAGTCTTGTCTTCTCGTTCTGATAGTGCGTTTCGGGTAAGTTTGACTGAGTTATCCTGCCACTGAGCCAGGTTAACGACTTGTCCTGTATTCAGACTGTGAACTCATAGGCCATGGAATATCTCCTGAGCTAACCAGTAGCAAGAAGCGGCTATCGGTGTGGGATCAGGTGCTTCACAGAACCTGCAGGAATTCTGAGAGAAAGAGGGTGCTGCTTTGGTGCTGTCCAGAACCCTACTGAGGTCTTTTTTCATTAAGTTTATTATTACATTTTGGGGACGCAGGTGACACTGTGGTCTAAACCACAGAGCCTAGGGCTTGCCGATCGGAAGGTCGGCGGTTCGAATCCCTGCGATGGGATGAGCTCCTGTTGCTCAGACCCTGCTCCTGCCCACCTAGCAGTTCAAAAGCACGTCAAAGTGCAAGTAGATAGATAGGTACCGCTCCGGTGGGAAGGTAAACGGCGTTTCCATGCACTGCTCTGGTTCGCCAGAAGCAGCTTAGTCATGCTGGCCACATGACCCGGAAGCTGTATGCGGGCTCCCTCAGCCAGTAAAGCGAGATGTGGGCCACAACCCCAGAGTCGTCCGCAACTGGACTTAACGGTCAGGGGTCCCTTTAACTTTACCATTACTATTACATTTACACACCACGTTTCCTTCAAGTCACTCAGGGTGGTGTATGTGATTCTCCCTTCTCCATCTGATCTTCACAATAATCCTGCAGGATAGGCTGGGCTGAAGGACAGTGGCTGGCCCAAAGACATCCAATAAGCTGAGAATTTGAACCCTGGCCTCCCAGGTTTTCTAGTCCAGCACTCTAACCACTCACACCACATTGGTTCTTGAGTAGTAGCGCCTGCCTCATTAGTATTCTAGTTCCAGCCTTCAGTTGCTTGCTTCTGTTGTTTGTTTATTTCTATTAATACATCTGTACGTATACAAAATGTAAGGATACAGCATAGAAATAAAGAGAGAAACCTGTGTTCTTCCTCCACAGTGCTATTGAAGAAGACAAGTGTGAGGGTTAAGAACCAGGTAAAAAGAGTGTTGTCAAAGACAGATGACTCAGCTACATTAGCCATGTTACAATGGTATAACTATGTTATAAACATGTGACACCAGATGGTGCTGTAGAGTACAAAACTTTGTCTATGCGATTTTACATAGTTTTCCCTCTTTTGTTATAACAATTTAATTCATGACTTATTTATAGTGGTTTTTTTTCCTGTGTATAGATCCTGCCAGAGCAGACAGAGGCAAGATATTGCTCACCAGCCTGCACCAAAAGAAAGTACGGTGGTACCTCGGGTTACATACGCTTCAGGTTACAGACTCCGCTAACCCAGAAATAGTGCTTCAGGTTAAGAACTTTGCTTCAGGATGAGAACAGAAATCGTGCTCCGGCGGCAGCGGGAGGCCCCATTAGCTAAAGTGATGCTTCAGGTTAAGAACAGTTTCAGGTTAAGTACGGACCTCCAGAACGAATTAGGTACTTAACCCGAGGTACCACTGTGTCTTACAAGTTCCAACAAGTTAAGTCATACTTGCATGGATACATGAGACAAAGTGATTGTTTGTTCATATGTGTTGTGGAAGTTCTCCAAATAGTGATAAAGTCCTGAGGATCCACCCCACTTTGTAAAGCTTTCAGATGATGAGAGAAGCACGCCACACCCTCTGCCACCACAGGGAGCCTCTGCTGCTGCAGTGAAGTGTGGCACAATCTCCGCTGCTGCAGGAAGGTATGGCAGGCCCCACCACAGCAAGGCCCTCCGTCGCTGCAGATATATAGCGATATAACGAGATACCATATTTAGCTGGTGATATATCGTGATGATGAAAACCAGATATCACGCAGCCCTAGTAGGGAGTAAACTCCACTGACTGTAGTGGAACTTACTGCTTAGTAAACATGTCGAGGATTCCCTCATGATGCCCTACAGACTGCTTTGCCTGGCGACAGGCTCAGAGAATGCAGGATCCCTGAGAGAGATTTATCGTGAGCTGCATTTTTATAGGCTTCTACCAATTTAGAGTCAATTTCTAAGGTGTCTGTCACAAGACTATTTACTAGAGCTGTCAATCAATTAAATAATGTTTTAATTAGTTGATCAATTAATCAGCTACAAGGCAATCAACAGATCTATATAAATCTGCATATTACTGGATGCTAAATATACAGTAAATGCCTTTTCAGAAGGGTGTTGGACGTTAAGAAGACATTTGTCAGTTTCTGAGTTGTTTATGGCTTGGTGGCTTACAGTAATGAAAAAGAGTGATAATTATTTATTACATTGTGAATGATCTCATACTTCTTTCTGCACTATAAAAGTAGTGTCATTTATATAACATATGTACTCTCATGGCTTTCCCTAAAGGATACTGGGAACTGCTGTTTGGTGTGAGTGCTGAGAATTCTGTTAATGCTCCCTAGCTTTTCTCACAATACAAGTTTATAGGATTCGTTAGACAGAGCAAACTCAAAGAGCAGAGAGTTTGAGGCTGCTGTTCCGTGTCCACTTAATTGAGAATAAGTCCCAGTGAATTCAACGAGACTTCCTTCTGAGTTGACATGTGTAGGGATGTCCTAAGCTTGTTGCGTAGATGTGCCCAAATGGCTTATTCTCATACAGTCTAATCTTGACTATTATGCCTCTCACTTGCAGACCAATCTTATACATATTTGCTCAGAAGTAAGTCTCACTGTGTTCAGTGGGACTTTTTCCCACCCTTAATCTATTCTGAAACAATGCCTATCACATGCTGCCACTGCTCAGTCAAACAGCTTTAAGGGGAAGGGTAGTGGATGGTGGGTAGGGAAAGAAAACTTTGGAAGTTTTCTCTGGTTCAGATTTTAAATCTGTGTTTGATAAGAATTCTGGTGCTGTATTTATTTAGTGAGAGTTACATACTGCTTAATCAACGAAAGCATGGCTTTGGGATTCATGTAGAAAGGCAAGGATAATGCAGGTGAAGATCTGAGCATTTGTAATTTCAGAATTGCTTTTCCCTCATGTTTGACACACTGTAGGGGGAAATGTTATACAGAGAAGATTTCTCATTACCTGTTTTCATGCTTTGGAGTCAACATGGGTTGACCCTCTCAATAGGTTTGCGGTCTTGTAAAATATTGCATGTGCCCATATTGTTTCTCATTGCAAATGCAATCCACTTTTTCTAATATTTTTCAGCAGGTGGAGAGTGGTGATCTGGATATTTGCTGAGAAATCCACAAAGCTGCTTCATGCGTGCACACATGCACCGAAACAGTGACAATGTAAACATGTAAAACCAGTAAGTGTATGCACCATACATGTAAAGCACATAACACCCTCCCCACGGAACCCTAGGAAGTATAGTTTGTTAAGGCAGCTGGGACCTGTCACTCTGTGAAGGGTAAATGACAGTTTTCAGGATTCTTGTGAGGGGGGGAGGGGAAGCAATGTGCTTTAAATGCAGGGTGTGCATTCATTTTAAACCTCTCCGAATGTGCAAACTCTCCGCTCTTTGAGTTTGGAATAAACTTAAAGCTTTTTCTTGGCAATAATTGTGACGAGAACCCCCCCGCCCCAAAAAGAATAGCTGATCTGTTACAGCTTTAATACCACGATTGCTCTCCGTTGACTTAAATTAACCACGATCCTTGCTCAGTGTTTTTTTAGCTTTAAAACCACGATCGCTGCCTTTTGAATTAAAAATGAGCAACTCCCCCCCCCAAAATCACTGGGTTCTCACGAGCTGTGCCTCTGCGTCCACCCACCCCGGTTTCCCTCTGGCTCCCCTGCTCCTTTCCCAACCCGTCCGCCATAGGAGAGACGCAAAGGTCACCACGCAACCGAAGGGTACAGGGAAATGATATTCCTATGAATGACGACAGGAACAGGAAAAAGGAGTGCAAGGCGCTTTCCCAAGGTCACGCAGGCATTATATCAGGAGATTAAAGCAGCAGCAACAACAACAACAACAACAACAACAACAAGAGCCGTTGTTGTCCCGAGCCGGCGCGCTGCTAAATACTTCGCTCCACTCTTTCCCCCTCCTGCAAAAAAGAAAAAAGCAGGAGGTGCGTCAAGCGATACAGAAGAAAAGGAGAGAAAAAGAGAAAGCAAGCAATAATGATACGCCGGAAGTGAGCCGGGCACGTTTAGCGAACGGGACACCCCCACCGCGCTCGCCGCCTGCCCGCTCTTCATAATGTTCCATTGCGGCGCTTCCCGTTGCCCGCAGTAAGCGCTCTTGTGCCTCTCCGCAATTGGGCTCGGCTCTCTCCCGCATCCCCGGGAAGGAGAGTTCCGAGGCTGTTTCTAGGTCGCGGGGCTGCTTGCCTGGTTGGTTGGTTTGGTTGGCTGGCTGGCGAAGGCGGCCGCCTGCTGTTGTGTTGCTGCTGCTGCTGCTGCTGCTGCTTCTCCTCCCCCCCCCTCCGCTCGCGCCAAGCCCCGCCCCCAGGAGCGCCGCGCGACGCTGCCGCCGGGATGCGGGAGGAGGAGGAGGAGGAGAAGGAGGAAGAGGAGGAGGGATGCTGAGGAGCTAAGGAGCCGCCTCGGCGAAGGGATCCTCCGGGGCGCCGCTGCGGACAAGCGGGCGGGCGAGCCCTCGGGGCGGCGGCAGGCGGCGGAGGAGCCAGCAGCCCAGCTCCCCCCCCCCCGCTTCTCTCCCGCTCCCTCCTCCGCCCTTTCCCCGCCGCCTTGCCGCCGCTCCCCCTGCCGCCGCCGTCGCCCTGGGGCCGGGCGGGCGGCCGGGGAATCGCGGCGCTTGGATGCCGGGAGCCCGCGGCAGAGACCCAGCCCCGAGCCCGCCATGGGCTGCTGCGGGAGCGCCGCCTCTCAGGTGAGTCGGGAGGGGAGGCGAGGGCAGGACCCCCCGTCCCCGGTATCAAGAGCAAATAGAAGCTCCTCCACCTTTTATTTTATTTTATTTTATTCTAGGTTCTTAGTCTTGCCCTGCCCGCGCTTCGCTTCCATCCCCTTCCCATTTGCGTCAATTCTTCACCCCCCCCCTTTCCCAGTTTACACCGTGGCATGTTTATATTTATCTGGATTTATTATTATTTTTACACCCTCACCCCCCTCATTTCTCCTCCTTTTCTTCCTGGAGATTCTGGAGTAGGTTGGCATAAACTTATGCAACCGAAATGGACTAGGATTTTGGTTTTCGGTTGGTGTTTTTTTTGAGGGGGGGGAGGAGAAGCCTCCTAAACCCCATCATCTACTGTCACCCACGCCTGCTCGGAAAGGGCTCTCCGGTTGCAACCCCGGTGTGTCATAATCTAGCAGTTGGATTGTCTCTGCCACTGCTGCCACCCTCCAGTCACGACCATTCTGACCCTGGCATTAATTTATAAATAATATCGGTTGGGGGGGCAGCCTTTAAAAGTGCCCGAAGCAAAGGAGAGGCGAAACGGACAGCGCACGTTAAGGAGAAGGGAACAGACTCAAAAGCAGTGTTGCAAATGCATCCCTCCTGCAGCTGCTTATTTTCAAGTGTTTCTTTACCAACTGGTAGGAGGAATGAGCATAAGCAATTCCTCCCCCGCTCGAATCGCTAAACGGATGCCTGTCTCACCTCTTGTTTTTGCTGCCTCGGTATCTCTGCAGTTCTCCTTTCCTTGAGTCCGTATGAACTTTCGTTGACCCATTGCTGCATACGCGGACCCTTTGGATTGTGGTGTGGTGTTTCTTAGGAGCATAGGAAGCTGCCTTATTCACTGAGTCAGACCATTGGTTCACCCGGCAGAGAATTTGTCTACACTGACTGGCAGTGGCTTTGCCAGAGTTCCAGGCAAAGATGCTCTCCCAGTCCTACTTGAAGATGCAAAGGATAGAATCAGGAGCCTTCTGCATGCAAGGCAGATGCTTCGCCACTGAGCTACATGCCTTCCCCTTTTCCCTGTAGGAACCCTGTCGTTGTAATGTCTCTTTCCAAGTCACCTCTTTCATAAGCAGCCTTCCTAAGCGTTAGCCTTCTTGCTGAACTGTGCACAGCCTTGTTGCACACTGCCAGACACACTCAAAGAGTGCCTTTTCTCCTAACCCATCCCCATCTGCTTAATTTAATATCCATAAGGCCAAAGGCCCATCTAGTCCAGCATCCTGTTCTCACAGGGGCCAGTGATTGCAACCGTGTGCTTCTCTCTTGTGATCCCAAGCAGCTGGCAGAGGCAACAGCAGAGGCAGAACATAGCTATTGTGGCTGGTAGCCACACTGACAGCTGCATCCTCTGTAAGAGTATGTCCTTTGCCTCACTCTCTGCAGCAGTGCCTGTATATTTTGAAATACTCCACAATGCTGTATCCTTGCCATTTTTTATCTTTCTTCATCTACTTTGTGCCCCCCACCCCAGTTCCATCCCATCATTATACCACTTGTGCTTGCTTTAACAACCCACATTGCTTATCCATCCTTCATGAGAAGTATGCCTGCATCCTGCTGTTTATTTCATCTAGATCATGGTTAGGCAAACTAAGGCCTGGGGGCCAGATTCGGCCCAATTGCCTTCCAATCCGGCCCACGGACGGTCCGGGAATCAGCATATTTTTACATGAGTAGCATGTGCCCTTTTATTTAAAATGCATGTCTGGGTTATTTGTGGGGCCTGCCTGGTGTTTTTACATGAGTAGAACGTGTGCTTTTATTTAAAATGCATGTCTGGGTTATTTGTGGGGCATAGGAATTCATTCATTATTCCCTCCCCCAATATAGTCTTAGGGACAGTGGACCAGCCCCTTGCTGAAAAAGTTTGCTGACCCCTGATCTAGATCCTACCCTTCTTATTCTGTTTTAGCCTTGCAATCTTTTGAGGTAGGCTCCACTGAACTATAATGAATTGTCCAAAGCCAAGCCGAATGCCCCACATCCAGGTACAGCCCTCTAACCACTATGCCATATTCCTATAATCCAACAGGACTTTTGTTGTCTACCTTTATTGGCGCTCTCTGAGGGAGGCATTCAAGACCTCTTCACATGGACTAATTATCGCTTAAGTTTTAAGACATTTTGATTTTTCTACATGGAACCTTGGTGGTAAAAGGGTGGATTACTTCCACAGCATGTTCAAAACTGGTGCTAGTAATTGTGAGGATAGCATTGTGAGGACAGCATTAGAGAGGTGCCAGTAACTTTTCCAGGTGGAATATTCATAAGGATAACAGATGAACTTGTAGATACGTTCTCCATTCTTGAAGGATGGGTGTGAAGTCTTCATTGTCTAATGATAGGCAAGGCTAATTTGTTACAGTTCTGTTCAGATTATTTTCTGTCTTTTTTGTGCCTGTATGAATAAGAGGCAATTTGTCAGTGTATTGTATTCTATCTCTCCCACTATCCATACTCATCTATTCCTTCTGTAGAATGCCATCTTTCTCTAGGCCCTCTGGAGAGAGACTTCAGTAGCCAATGACGAAACTGACAAGAAGACTGTATAATGGTAGCATCTTTGTGAATAAGTGTGGGAACTTAGGTCTGCTGTTGGAATATATATACTACAAACATAATGTACCTGTTAGAATGCGCAGCACCCAACCTGTGATAAAGCAGCATTGTGATGACTATCATTTTCTGATCCCTGCACTGATCCATTCGATACATATTTAGTTATGCATTTTTTTATGTTCAGAAAAGTTAGAGGTTTGAACCCAAGTGGTTTGGGTTTTCTTGTTCTTTTTTCAGTCCAAGTAACATGCATAGAGGGGCTTCTGGTTTTCTGCCCATTCTCTTTTCCTTTTCTTAGCTTTAGCCAATTTTTATTTGCCATGGTTATATTGTCGTCCTATTAGATTCAAGCCACAGTAAATAACTCCACTCACTACTCCAATTTACTGCTTTAAAACCTGCAAGCTGTTGACGGCTGAACAAATTGGACCTAGCCCGTTCTCAGCTTGCTATCATCTTAACCATCATTAGTCTTGGAGGCTGGTATCCAAAACCTTCTTATCCCCTTCCCTTAGTGGTTCCCTTCCTTTTCATAATGTCACTGAGCATATTTTTGCCTTCTCTTATACCATGTAGTGTGATTCACTTCTCTGAACCTTCTAAAACTCTCTGCTTGGTTGGCATCCATTATGCAGTGTGTCTGCTCTGTGATTATGAGACCGTGTGCCCCTGTGATTTGGATTGATCAGCAGATGGCCCTGCATTGTGACAGCAGGCACTGGATCACTCAGTGGCTTTTTGGTTCCATTCAGCTCCATAATACCATATTTTTGAATCAACAGTGTTGAAAAACAAACATGTATTAGTTGAGTAAGTTTGAACAAATTACCGTATTTTTCGCCCCATAGGACGCACTGCCCTATAGGACGCACCTAGTTTTTTGGGGGGGGGGGATAAAGAAAAAAAAAAATTCCCCCCCAGGCACGGGGCTGGCGCGGGGGAAGCCCGAGCTTCCCCCGACCCCAGCCCCCAGAAGAGCCTGCTATCCGCAAGCCTAGGGAGCCGCGCCGGTCTACCCAGGCTTGCGGACAGCTGTGCGAAGCCCGGGCGCGCTGAGGCTTCCTAATGCAGGCAGCTCTGCACAACCCTCCGGAGCCCGGTGCCAAGCTGCGCGGACTCCGGGAGGGCAGGCAGCTCTGCGCGACCCTCCGGAGCTTGGCGCCGGGCTCCGGAGGGTTGCGCAGAGCTTCCTGAAGCCTGTATTCGCCCCATAGGACGCACCCACATTTCCCCTTCATTTTTGGAGGGGAAAAAGTGCGTCCTATAGGGCGAAAAATACGGTAACTTTCCTGATAGTGGCTTAATATTAGCAACTCAGGTTGTTCAGTTTGTTCCTTGCTACTTATTATTACATGTTCTTTACATGATATACACAGTTTTTCAACATTTGGGGTTTTCTTTTTCTGTCTGGCTTTCTCCTCAGGTTGAATCTGCTCTGTGCCTCATGGCCTGCTTGTATCTGTCTCTTCTATCAAATTGCTAGATTACCCCCTTTTCTAATTCTGACCATTACAATATTCTTGTGCGTTTTGCCTCTACTGCTTTGTGGAAGTATTATTTCCCATTATGCTTGTTTGCAAATGATTGCTCTGCTCATAACCTTGTTATTCAAGTCTTTCTTCTTGTCTCAAAGGCTCTTCCTTTTCTTTATGTTCTTTTCCTTTGCCTTACCATAATAGTAGTTAAAAACAACAGCCTACACTCAAATTTATTTCCTTACTCTGAATTTATTGATCTTTGCTCAACTACCCTTTAAAAACATAAACTATGGCTGAATTTAATCTGCTGCAGAAGAAGGCAAGAAGCCTTGTCATTAATATTTGCTTACCCATCTAATTTTCCTTATCCTTTCATGTAAAGCTTTTTCTGCTGTACTTTGTTCTGCTTTGTTATCTTTGCAGTACAAGTATTATTACTTTTTGGCTTTCTTAAGATATAAGAACATACTTGGTTTTTCCTGCTGCCTTAGATCATGTTTGCTAATGTTTTTCAGGCAGCTTAATTTGGGAATCCTCTTCCATGGATCCAAACCACTGATTTGCTCCACTAGCAAGGGTTTGAATGTGGTGGAAGTATCCCTTTGTAGGCAAGGAGCTACCACGGTCAGTGGTCAGCATCATCTCCCAAAATGGGGCAGTTTGAGTGTGAGGAAGGGGTAGAACCTGGCCAGCCAACAATCTGGTGGGTCTTAAGCCAGTCCAGCTACTTATCTGATCCAGATCTCTCTTCTGTGCCGTTCTGGAGCTGGTTCCTCTCCCTCACCTTCCATCCTTGGTGGCACGAGCAGCAGATCTCCACATTGGCAGTGGCTCCAGGGCTCCATTCAGACCTGCCGTTCCCCAGGCAGGAGTTGGGATTGTTCCCTTAATCTTTTCTGTTGAAATTCTTGTATGAAATCTCCATTTTGCTCAAGTTTGCTTGCTGTTGTCCTGACCTTTTTCTGGTCTGCAAGGCACTTTCTGCAAGGAGTTGGTCATGTCATCCAGCCTTGTACGATCCTTGTAATCTCTTTCCAAAACAGGCACCCCTGTTGCAACGAAGTATTGTGCAACCTTAAAGACCCAACAAATATATTATGGCATAAGCTTTGGTGGGCAAGAGGCCACTTCATCAGATCCTGAGTTACAGGTATCTAAGTGTGTGGCGTTGTCACCTTTTGTGGTGGTGGTCATTCTGTGATTCTGTGAAAACAGTTGTTGATGACAGACATCCTGTGGCAATTCTATAGCAGACCCAGATGTCAACTCTACCCCTAGGTCTACTCTGGCAACTTTATTACAGGACTTTAAAATGTCATCCACAAAGGGCTGCCAGCAATGCTTTGCACATTCTACATAGCACAAACAGGCCACAAATGGGCACAGATCTGGTGTGACAGTATTATAAAAACCAGCAGAAGGACATTTCATCCTCCCAGGATACTTTGTAAATGACCTTAAAATGGCCACACTTGAAAAAATAGGAACTTCAAAGGGAGGCTGCGCTGTGCAAATGCTGAATTGCGGTATGGCAAGAAGTCCAGGGCTGTCAGCTGAGGACTGAATGGAGACAACGGATTTTTATAACATATGTTAAGTGTCCAGGATGTATCAAAAACTCTTTGTGAATTATCACAGTTAATTATCCTAGCCTGGGAGAAAAGCAGGGTATAAATACATTTTAAAAATAAGTAAAAATAAATAAATTATATAATTATGTGTACTTTTCTGCATTTCGTTTTTCTCTGACCTCTGTTTATAATCTTTTCTGCAAACTATGCATATATATTCTGGTAACTCAGGATACATTTCAATGTACTAAACGAAAAGCTTATGCTATATTATAAATACAGTAAATCTTCAAGGTGCTGCAAGATGCTTTGTTTGTTAGTCTTACGCCTTTTAGCCACTGCTTTTTTTTTTTTTAAAAAAACAACTTACCGTATTTTTTGCTCTATAAGATGCACCAGACCACAAGACACACCTAGTTTTTGGAGGAGGAAAACAAGAAAAAAAATATTCTGAATCTTAGAAGCCAGAATAGCAAGAGGGATCGCTGCGCAGTGAAAGCAGCAATCCCTCTTGCTGTTCTGGCTTCTGGGATAGCTGCACAGCCTGCATTCGCTCCATAAGACGCACACACATTTCCCCTTACTTTTTAGAAGGGAAAAAGTGAGTCTTATAGAGCAAAAAATACGGTACTTTTGGGATGAGGGGCCTCCAGGTAGTCTATAAAGGTTCTGAGGGCTACTAATCTTCTAAAGAAAGTAGTAGGAGTTTTGTGGTACTGAACTTAATTCTCTGTTGTTTTTTCTTCTAATAAATTGATACGTTTCATACTTGATTTATTTTGACTGATGAAGCGACTGAGATTTTTTTCATCCAGAGGTCAGTTTAAGATTTTGACTGGGGAAAACGGCATGGAAATGTGGAACTAGTAGTATACCTATAAATTGTCAGTGTCTAGACAGTATAGCGGACGTGGGTGGCACTGTGGGTTAAACCACAGAGCCTAGGACTTGCCGATCAGAAGGTCAGCGGTTCGAATCCCTGCAATGGGGTGAGCTCCCGTTACTCAGTCCCTGCTCCTGCCAACCTAGCAGTTCGAAAGCACGTCAAAGTGCAAGTAGATAAATAGGTACCGCTCTGGAGGAAAGGTAAATGGCATTTCCGTGCGCTGCTCTGGTTCGCCAGAAGCGGCTTTGTCATGCTGGCCACATGACCTGGAAGCTGTATGTCAGCTCCCTCGGCCAATAAAGCGAGATGAGCGCCACAACCCCAGAGTCAGCCACGACAGGACCTAATGGTCAGGGGTCCCTTTACCTTTACTTTAGACAGTATAGCAGGTACTGTATTAATCTAAAATTTGAACAAATTATTTATCTACTTTAAAAAAGAGAGTCTAGGTATATCTACATACTGGTAGATATTGAATTGGTATTCTGTTCCAGCATGTTACAAGGCTATTTAGACTTGGACTAAAAGGCTTTGTTCTTAGAGCTTAGATGCCTGAGCTGTGTGGTGGAGTTGGCAGATAAGATCTAATCCATCCCCACCCCCCAGCTGTGTTCCTGGGAATTCTGGAGTTCTTCAGCTTTCCCGAAGGTTAGGTTGCCTGCCTCTACAGATCTTCCCCAGCAATACATAGCAGCAGGGAATTATTGGGCATGTCCTCATGTTTACGGCAGTGATGAGGCTCCACAGGCCTGGCTGATGTCCCAAATAAACTGGAAATATGCTTTAGAATGCATGTCTGAATTCCCTGCAACCCACAGGGATTTGTAGCCGGACAAATAGAGATCAGAAGGGTTCTTCCCTGAGGGTATAAAGCTTGAAAATCGTGGATCTGTTGTTTGACTCTTATAATGAAAGTTGGAATACCTCAAACCTTTCTTGATGGGAAATTAAGACACAATAAGAACACGTGCAGGCAGTACAACTCTACGTAGTGTACATGACTCTTCTGCCCTAGATGGTAACAACTGAAATGTGAAACTTGGGGCTAAATAAGTGTGAGGGCAGGGGTATAGCAAGCGGGGGAAGGGGGGCCGTGGCCCTGGGTGCACAATTTTGAGGGGGCGCAAACCAAGCACCCCATTCAGGGATCCCGGTCCCGCCCCTCCTGCCAGTGGAGGGTGTCTAGTCCTTCAGTGAAGAAGACAGTATGGAGAGAGCAAAACCTACTACCTTTTCCCTGTTCCTCTTATCTGTGCTCCACTGCTTTAAGTATCTTTCTCCTAGTTTCGCTCATCCTGGAAATGTGGCAGGATGGGAGGAAAGTGCTTTTTAAGTAACCGAGCACAACATGGTAGGGCAGGGGGCATGTTTTACTTTCCTCCCCCAGCATGTTCCTTACTTCATGTGTGAATAGGCCAGACAACTAGATGGCTGCCCCGTCACATCTAGCTTAGCTCCAAAACTCTCTGCCTTCTTTGTAATGAAACAGTTGTGGCAATAGAAGATAATTGAAGAAGATGTTAATGGCTTAAAGTAGTCCGACAGTTTTTCTTAAGACTGTTAGCACCATGCCAATCACGATGGCTTCAGGGCACTATCTCTGTCCACAGTATGGTACCATCTGCTGATCAACTTCCCTGATGGATATAAATGCCACAGCAACCAGCCGAACCTCTTTCATGTGGTCTGTTCAGGGTGGAGCGTTGAACTTTGAAAATAATTCTCCAACCATCTATTTAATTCTTGAATTAATGTGTGAACCTTCATAGGATACATAATACACCTTTTAGGAGGAAATGCTTGGAGGGGAAATAGGTAATTGGGTGTCATGCAAGGGGAAATTACCTGTCTTTGGTTTTATCTGATTAAGATGTCCTGAAGGTGAAACTGACTGTGAGAGCTTTGCAAATCTCCTTTTTAGTAAGTAAAAATATTAGACATGTGCACCCAAGTGCAAAAAACAACGGGAAGATTTCAACTCTTGGGATTCTTATTGATGAACAGTAATATTAAATTCAGTTATGAGGCGCTGAAGAATGCCACGTAGTTGAGCTATAAAATGCGACTGTAAAATATAAGTGACTTACAGAAAATGGACTTACAGTAAACAAAGAAATCTTCCATTATTATGCTGCCAGCAACTGGTTCTGTAAATTAATGCTATTATCATGTGTAAACTGACCCCATAATTGTTGGGGAGTACCTGGAATATGAAGTGGTTCAGTTTTTCTAGCAATTTTTACAAATATTTTGTATGGCTGATGAGGTCCACATCAACCTCATTGGTTGGGGTGGTTAAATAGGTAAGACAGTGTACATTTCCCCATTTGTGAAATGACCCAAGTTTCTGCTCCAAGGACTGGCCAAAGCACAAAATTATCTTATTAAATTAGAAAGCTGGGCTGCTAAAATAGTGATCAATCAGGATAAATTGAATGTGCATATATTTAATTGTTCACTCGCAACAATCACAGAGGTATACCTAAAGAAACTGTAAGACGGAAATGTTTGAAGGAACATCATACAGTTACAGTCATCAGATCACAAGCAGCTGCAGCTAAACATTCTGCGATAAATCCAGGTTTGTTCCCCCAGATGGAGAATAACTGGTGAAGCCGAATCATAATAAGTAGGATCGAGAAGTTATTGAGTGAATAACACAACAGGCTAATCAGTTTTAGATTGCATTAATAGAAGTAACAGGTCTAAGATTTAGGATACACTATTCCTGATTTATATAGCATTGATTCCAAAATTTGACTGGATCAAATGTAAGCATCTTACTTTGTTCTCAAAACTCTAGAAAGATTTGACACTTTAAACATATTCCAGGAAAAGACAGAACAATGGCAGAGAAAGCTGAAGGAACTAAGTATGTTTAACTGAGAGTAGACGAGATAATAGCTTGACAGTTCTCAGGTATTGAAAAAAGTGTGTCAGGAGTTTGCACTATCCAGTGATGACAGCAAGAATTGTTCTTCAGGACGGCTTTGTCCTGTCTATCTTGAGTTGTAAGCATTTTGGTCAGGGGCCAGGCTATTTCTCTGCTCTCTAATGAGCATGATGAGCATAAAATAAATAGTATAGTATTTTGCAGCACTGTATACATTCCCCCCCCAACCTCCCCTTGAATTGCGAAACATTGTCAGATATTATTGTCACTGCTGCTTGAATACTAACAAATTGTAACCTGATAGATTAGGGGGTTAAAAGAAGAATGGAGGGAATCAATGGGACTTTAATCCATAGCTCCACAGTTGCTCTGAGAACTGTTTCAGAATTTTTAAAAAATTGTCCAGTAGCACCGTAAAGGTATAGGTAAGGTAGGTCCAGTCGTGACAGACTCTGGGGTTGCGGCGCTCATCTCGCTCTATGGGCCGAGGGAGCCAGCGTTTGTCTGCAGACAGCTTCCGGGTCATGTGGCCAGCATGACTAAGCCGCTTCTGGTGAACCAGAGCAGCGCACGGAAACGCCGTTCACCTTCCCACTGGAGCGGTTCCTATTTATCTACTTGCACTTTGACGTGCTTTCAAACTGCTAGTTTGGCAGGAGCTGGGACCAAGCAACGGGAGCTTTGCACTCTACCCCAGAGCTGGTCGGGGTTGGCAGGGGAAGCCTGGGTTTCCCCCAGCCCCAGCCCCAAAAAGCAGGTCAGGGAGCAGCGGAAAGGCTGCGCTCAGCCTTCCCGCTGCTCCCCGAGCTTGTGGGGCTGGCGGTGGGGGAAGCGCTTTCCCCCACCGCCAGCCCCAAAGAGCAGGTCAGGGCTGGCAGGGAAAGCCCGGGTCCCACCCCCAGGGACCACACATTCGCTCCATAGGACGCACAGACATTTCTCCTTAGATTTTAAGAGGAAAAAAGTGTGACTTATGGAGCGAAAAATACAGTATTTTTGAGTAACCATGTATAGGATTGCACGGCTAGTGCTTTATTGCAGATTAGTTAGCCTCTTAGAATCATAAAATCTTAGAGTTGGAAGGGACCCAAGGGTCATCTAGTCCAACCCCCTGCAATGCAGGAATCTCAGCTAAAGCATCCATGACAGAGATGGCCATCCAACCTCTACTTAAAAACCTCCAAGGAAGAAGAATCCACAACCTCCCAAGGGAGACCCTTCCACTGTCGAACAGCTCTTACTGTCAGAAAGCTATTTCGTATGTCTAGTTGGAAACTCCTTTCCCGCAATTTGAAGCCATTGGTTCGAGTCCTACGTCCAGAGCAGGAGAAAACAAGCTTGTTCTATCCTCCATTTGACAGCCCTTCAGATATCATATCTCCTTTCACTCGCCTCTTGAGCCATTTATAGTGGTCATGTTATGACCATAAAGCCACAGTCACTTGAAACAGAAAATACAAGAACTACGTGTCTTATTTTAGTCGAAGTTCCATGTAATGTCTAAAATTGTCACCATGACACACTTCACACTACCAGTCTCAGGTAGCAGAAATAACAAAATGTTCCCTGAATTAAAAGTTCACAGCCTGCTTCTAAAATTGTCAGGTTTTATTCAGCATTCTCTTCCCATTGACAAATCAGTTCAAAGACTCTGCTGAAATATTACTTTGAAAGGAGCCTGCATTTGATGGCAAGATCATTACTTCTTCTGCAGTATAGAATGGGATCATGAGGTCTCACAAAAATTATGGTGGTTTGTCTCCTGAAATTTTAGCCTTAAAAATCATAAAAGGGTAAGAAATGTCTCCAGATTGACAAAGGACTCAATTCAACCTGAGGAAGTGGGGGGGGGAGAGATATCATTTGGTCAGGAATTTTCTTTAAACCCTGACCCCGAGGGTGAAATTGCAGATTTTCTCTGTGTACTGTTGAACTGAAATGTCACCAGCGTGTGGATGTTACTGTTAAGTAACTTATTTAACAATATTCCTAAAGCCTTTTCAAGTTAATTTGATGGAGGTTTGCTACAGCCCGCGACTCCTGCTGATCCTTTCCTCCTAACCTCTCCTGTATCCTTGTGCATTTTTCATGACCCAAAGGTTCAAAATATACAGAGCCTTGGTATGCTACCACCATATTTATCGATCTGTAAGAGCAACTTAGTATCTTTTCATTAAAAAAAATATTGATAATGAAGATGCAATGTCCACAGTTCGTAGTTGGCCTCAGTTGCCAAATGAAAAATTGTGTTTTTCAGATCCCTTCGCTGGCTAGCTTTTTTGTGGGGCTGAGCTGCTTCGGGCAGCCAGGAATCCTGCCAGCTTTTTCCCATGGGAAAGGGAGGAGTGGAGCTTGCCCAGGGGACTGTTGTTCAGCTGAGGCATGCTCAAAAGCATTCTGATAGAATCATAGGTCTGAGGGCCCAACCTGCTACAGTGCAGGAACAGGCAGCTGTCCAATACAGGGATTGAACCTGCAACCTTGGCATGATCAGCACCACATTGTAACCCAGGCATAGGCAACCTCGGCCCTCCAGATGTTTTGGGACTACAACTCCCATCATCCCTAGCTAACAGGACCAGTGGTCAGGGATGATGGGAGTTGTAGTCCCAAAGCATCTGGAGGGCCGAGGTTGCCTATGCCTGCTCTAACCAACTAAGCTATCTAGGCTGATAGGGAGAAGGGATGCTAAGCCTCTTTGTGGAACTGAGCCAATCCTTATGTGAGCAGATGTGTACACTGATTATTCCTCAGCTCTTGGACTGAATGGGGAAGCTTATCTACACTTGGGCTTACCGATCAGAAGGTTGGCGGTTTGAATTCCTGCGACGGGGTGAGCTCCTGTTGCTCTGTCCCAGCTCCTGCCAACCTAGCAGTTCGAAAGCACACCAGTGCAAGTAGATAAATAGGTACTGCTGCGGTGGGAAGGTAAACGGTGTTTCTGTGCGCTCTGGTTTCTGTCACGGTGTTCTGTTGCGCCAGAAGTGGTTTAGTCATGCTGACCACATGACCCGGAAAGCTGTCTGTGGACAAACGCCGGCACCCTTGGCCTGAAAGCGAGATGAGCGCCGCAACCCTGTAGCCGTCTTTGACTGGACTTAACCATCCAGGCATCCTTTACCTTTACACTTGGGTCATGCCCAGAGCTTGCAAATACTTCCTTGCTTGCAAATAAAAGAGATCGTTTTGAATTATCAATAGGGAGATATCTGCGCCTGAATGAATGAAAATTACTTAATACTGGCTTAATTTTTCAGGCTAGAGCTCTTTTACACTGATATAACTGCCCTTCCATCTCTCCCCTGCCCGTTCCGATTTCTGAAAGTCACAGTGCGGAAGTATGCTGTTATTGTTTCATTAAGGTTACCTGAACTGCACGTTTCCGTGCTTTGAGGATGGCTCGAATGCCATTTCCTTCCAAATTGATAAAGACAGTCATAATTTGTCATGCCTGCAATTGGATGCACTAACCTGGTGAGAACATGATAATGTGATTGACTCAGCCGAGGGGCTGACAAGCAGGTGGTATATCGAGGCACAGGGTGAGCATGACAGTAACGGATGGAAATAGGCAACTCGATTGTAAACACGCTTCCCCAGTCCCATTATCACCATTAATAATACATCCCTTAAGTGCAAGGTCATACTCTCAAAATTCCACTTAAATGATGCCAAGCATTTCCAAAAGTAGTGTACAGAGCAAGGGAACTCTCAGGTGTATAGGTGTAATGCTCTGTAGTAATAATGCACTCCTTTTAATGCTTTGAAATATTGGAGGTTGCTTAGCATCTCTGCATGTCATGAATTACCGTATTTTTCGCTCTATAAGACGCACCAGACCATAAGACGCACCTAGTTTTTGGAGGAGGAAAACAAGAAAAAAAATATTCTGAATCTTAGAAGCCAGAACAGCAAGAGGGATCGCTGCGCAGTGAAAGCAGCAATCCCTCTTGCTGTTCTGGCTTCTGGGATAGCTGCGCAGCCTGCATTCGCTCCATAAGATGCACACACGTTTCCCCTTACTTTTTAGGAGGGAAAAAGTGAGTCTTATGGAGCAAAAAATACAGTACATGAAAATACAAAGCATGCACAACTTTTCAGATTCGTCACCTAATGATTCCTTGTGCCTCTGAAGCACTGCCTCGGGATAGTACTTATCTTGTTAACTTCAGCTAAAACTCATAAAGAATGAACATTTCTTTGATCAACAGTGGAGCGATCCAAACAGCTGAAAGTACCCGAGGTTTTTTTCCTTCTTCTTCCTTGAGAAAACATTTGGAGAAAAACACCCTGGCGTGATTTGCATCGCCCATCAAAGAGCAAGACTGTCTTTGATGGAACATACTGGATATTTTACAGCACGCCCCAGAGTTCAGTGAATTTAGGAAGCAACTGCATGCTTCCTTCTGTGTGTCCCGACAAAATAGCCATATATTAAGTTCCTGAGTTTTCTGTGTGAGGAGGAAGTGTGGAGTCATTGGGGAACCATAAAAAACAATCCCCTTTTAAAAAAAAGTGGGAGGTTGCTGTGAGCCAGGGGAGAAGGCAGCCTTCCTGAAGTTCACAAGTCCTGTTGTTGTTGTTGTTTTTTAAATGACTGCTTGAAGATTCCCATACTGGAGTGAAGCGATAAAGACCAAAGTTTTAAAAGGCATGCAGGAGGCTGTGTTACATGCCACTGTTCAAATTGCAGGCAGTATGCCACGTACGTAATGTGAGTCTTACATAAACTCATTGTACGTGGCAGTTGCAGTATGAATGTGCAGTTGCCAGTTCCCTTTCCCTCAGAGCGAAATTCGGAATGTGACGGCTCAAACTAGAGAAGAGGGGTGAGGGCACCCCCACCTATTCCACCTTCCCTTTTAGCATGGGATGATCAGAAGGGATCTTCTAAGTGTGTCTGTCTAAATGTGCTTGGAGGCCTCTCTGCAATAGGGCATTCTGCAATAACAGAATTCCTCATTGCGCAGAGACTTTTGCATGCTTTCCCCTGAAGGTGCTAAGGAGCCCCTTTCCGACCACCTCACTCAGTGGGGGAAGTCCAGGGGCGTTTGGGCAGCTGAGACAAACCACAAAATGCTTCCTGCTTCTTCTGGCCAAGGAAAGAAGGGGGGGCGGAATAAAGATCTGCATCAAGAACAAGGATGGGAGGAGACCAGCGGTGCCTCCTATTTGCCAAGAGGCCGTTGTAGAGGCGGCATTGGGGGGCGCTGCTGAAGAGGAAGCCCCTAAGGACACACCACAGCTGTTGCTGCCATTGCGGTGGCGGCGGCAGCAGCAACAGGCAATGTTTTTCTTGGTGGCTGGATCTATGCCCCTGTGGATCCCACTGCCTGGGGTGGTCACCTCACCTTGTCTCATGAGTGGGCCGGCCATGTTCAGGGGTGGAGAAGGCACACCTAGAATGCACACACCCCTCCTCAATTTGAGCCTCATGTACTGAGAAGGCTCAACTCTAGGGCATTTTGTGTTACTGCACTTGGATCACTGCTTATTATGCCTTCATTTTGTGTCTATCAGTGTTTGAGTCATACAAGCCTTGCTACTGTTATCTAATCTCCTACCTGAGATTTTTTGCATTTTTGCGCTTTAGCTCCGGTGTTGGGTTGCTAAAAGGCAGTCTGAGTCCAACTTTCTGGTCTAGTTGATAAAACTGTTGTGCTTTTGTATTATACATTCTGAAGCATTGGCCTTTTTTTTTTTACTGGAACATGTTTCTTCAGATTGCTTGGGACCGTGAGGAAAGGTTCAGTGTATAAAGTGTCTGTCTTTTCTAGTAACGTTTCCCAGGGGACAGCAGAACTTTGGGAGCCCTGGGTGTAGAAATCTTAGTTTGCCTTGTCAGTCTTCTTTCCAGCGCGTTTGGTTTTGCTCCAATCCATTCTGTGTTACTGAAAAGGCTAATTCTTTGGGGAATTATTGCAGTCAGTTGCATAGTAATTGGTGGATTCTTGAACAGCTGGAGAGTACTCTTAGAATATAAGGGAAAATTTCACTCTTTCAAAGGAAGGGGAGGTTGGTCTTCAAAAGTATTAATAGAAAAGGCATTTTATACACACATATTGTTATCTTCTTTCTCAGTTATGCTCGCTATTTGAACAATCCAAGGCTAATTCTTGAAGAAAATGACTTTCCCCCCCAGAAACTACCCTACCCCAAAACATGCTTGTATTATATTTAAACTTTGACAGCCCTCCTTATTTATCATCTAAATGTTACTTGGTGCTACAAGTTGTTTATATTCTGTTCCACCCTATGGTTTTTTCCCTTCTTCCTATGTGTCCCCCACTAATTCTTCTGATTTCCACACTGACTTCTGTCCTTCATGCATATTTGGGACACAATTCTTGAGTCTTTGCAGGGAGGGGGGGAAACATTAGCAGCACTTTGGCTACAGAAATGGTTATCCAAAATCCTATCTCCGTTCTTTACTATGCAGTTTCAGTAATTTTGCTGCTAGTCTATTTTATTCACCTGTCATATCTACATTTTGGGGCCAATAAGTCCTTTGCTTTCGCTGATGATGAGAATGATTCTTACCTTGTATAACTTGAGAACAAGCAACTTTCAAAGTGATGTTTCAAGAACTTTGCCCTGTATGCTCTCCTTCTGACTTGCCCCAGGTGTTTATCAGAGGAAAACAAATAAAAGGAAAACTAAAAATATATTGGCACGCTTTGTGCTATATATTCCAGTGTGCAGAATAACTGTGAGAGCAAGCATCTGTGCTGAGAACCATGTTGCTATTTTCCTTTTCCTTTCCTTTTGCATAAGAACCATTCCTATTTCGGATACATTTGCTGAGAACAAAGACAAGTAATCCTACTGTAAATCCAGCGGCTAAAATGCAGTTCACACTGCTCTTAAGACTCTGGAGAATGGGGAATACATCAGTCACAAGAGTGTGTCTGGAATAAAGAAATGTGTCTGCATGTGCGGCTGGTGAATGATCTTGGCATTCAGCAGAGAAAAGTAGAGAGGCATTAAGATTAAGAACCCACTAGACAGAGTTTCAGTTTCGCACTTCATTCATTTTTTATTTTAAATACTTATATCTCGTATAATTAAGGAAGTTCTCAAAGTGGCTTACAACATTTAGCAGTGATGAAAATAGAAGTTCGTGTCTCTCACGGGGCAGGGATTCCTCACCTGGGCTGCCGGTTATGACGTTTACAGCTCTTGGCAGCCGATGCAAGAATCACAAGAGAAAAGGTGTTTTCAGGTCTCCCCTGGCCCAATTTCCAGATGTTTCACACGCTGCTCTGCTTCTGAACCTCTGGGCCATATCAAGGAGCAGACAGAAGAGTCATCATAATAGGATGGCATTTCCACACCTGGACTGTTGCTGATGTCTCTTGTGGCTCCCCCAGCATGTTTTTGCCACCGTGATAGCAATGTTCAGTGTATCAAATGGGTTATTGCAGTCACCTGTCTTTCCTCCAGACACCACAGGGGCTCACAAGCAATTTCAGTGACCACCTGTATTTCCGTGCTCCTGCCTGGCTGTATTAAAAAAAAGTATCAGTGGGAATGAGATGAATGATTCTGCAGCAACTTTCTCCAGCTTGGTGCCCTTCAGAAATTTTGGGCTACAAATCTTACCGTCCTTGAACCGTTGGCCATGCTGACTGGGACACACAAAAAGGGTTTTAAAGCTTAATTTTTTTAGACCTTTTCATTGTAAAATCATAAATTAACATTGCTTATGGTGCTAATACCTATTTAAAAATGTGTGTGTGTGTGTGTGTGTGTGTATTATACTCTCTCTCTATAAATATACACATACCACACACACACACACACATATATATATATATATATATGGCATTTTATCTGGCAACTTTGCTTCCTCATCAGTTGCCATAGACACGGTCTCTACATTGGAATTGTTTACATACTGTTTTCATTCATCTACTTCCCTAGTTACTGTATTGCCTGAGCCAGTCTACAGAAAGCTTTGTCTGTTTTGAAAAACTAGAGGATCGATTGGCGGTGTTTAGCTACATTTTGTTTCCTTTGTTTAGCTCACTTATGTTTCTGACTTCCTTAGTTGTGTTTATAGTTAGATATGGCAGCCAAAAGACATGCCTAATAATGTAAACTGATAGAATCCAATAGAATTGTAACCTATATTTACCATATATTGCATCTACGCCTTTGGTCTTCCCCCATTTTGCTGCTGCTGTTCCCTTGTTCTTTTCATTTTTGGTGAATTTTGGCCAGCTAACAGTGGCAAGCAGTTATAGGACTAAACCTTCGCATGGTTCTCTTTGACTGCAATTAGTGCTGACTCCATGTGTCCAGCAGTATATATCCTTGTTACTTTACAGCATATCCAGGGCTAAAGCCCTGTATATGCACACACTCTCAGTTCTAGCGATTGGTCTAGGTCCAATTCCAACCACCTTCTATTGTCCGGGCCAACAAGGGTCTGTTTAGAATGCTGCTTGCTATGGTCTAATGCTGCTTCTGATTGGCTCGAGCAAAACTCATGAGATTTCGCCAGGAAGTACATATATACAGGGGAAAAGTTTCCATCATCATCATCATCATTATACAATATAACCTCAGTTTCCCCCCTCATGGTAATGCACACCCTCCAACATTTCTCCAATGAAAATAGAGATGTCCTATTTAACAACAACAACAATATTTTTACTATTTATACCCCACCCATCTGACTGGGTTGCCCCAACCACTCTGGGCAGCTTCCAACATATAAAAAAAACCTAAAGGTTTTTAAAAAAAATTCATTTCCTATACAGGGCTGCCTTCAGATAGCTTGGGGTTTCATAACTCCATACCCTCCAACATTTATCCAATGAAAATGAGAGACCCGGCAGTTTCTGTAAATCTGGGACTGGAAAATAGGGACACTTTGAGGGGTCTGGGTAGTGGGTTTGTCCCCCTGGATCTCCAGGCCATAACAAAATGTTCACCCCACCCCATGCTTGGGTCCTGAATACTTTTGAAGGGAAACCGTTTCACTGTGGCAACTGGCAGGGCAAACTATAGTGCTTATTCTGGTCTGTGCTGAGAGGAGAGGCTGAAATCACTTTGGGCAGCAGGCCAGGCTTGTCAGCTGCGGCTTTATGGTGCTTCAGTAACGAAGGGGCAAAATGAGCTGCTGCAGAGCGTGTAATAATAATACTTGGATTAAAACGATGTGTTGTTCATAAATGAAATATTAAAATTGCTGGAATGAGCATAGTTTTAAGCCGGGAAGTATTTTTGTGTTTATTGCACACACGATTTCATTTCAGCGCTTCTGATGTCTCGGGGAGTAAAGGGAACAGTGGCTAAATAGCTTGGATTAGCAGGGTTATCTGCAGCTTTAATCATCCAGGTGCAGGGGCCGTGTAGCAATAAGGCTTAATGTGACGCACGGTGAAAATCATGGGTGTGGATTTAATTCATCCATGTGACCTTTCAACCACCTGTTAGAACCACACCTATTTTTCCCCCTTTGAAAGGGAGCTGTTCTCAATGGACCAAGCAATGAAGCGGATTACACAGGGGTAACTGGGAGTGATTGCTTGGACTCCCAAATCCCTTTCCAGCTTTTCCATTCATTGGCTTTAAAAAATCCTATTACATGATTGCATTTGCAGGTGGAATGCACAAGAGAATGGAAAGCCTTTGATTTCATTATTATTGTTTTTGTTATTGCTTTCTACCTTTGGAGGAATTGCCATATGAATTTCGAAACACTCCTTTTTTTTTAGTAGGAATCTTGTGAGACTTCGCACATCAGTCAGTTTCCAGGGCGGTAGCTGCGCTCGTTGCAACTGGCCAGGCTGTGTGCAAAATAATAAATGGACACAAACCTGACATTGGAAATGGCAATAGAAACCAGTAGCAGTAGGACATTTAAGCCTACTGCAATTGTTACTGACGGAACAAAAGGAGCATGAAAGGGAAACCCCATCCTGAAACTGCTGAATTGCAACTTGATTTCAATTATCTTTACTGGGATCCCAACAGAGACAATAGTTTCCTGTTGTGAAGGGTCACTGTGCTTATTTTGCTTATGTTTAAGCTCAGCTTGAACTGCCGCAGTTTTACATTTCATTTCCATTTAACTTCAGCTATCACATTCCACACACCCCTTACGCTCATTTGGATATATTCCTGCCAACCAAGCATTACGCTTCATGCATACGATAAGTGGATGCTAGCCCATGAAAGCTTACGTCCTGGTAAGGTGTCATAAGGTTCTTTCTTTTCAGAAAACTAAATGGCTTCAGATGCAGAGAACAGCAGTGAATGTACAGTGGCAACACTCAACACAAAGAATAGTGCAGAAGATAGGTTCAAAAATGGCTAAAACCTAAATATTAAGCTTCTATAGTACTCGGGTTATAAAAAGGTGGGGTTTCAGTGAGGGCATGTTCATTGTTGTAGCTGCTTAGCTATGCCCATGGGAGCCAATTTCATAGGGGTCGAGGTCCCTTCGGTCCTCCCAATAAAATATTTGAGAGGGCTGCCCCCCACCCCAAGTTGATGGGCATTGCCATTCAAATGGTGTGCATGCATTGAATATTATATTCAAGTTGGCACCCCTGGCTACACCCTTCTCCATGATACACTATTCCATCCCTTCTCCTGACTGGCTTTCCACCTCACCCGAACCCAATAGTTAGTTTCCCATCCCCACTGAGCACACTCTGTCCTTGTTAGGCTGTTTTGGGTTCCCCTACTTCCTTAGGGTTTGTTCCCCTAAATATGTTTTGGCACTTCCTGCAAACATGGGTGTTGTCTTCTCCCCTGTCCCTGTCCCCACCACGAGCCTGATGATACCTCGCCTCTGTGGCTGAGTAGTGCTGTTTAGACTGCATAAGCAAAGGCACTTCTGAACCAAGGAAATACTGTATTTTTCGCTCTATAGGACGCACCTTGTTTTAGAGGGAGAGAACAAGAAGAATAAAATCTCCCCCTCTCTGCTCAGCGCCCCTTCAGCAAAGCGGCAGGAGAAACGGAGCCCCTTCCATTTCTCCTCCCGCTTCGCTGAAGGGGCGCTGCGCAGCTCTCCCTCTCTGCTGAAGCCAGGAGAGTCTTGCTCTCCTGGCTTCAGCAAAAGGAGCCCGAAGCCTCCGGAGCGCAGCGCGAGTTCCCGCTGTGCTCCGGAGACATCAGGTTCCTTTCGCTGAAGCCGGGAGAGTCTTGCTCTCCCGGCTTCAGCAAAAGCAACGCGAAGCCTCCGGAGCGTGGAGGGAGCGCTCCCTCTGCGCTTTGGAGGCTTCGCGTTGCTATTGCTGAAGCCAAGGAGCCTACATTCGCTCCATAGGACGCACACACATTTCCCCTTAATTTTGGAGGGGAAAATGTGCGTCCTATAGAGCGAAAAATACGGTAGATGGAAGATGTGGGCTGCCCAGTCTTAAATGCAATGGTGTTCCAAAAAGCCAGGAGCCCTGTGGACCATATTCTTGTTCCCTATTGCCCGTACCATTGTGCCATAGTATGTGAAGAGAACTTCAGCATTTTAAGCTGGGCAGCAGACATTGCTAGCCAGAATCCTCCTGAATGTTCAAGGCAGATGATGAAGAGCCAGCCCTGCTCCACTTCTGCTGGTTTTAGATCTCCTTGAGCTCGTTCGGTTTTGCCTGTTTGTTGCTTCCCTGTCTTACTACCTTGACCTGCTCTTTTCCTCTTGGTCTCCCATGTATTACAAATTCTGCACCTGCCTGTCTCCTCTGCTCAGGCCACCTGAAGCCTTTCTGATTGCAGCACTGCATCTTGTAACACACAGAAAAATGTGGAGTGGCTCTGATCCCAAAGGCTGCACTTTACAAAGAACAGGTTTGACAAGTCCCTTCCTCTGGGGGGCTTACAATCTAAATATAGACACAAGGGAAACAATAGAATGGAGATAGGGGTAAACTGGAAAAAACCTACGATTATTTTGTTTAAGCAGTTACAGAAGAACTTTGGGGCTAGGGGATCAGCTTGCAGAAAACAATGATGGAGTCGGGGCTTCTTTTCAGCCAGAACTCACTGGAACTCAGTTCTGGCACCTCTCAGGTGTGCACCATCGCCATTATAAGAGAACAGGGGCAGAGTTCATGGTGAGTTCCAGCACCTCTTTTTCTAGAAAAAGAAAAGTGGCGGAGCTGGTAATTGGACAGGAGGAATCATGGACAACATGAAATGGCTGTGTACAGAATAAGGAGGAAAAAATGAATCAAATAGCATTTGCTTTTTCAGAGTCATGCTTTTGAAACTGCTTTGCAAAATGCCGTGGCTTATTGCCCGGGGTACAGTCAGCAGAGCAGAGCAAGCTGAAGTTCACTCGGCATAAATCTAGTGTAATAGGCTATTGCTGGAGTTCACATTGAGGCCAGTTTTGTCAGGTGCATTGTATGATGAGTATATATTAAGAATTAGCACGCGCTGGTTGGAGTAGGATTTGCACGTTTACTGGTTCTCACAGACCTGGAGCTAGCCGGACTACCTCTTTCCTTAACACCGAGAGAGAAATTAGTCCTTCTACTACACATCCCCTGGCGCTGTCAGCTACCACCATGACTGGGGAAGGAACTTGCCTTCTCCTTTCCTCGCCCCCATTCTGTCAGCACCTGCTGATCAGAGGATCTTGCACAAGCAGCGTCTGCTGGTAAAGAAACAGCGTCAGGAAAATATGTGGGGTAAGAAATGTCAGTTTTTAATAAAACCTCTTGACAACTTAGCTATAATCTGCATGCACACTTTTCATTTGGCTTACATCTAGCATGTGGTTCTCCAATTAGTAAAGGATTTTAGTGTGTGTGTGGATGTATGTGCACATGGCATGCATGGATAAATAGAAGACAGGTGGTCATGAAAATGAAAGCCTCTTAAGGAGCTTGTTAGCCAGCAGGTCTCTGGGCAGGAGGATAAAGTGCTTGTGATTAATTGAAACGGGTCTGGAGTTCGAATTTCAGCTCACCTATTGACTATTTGCTAGTTGATCTGGATGTGCAAGTTTTGAACATGCTTATCATTTGGGGTTCCTTTGAAGTGCTCCCCTTACTCATGTCCCCGAAGCATGTTTTAAGAAACAGTTTAGAACTTTGGTGTGAGTGTTGCTTAGGAGGAAGCAAAGAGGAAACACTACATTTGAGTTGTCAGAAGAATTTAAAATGCAGTTCAAACAAGATGCCTGGTTGGTGCGACCTTTGCGTCTGGAGTGTGGTCGCTAAGAAACTCAGTTTCTCCATTTGTAGCACAGTAATAATGATCCCTTGCTTTGTGATGGTGGCTGAAGTATTGCTACTTGTCTAGAGCCTAATACAGTTGACTATAAATCTAAATGAGCCTTAATGGAGAATTTCTAGCTACCAGAAACAGTAGCTTTGCACTCATTGAGCACCTGCCACAGATTCAAAGTTTTGAGTATTATCTTGTCTTATTATACCTTCTCAATTTCATTTTGCTGTTAAAAAAAGGTACTTTAAAATCATCAAGTGGCCCAATCTAAATAGTGTGGATTGTTTTCAATCTCACCCCTTTAAGCTTTGGCCTCCTTTGTTCCTGCACACCAAAAATTGCAAAAGCACCCCTGTCCTCATCTTCAGCAATGAAAAACGACTCCTTTTATTAGTTGTATGTCTCTTTTTGTCTCTATTGCAGCTAATCCTGCCTGTAGTGTTCAGACTGAGGAGTTTGTGAATAGCTTATTTGTTTATCCCTCTTGTAAAGAAGATTACTGTATGTACAGAGGCTGTGGAGGGATGCTGAAATTACTAATGTCTTGATTGACCAGGCTGGTTTCCCATTTTCTGCTCCAGCCAGGGATACAGAAACGATCTCTTCCATCCCTGCCTTCTTTTCCCTTTGCTCTTTTGGTAGGTTCTTGCTGGAGTGCCTTGACTAGATAACTTCCCACCAAATTCAATTCTGCTCTCTTAAAAAGCACAATGATGAAATATTGGAAGTTCTACATAAGGGTGTATGAGATGGTAGGGTATTTATCTTGCACAAAAATCTTGCCCAGGTCACATGTTTCAGAATGCGAGTTTGATGATGGTATAGCCTTGACATTAGTTTTCATGCATCTTCAGGTAAGGATGTGATGCCGAAGAATTGATGTATATGTGTTTGAAAATTAATGTAGGTCCATGGCTGTGTTCACATTGAATATTTATACAAGAATAAATACATTAGGGTTTCACTACTAATGCAGTGCTTCTGATTGATCACTGACATGCTTATTGTACCATGTGTAAAAAGAACATTTGCAGATCAGACAGACAGTTACATTTTGTTGATGATCAGATGCCGTGTGATCAAATGATTCACAAATGGGATCAAAAACAGATGTAAAAAAAATAATTTCTAGCACAGCTTCACAATCTGTTTTTTATTCCTATCAGGTGGTACACACGCATGTCTGAATTAGTGTCCGGCTGTTGAACTATTTGCACTGGTGGTTTTATTGCTGCTCCTGACAGTGATAAAAAGCATAGGAATTAATTTCCAGCTGTTCTGGGACGTTGAAGCCTAGAAGTGTTGGAGCCCACCCAACAGGAGGTCTGCAGTAGAATAACCAGTGATAGACTCGGTGTCTGAGAATATTATTTAAGTTGCATTTTTTATTTTTCACAGAAGTCTGACTCTGACTAGTCTTGCATAACCTTTCCCTTTTCTCCATCCTCTTTTTCTCCTTGTCCCGTCCAAAAATACTAGAGCTCCAAGCGAGAGTGGAAGCCCCTGGAGGATCGCAGCTGCACAGATATCCCATGGCTGTTGCTGTTCATTCTCTTTTGCGTCGGCATGGTAAGTAACACAGCTCTAAAGGGGAATCAGCGCAGGACTTTTCTTAAGGGACTCCTTGTTAAAACCTTTATTTAGGGTGCAGGGTTATATATATGTGTGTGTGTGTGATGTTAAATGGCTGTGATAAAATACTAATGTGACTGGCTTCCGCGCAACTCTGAGATCAGTGTATTTTGTGCATTAGAAATTACACAACAGTTCCCCTTCTGCCAACACACCTCTTATTGTAGAATGCTGACCTACTTATCTGAACACTGCTTTAAAACATGCTGGCACCAACAATTATTTTTTAAAAAATATTCTCAACCTTTCATTGAACTAGAATTTGCTTTTGTTTTTCAGAACTTTTTGGCTGCCTTTCTTTAAGACCTTAAGGCAGTTGCATACATTAAAATACAACATTAAAACCACATACTGAAATTAAGTGCCGTATTTTTCGCTCTATAAGACGCACCAGATGACAAGACGCACCTAGTTTTTGGAGGAGGAAAACAAGAAAAAAAAATATTCTGAATCTCAGAAGCCAGAGCAGCAAGAGGGATCGCTGTGCAGTGAAAGCAGCAATCCCTCTTGCTGTTCTGGCTTCTGGGATAGCTGCGCAGCCTGCATTCCCTCCATAAGACGCACACACATTTCCCCTTACTTTTTAGGGAAAAAATGAGTCTTATAGAGCAAAAAATACGGTACTACATCCAGCACCCTTGCAATACAATTGCCCTCTCCTTACCATCATGCCAAAGTTAACACTTGAATGCTAAAAGCCTGGGGGAATACACTATGGTATTCACTTGCCAGTGCAAGAATTTCTTCCTCTCCCCATTCGTGCCCCGCAGGCTTCCCAAATCTGCTCCAGAGCATTGAGGGAATTTGGGGGCATGCAGGGGCATAGTTGGGGAACAATGTTCCATTGTGCAAGTGGAAATCCTTGTGCCTTAGTATTGTACTGGATTCCACCCAAAAGCAGTGCAAGAATATTGCCAGATGAGTCCTAGAGACTTTTCAGTTGTTCTCGTGTGATCACATAGAGCAGTGTTTCCCAAACCTAGGTCTCCAGCTGTTTGGGTTTTTTTTACTACATTTCCCACCATTCCTGACCATTGGTCCTGCTAGCTAGGGACATAGCTGTCAACGTTTCCCTTTTTTAAGGGAAATTCCCTTATTCTGAATAGGATTCCTCACAAGAAAAGGGAAAGGTTGATAGCTGTGGCTAGGGATGATGGGAGTTGAGTCCAAAAACACCTGGAGACCCAAGTTTGAGGAAACACTGGTTCAGAGGAAACTCCTTTTCATCACTCTTAATTTTTCCCTTCCTAATAGAAGGCTGGGACACTGGGATGCGGGTGGCGCTGTGGGTTAAACCACAGAGCCTAGGACTTGCCAATCAGAAGGTCGGCGGTTCGAATCCCCGCGACGGGGTGAGCTCCCGTTGCTCGGTCCCTGCTCCTGCCAACCTAGCAGTTTGAAAGCACGTCAAGTGCTAGTAGATAAATAGGTATCGCTCCAGCAGGAAGGGAGACGGCGTTTCCGTGCGCTGCTCTGGTTCGCCAGAAGCGGCTTAGTCATGCTGGCCACATGACCCAGAAGCTGTACGCCAGCTCCCTCGGCCAATAAAGCAAGATGAGCACCGCAACCTCAGAGTCGGCCATGACTGGACCTAATGGTCAGGAGCCCCTTTACCTTTAATAGAAGGCATGTGGAGCAGAGTCTTTCCAGTAGTGAGGTGGTCCCCCTCAAGGGATGTAAAGTGTTTAGAGGTTTAATAACGATCCCCAGCACTTTGAATTGGACCAAGAAGCTAAATGGTAGCAAATGTTGAGAATCGGCATAACACGATTTCTCTACCTGTTGTACCTGTCAATAGGCCAGCAGCTGCGTTCTGAACTAGCTGCTGCTTCTGTAGTACCTTCAGGGGCATAGCCTCATACAGAGTGCAATGGGTCAGCCCCATATCATGTGCCTGTAGCCCACAGCCTGAAAATCCCTAGGGCATGAGCACCACTAGTGCAAGATGTTTATCCGAAAGGAGGGGTCACAGCCAGCCATATTATATATGACTTATAATGTGTACTGCTGGTCTCCACCATTACCTGAACTTCTGAAAGCAACCCTGTTTTTAAAACTCATGCAGTTCACAAACCTATTTTAGGAAGTTTGTGACAACTCAGAGCAAGATGCATCCAGATTTCTTATGCATCAGATTCTCTCTCTCTCCCTCTCTCTCAACACAGAGTTTTAATTTGACCGCCTTTATGTAACTGGTATATATTCATACTTCGCATGATGCTACAGAGGTTTTGGGGGGGGGGCACTTTTCCTTTTTAAAAGATCCTGAAATAAGGATGAAAGCAAGATAGGAGTAATTTTTGTTTTATATATCTCTGTGGGGAACATATCACAAAGCTGCTGTTAAAAAGAATGGTCTTTTTTAATACAGTTTGCCATGGAAAGCTTTCGTTCTCATCTCATTTCTTCCCAGGGTCTTATTTGTGGCTTTTCAATAGCTACCGGAGCAGCTGCAAGATTGGTTTCAGGATATGATAGTTACGGAAATATCTGTGGACAGAAGAATATAAAAATAGATGGAATAGACAACAGTGGCTTAGACCTCACAAAAAAGAAGTGAGTAATGGGGTCCAATTACTGCTACAGTTGTTTCATTAACTGATGGAATATAGTTTTCTTTCATTTTGGCTGTGGGTGGCAAGATTAGGGAGAACATTAATGCATTTCTTACTGTAAGTGTGGACGCCATAGTTTTATGTCAAGTGGTCACTTTCTCATGAACACTTCTTGTACCTGGGTACTTGTGCATCCTTAATGTGTTCCTGGCTTTCATACTTGTGAACCATGTACTCTGAAATTTCAATTTAGAATCCCTTTGATGCTTCCGTGTGTTTAGATAGTGCTGAGTTCTTAGTACCTCTCCAGGGTTTCCTGAACTACTTACAAAATTATGTTTTTGTAATTCACTTCTGTTGTGGAGAATTCATATTAATATATACGCTACACACTATTTTAGCACTTAGCACTTTAGCACTATTTTAGCACTTAATTTTATAACGAATGATTTTAGACTGTTGTTTATGCTGTACTTTTGTACTGTTTTATTGTTGTTAGCCGCCCTGAGCCCGGCTTCGGCTGGGGAGGGCGGGATATAAATAAAATTTATTATTATTATTATTATTATTATTATATTAGTGATATACCAGTTTAGTCTTCGCCAAAGGAATTGTTTTCTGTGAAGTAGTGACATGTGGTTGAAATTTTTCTGTGAAGTTCATTAGTTCATTAGTAACAGTGAATGGATACCAGTTGTAAATGTGATATTAAGTAAGGCAGTTTCAAAGGCTTTGGTTTTACTAAATATATGTAAAATAAACATGCTAAATCGGATTACTCTCTTGGACATCACAAAAATTTTCTGATGCAAATTGAACATATCCCCATTTTAAAATAATTTAGCAATGTAAACAACAAACAACACTGTTCTAAAATAAGAGCTGTAAAACAAAAAAATTGACTCTTCATAATAGTAACATATGCAATAACTGATTTGGTGTTTAGACAATATAACCAAATTGAACATTTTCTGATGCAAAGTACCTAAAGGCAACTTTTCTAATTCAAGCTTTTCTGGAAGACCCACATCATTGCTTGAAAGTGCAGTGACTACAGTTCAGTGAGGATAGATAATGACCATTAATCAGCTTGTTCTCAAAGCTACCAGCATGAGTTTGACCAAACTGCGGGAGGCAGTGAAAGACAGGAGTGCCTGGCGTGCTCTGGTCCATGGGGTCACGAAGAGTCGGACATGACTAAACAACAACAAATCATATTGAGCTTGTGCTGTAGAAAAGCCCTTAGATGTTTTAGTATTATGGGAGCCTTGGAATATATTTTCAGGGTCATGTGATGCAAGGCAGAGTTTATGTAGCTCAGAAACATTTAAAGGGCTCTGGGATAGCTGAAGTGTATGTATGTGGACCTTTGAGGAACAATACTTAAGAACGACCTAAGTCCTTTCTGTTGCAAATGTGAAGGACATCCTATTGAAAATCAAACAATAGAGATGATTCAAAGGAACAGGGATAGGTATGGGACCTAGGCCGGCCGCTAGAACTGAGAGTGTGTGCATATCCAGGGTTTTAGCCCTGGATATCCTGTAAAGTAACAAGGATATATACTGTTGGACACACGGAGACAGCATTAATTGCAGTCAAAGAGAACCATGCTATGGTACCTTCCTGTTTAGTTCTGTAACTGCTTGCCATTGTTAGCTGGCCAAAAGTCACCCAAAATGAAAAGAAAAAGGGAGCAGCAGCAGCATAATGGGGAAGGCCAAAGGTGTGGATGCAATATACGGTAAAGATAGGTTATAATTCAGTTGGATTCTATCAGTTTCCATTATTAGGCATGTCTTTTGGCTTTCCTCCTTTCTCTAAAATTCAGAGTCCTTTGAAAAGCAAAATATATATTCAGTGAACGAGAAAATGAAATTTGATAGAAGCCATGCAGGCATTGACGCAGAAAGCAATGACGCTTGGAAGAAACAAGATTTGTCTCTATGACTTTGTGAAATTTCTTCTTGCGCTACCTTTCGTTGTGGCATAATGTGTGGTAACAGAATTCAACCCCTTTTCGACTTCAGTCACGTTTTAATGCGATGACAATATGGCTATGCTGACTTTTCCCCTGTGTGCAGTTCAGATGTTGAAAGCGAGACACAGGGAGCAAACGGTGCAGAAGTAATAAAAACTACCACTTTTCGAAAAGCTACAAAGAACCTGATTCTTGACTCTGTCTTCAGGCTAACAAAATGGGGTTTTCATGGTCTGAGGCGCTTGAACTTTCCAGTTTGCAGCCTCCCAGAATTTCTCCCCAAGGAAAGCACACAGCGAACCCCAGACAGGGATTAAGACAAGAGACTTAGATAGTATAGATTGGGACATTTTTTCACCCTGAGGGTCTCATTCTAAAAGTCTGGTAGTTTTTTTTATCTTTGACATCTGGTGGGAGGGCGTTCCACAGAGAGGGCGCCACTACCGAGAAGGCCCTCTGCCTGGTTCCCTGCAACTTGGCTTCTCGCAGTGAGGGAACCTCCAGAAGGCCCTCAGTGCTGGACCTCAGTGTCCGGGCAGAACGATGGGGGTGGAGACGCTCCTTCAGATATACTGGACCAAGGCCGTTTAGGGCTTTAAAGGTCAGCACCAACACTTTGAATTGTGCTCGGAAACAGCAGCCCTGTTTAGGGAAGCTTTTAATGTTTGATGTATTACAGTATTTTAATATAGATATATTTGAAGCCGCCCAGAGTGGCTGGGGAAGCCCAGCCAGATGGGCGGGGTATAAATAACAAATTATTATTATTATTATTATTATTATTCCCCTATGAACAGCCTTCTGGTAGCTTATTGCCAGTGGTGGGTGGAGCCACAGCCAGAGGCGGAGCAAGTGGGGGCAGTTCACCCCAGGTGTCATCCCTGGTGGGGGGGGATGACTAAATCCCCCCAGGGTGGATCGCCACCGCGCTGATCGCGCACCCCCGGGCAGATCGCCCCGCCCCCACGTGCACGGCATCTGGCTGCTTCGGGTATCCGAGCAGCTGGCACCACCGCTGGCTGCAGCCGGACATGGAGAGAGCAACAGGTGCAATTCTTACCTTTGTACTGTAGGCTACTGTGGCGTTTGCCTCCTAGGTGGGTCATAAGGAAAGGATTAAAATGAGTGTGATGTGATTAGCCAGTGGAAACTGATAGGAGGAGTTAGAGTGAGAGTTGGAGTTGTGTGGAAGTCAGTTGAGAGTGGGGAGTTGGAGAAGGAAGAGGGAGGAATAGTCTGTGGGTTGGTCGAGTTGTGTTGTGAGGGAGTGAGAGGAATTGTTAGGTGGAGTCAGATAGATAGTTAGTTGGGATAATTAGTTTGAAGTTGTTAGGAATGAATAGGACAGTTAAGGAACTAAGATTAAGAAACTGCCAAGAAAAATTAACTGTAACCATAAGCTTGTTCATGCCTATAAAAATAAATTTGATTGTTTGTTAATGTTAACAACTGACTGGACTCCGTGTGTACCTGTGAGAAACGGGTTGGTGGCAGCAAATACAGTGGTGCCCCGCAAGACGAATGCCTCGCAAGACGAAAAACCCGCTAGACGAAAGGGTTTTCTGTTTTTCGATGCGCTTCGCAAGACGAATTTCCCTATGGGATTGCTTTGCAAGACGAAATGTCTTGCGATTTCTTGCAATTTTTTTCGCTTCCCCCCCCCTTTTTCTAAGCCGCTAATAGCCGCTAAACCGCTAATAGCGCTAATCCGCTAAGCCGCTAATAGGGTTGCTTCGCAAGACGAAAAAACCGCTAGACAAAGAGACTCGTGGAACGGATTATTTTCGTCTTGCGAGGCACCACTGTAAAGCAATGACAGTGGTGGCACAGGGTCCCTAGACCGTCAAACGTCCAGGGGCCCTGTGTGATCGCCACAGCTACCTTTCAACCATGCAAAAGCCAGAGGGGGACACAGATCAGGGCTTTTGAGGGGGTGTGGCCTGAGAATGGGGTGTGGCCTGGGGTGTGAACTGGGGAGAGGGGCGTGGCCTAGGGTGAGTACCAGGAGAAATCTGGAGGGTCACTTTCTGCTTGTGGACTAGAGGCTCCCTACTCTGAGCTTGTTTAATTTATATTCAGGGACCCATCTCAAAAGACAAGTACTAGTCACTTCTTACCAAATTATTTATGCCTTATATCAGTCATCACCTTTCCATGCAACACACAACCTTTTGGCCTATAGGAAATAAAATGTGCTCAATAAAACAGTACTAGCAATTAATACACTATATATTTCCTTGAGATTGCCACAAAAAGTTCTCCATCTGCTCAGCAGCTGACGTAGCAGATGGTTTTATTGCAAGATTTTTATTGTACAGATTTTTTTTTCATATTCTTCCTTTTTCGGTCCAAATGTTTATTAAAAATCTGTTTTTTAAAATGTCAGCTTTTCCATCCATATAAGGCAGAATGTGAAAAATGCTTATTTCTTAAAGAGATGGAAACATTATGTGTAACTGAAGACAGGCAGCAAAAAGGCCACAACTTTTTTTTATTTGCGAGTTTCTTGACTTGCTTCCCACTATCCCTGGATGTAAAATAGTTCGATGGGTAGAATTTTTCCATTTCAGAAAATGTAATGATTCAGAACGTCTAGGGAATTTGAATCACAGAAAGCTTATTTTCCTTCTCAAAAATAAACGAAAAAGGTTTCTACCTGAGAACACTTCTAATTCCATTTTAGACTTAAACCCACCCACCCCCTTGGACCAACTCCCCATCCCTTGGACCAACTTGGTGCCTTCCAGATGTTTTTGAACTACAGCTCCCATCATTCCAGGCTGGTTAGGGTTGATGGGGATTGGACTCCAACAACATCTGAAGAGCACCATTTAAGGCAAGGCTGCTTTGGACAATCTCCTCTTCCAATATCCTGGGAGATCATAATGACTGTTCCCTATTGCCTTCCTCATCCCTTCAGATACCCTAGAACAGGGGTCTGCAACCTTTAAGACAAAAAGAGCCACTTGGAGCGAAGAAAAAAAACCTGGGAGCCGCAAAACCATTGCGACATTTAAAACAGTGGGGAGTGTCGGGGCACACAATGCGCCTCCTCCCCTCGCTAGTATCCGCCCCGGAGCCGCAGCAAAGGTGTAAAAGAGCCACATGCGGCTCCGGAGCCGCGGGTTGCTGACCCCTGCCCTAGAATATGTGAAACTGATATGCAATTTGTTTCCAAGAGAGCTAGTGTAACACAGAGGCAACAAGTGTCATGGATGGCCTGTGAGCTAGGAAAATCCCCGTTCAAAGCAACAAGCGGCTTTAGGCAACAGTCCTGATTTTTCAGCTTCACCCCCCTCTTATCTAACAATATGGTCCCATATGAGCAATTTTTAAAATCTGGTGATTTAAAAACTTGGTTTTGCCAAGTTTACTTTCAGTTTCAAAGAATCTTGGCTTAGTTTTACATGCAAACCAAGAATCCCAATTTAAAAGGAACTATGGTTAACTGCTAAAGAAGCAAGCTTTTAAACCTGTGGTTTAAAATTGGCTTGTTTAGCAGCTAGCTAGTGTTTGTTTTCAACCAGGATTCCTGGTTTGCAGATAACACTAAGCCAAGATTCTGCGAAAGTAACTCCCCAGAAGACCTTTTCCTGTCCATGCAGAAGGATAGAAGAGGAGACGCATGCAAGCCCCACACTTCACTCATGCTGACTGAGACGTGTCTGCGTAATGCTAAATCAAGGCTTAGCAATGCATCCAAAGCAGCCGTTATATGACCACGCTTGCCTCTGGAATTGTCCTGAGACTCTAATCGAGCATACTGTTTGGTGTTTCTGCGCTATGCTCGTTTGACAGTATAGAGCTGTCTAGAGGAATTGCAGAAAATCAATGAAATCGGAAAACCTAGGGAGCATGTACCTTAAAGCTCAGATTCAAGACGGACTCGGTCACTGCAGTCGTGTTCCCGACTTAAAATAGGCAAGCTCTTAAATCGTTAATGTGGAAAAGTTTTTGATTCCTGATTTGTATGCGCATAAGGCATCCTTTCCCAGTAGCATGACCGTAATACCAGCGAAGGAGCTAAAGAACTCTTTCCCCAAATCTTGTCCATATTTAACGAAATGCTGCACAGTAAATTTGTGCTTTAAAAGGAAACCTCTGCAATCAAATGTGCAGGCTGTTGATTGGTTGGGGAATATGCACTGTGGGACAGATACTACAATAGCAAAGGAAATAAATGATCAGGTGCAGTGATATAGGACTGGGGGTTGGTTTAACAAGGCAGTCCAACTTTTCATACTAAGCGGGCCACTTTGACATGGAACCCATGAGCTACACATTGCAGCGGTGCAGGTAACGAGGCCCAAAATTGACATCCCCTCCCCGGCCCTCATGCTACCTTCCCAAAGCTGTCTAAGTGAGGCTCTGGGGCAGGCATCCCCAAACTCGGCCCTCCATCTGTTTTGGGACTACAGTTTCCATCATCCCTGACCACTGGTCCTGTTAGCTAGGGATGATGGGAGTTGTAGTCCCAAAACAGCTGGAGCGTCGAGTTTGGGGATGCCTGCTCTGGGGCTTTTGGAAGGAGGTGTGAGGCTGTGAGGAGGTCCTAGAGCCCTCCCATCTCCTTCCCAATGCTGTGAAAGTGCTACCTAGACTTTGGGAAGAAGCTGGGAGGACTCTAGGGCCCTCTTGGAGCTGCCTCGCTTACCTTTGGGAAATCAGCATGAGGGTTGCAGGGTGTGGGTGGGTGTCAAATACTGCTGAAGGCCACCAAAGAAGTCCTCGAGGGCCACACATTGGACCCCTCTGGTTTAGATAATGCGCCTGGATCCCAACTGAGCCTGTGGTAGTAGCAGAGGGAATTCAAGATCATTTGGCTCTGGCCAAATCTGTTAAGCATCTTCTCTGCACATGTAAAGAAGTTGGTGCAGAACAAATGTGTTTCCATAGAGACAGCTGGAGATGCTTCCGGGAGAACGGTAGGTGTGGCTTTTCTCACCTCATCTGGCTAGGTGCCACTCATCCTAGGAAGGAGAACAATAGGCCAGGAATGAGTGTAGCTGAACCTGGAAACAAAAAAAAGGAGACATGGAAGCTTGACTTTCTCAGGGTTCAGAGGCCTCCCTGGAAACCAAAGGGAGCCAAGATCTGTTGGAGTGTTGATGCTCTAAGTCCTTCCATCCTATGCCCAGGTTGTATATATGTGTGAATAAAACCATATATTCTAATGATAAGACACTTCTGGTGATTATTATTTTTAAAGTGCACACACAGATTCTGCCTTTGTTTACAAGCTTTTATCAGTGTATATTTATTCTCTTGAGGAAAGTACATGCATTATTTTATAGATCCAAATGAATTCCAGTTGACATTGGGTTCTGGCACTTACTGCTGGTTTCACAAAACTTGTTAAACGACAGAAATCACACAGTTCTCTAAGATAAGTTATTTTAAGCTATTGTCGGGGGGTGGGGGGAATCGGGTACCTGAAGTTATCTTTCGGAAAAATGTGCTGAAGTTACCCATTGAATTACAAACCAGTCATGTGGAAAATCTATTTAAAATAAGAAGCTGTTTTCCGTAATGCTTATCCATCGGAACACATTGGGATCTCTGTTTTGCTTTCAAGTTACCAATATAATTTTACTAATTGACTTTTGCTTGGTATTTTAACCGGGGGCGGGGCGGTGAGGTGGGATGGCCAGGATCATCCTGAAGACATCAATGTGGAGTAAACACTCAGTGCTTACATTGTGACTTCAATTACAAAGGATAGATGGAGCTGTGTGTGCTAGAGATCAATCTGTAACTGTGAACAATCGATTGCAGCAAGTTGCTACTTTTCTGTATCACATTTCAAGCTTCCCTGCTACAGTATATGGTGAATCATTCTCTAAACTTGGCACTTGCTGAGTCCATTCTCAGAAAAATGAAAAGCATTTAGGAAATAATTATGGTCGGCTTCAGGTGTTGTGTGGCTGCCAGATTTTGTTGCTGAATATCCTATTGGTACGCCCTGAAATAAACTTTTAAAGTATGATGTTCCTTTAAAATGTAACTAGAAATGCTACACACATCCCACTGCCCCCTGAGAGTCCAAGGAGGAATGAGAGATAATGGTGTACTTTAGCAGATGAGATGTAAGTTGCCAACAGTGCCTTATTTTCATATATTATCTCTTTGCCTTTTGGTGATGGTTTATATAGCCAGCCAGACATGCATCTATCATTGTGGGCTCCACTTCACCTTATGAAAATTTTAGTGCCATTTCAAAGGGAAAAGTGGGGGAAGCCATTACTAAATTCTGGGTGAACAGTGTACTTCTGAAAGGGAAAGGTTACAAGTTTTAAAATGAAGAAAGTTTGTTTAGCAATTTGGGAGTTTCCTTACTGGTAGGATATCTCTCAACAGAAATCCTTTTTAAGTCTGTTTTTGATCCATTCTGAATGTTTCGGTGTGTGTGTTTTCTTAAAGGTACGTGTTCTTTTTGGAGCCATGCAATGTAGATCTGGTGAAACGGAAGATCAAGTCCATCGCTCTTTGCGTATCAGCATGTCCACGGAAGGAGTTGAAAACCCTGGCTGAGGTTCAGAATTTTGCAGAGACTAATGGTAAGGCAAAACAACAACAACAGTGCTATTTCTATTTCTGCTCAGTATTATAGAGGGCTATAATACTGTCTTAGTACAGTCGAACCTCTACTTACCACTGCCTCTTCTTACAGTTGTTGCAAGTCGCGACCGCAGCAAACCCAGAAGTAACCGGTGGGTTTGCCGCCATTTGCGCATGCGCAGGAGTGGGCAATCACCACCCGTGCCTGCGCACAATGGCGCCTCTCCCAGCGACCCATTTCAACCTCCAGACGGACCTCCGGAACGGATTATGGTCGCAAATAGAGGTTCCACTGTATTTTAACTTTCCTGGTATTTTAACTTTTGTGTGTTTTAAAGTACAGTTGTGATTTTTTGTCAGTTTTATTGCTTTATCTTTTTGTAAACCACTCTAAGGTTGGTTGTTGTTTCTTACAATCAAGCAGTGTAGAAATTTTCGTGGAATAAATAATAATAAAATATTAATCAGAGAGCATTTTTTAAAAAAAAAGTAAACAGTGTGGTCCACTACCTAAGAAGAGGTTTTTCTGCTTCTCTAAGATTGTTCCTGCTATAATGTGTGTGCATGATTACAGACTACTGTAATGCACTGTATGTGGGGCTACCCTTGTATCTGGTTTGGAAGCTGTGGCTAGTGCAAAATGCAGCTGCTAGAATGCTTTGTGAGACATTTGTGAGAAGTGCGCATATTACACTGGTGTTGATAGAACTGCAATGATTGCCTATTACAGGGGTGGCCAGCTACCAAGAGACTGCGATCTACAGTACTTACAGAATTAAAAACTAAAAACTGGCAGTGATCTACCCCCGTTTTGGGGGGGGTTCAGGTCAAAGTTTTTGACCTTTTTTTAGGGAGGAAGAAAGCTCCGTTTTTAAGGCTGGGGAAACAAACAGCCTCACTGAGTGAACTCCATCTTCCATCCAGCAGATTGTGCAACAATGGAGGACAGGGCGAGGGGGCAGGGCAAGATTCGATTTTACCAACACTAAGGAAAGGGACCCAGCGATCAACCGCGATCTCCCAAAACCTCACGGGGATCTACCAGGAGATCACGATTGACCTGTTGGACATCCCTGGCCTATTAGATCCTCAGGCTACATTCCTGTTCCTTCAGGGGGACGTAACCTATCCCAAACAGGCTCTCTCCCTAGGTCCTGCATCTTTTTAATGTTATGAACCATCCTGAGATCTACAGGAATAGGGAGGTGTACAGATGATGATGATGATGATGATAGTCTCTCCTGATTTAGAAGATGCCCAAGCTTCTGTGAGAATAAGCATGTTCTGCTAGCCCAAAACCAGTATTTCTGACTCTATGTGACAAATGAACAATATTAATATTTGCTGGAAAATGCTTCTTTAATAATGTGATATTCCCATTTCTCTTCTTATTTTAAAAAGCTTCCCCTTCCCTCAGAGTTCTGCTCTCCTCTGCCAGCCCTCTCAGGTTTTTAAATTAGCATTAGCACGTTAATCCTAAACCAAGGCATTGGATTTTATCAGAAAAGACACACTAATCTCTCTTCACTTTGTGTGACCTTGCGGGGGCAACTGCTTGTGTTTGAAGTAAGCGTACCAGAAAGTAGATGCAAGCACTGAGGGTTGGGACAAACCACTGGGTGCATTGAACGTGTTGATAAAGTAATCAAGAAAAAAGGAATTTCACTGAAAGATTTCTTACGGACATTATTGTTAAGGGAGACTTAGTTAAGTTTTCATAATTAAAATACTTCGGAATCTGATTTATTTAACTGGAGACATTTTGTCTGCCTTGTAGAAATGAGAAAATTTCTGGTTTAGGGTTTGTAATTGAGTTTTTACAGACTTTCTGCTTAATACATAGGTACAAAAAATAGTGGGCCATTATGCTTTGGTGCAACATGAAGGAAGCCGGTACTTGAGTAGTCTCTTCTCTCTCCTCCCCTTGCATACCCTGTTTTCTTCCCTCACTTCTGTTTAAGTAGCAAATCATGCTTGCAGTTACATTCAAACTAGGAAAATATGGTTTGTGCAAACCATTGTTTGCCCACAATCCAGCACCACAAACCAGGATTGAAACAAACCATTTTTTCCATTTCAGAGAAAATAACAAAACAAGGGTTTGTGAAGAACTACAAAGGAAGTGCAGAAATCACTGCACATGAGGGAAGGAGGCCACATGTGAACCCAAGACTTAAGATTTTTTTGGGTATTAACACCAAAACATGGTTTAGCATTGTTTCTGAAGCAATTCAGTGCCTTGAAGTGTTGGGCTTTAGGTTTGCCGCAAAATGAAACAGAGGTGAAATATCATTAAAGAGCATATAAATATTGAGTTGTAGCTGCAAAACTGGATGCCTTCATCTTCCCCACCTTCAATAAAACCTGTCTCTCCTGCCACCGTGGTGGCATTTTGACTGAGTGCATCAGCCTGACACTTATACAAGTGACACAAACATTTTATGATGAATGCATTTAATAAGAAGTTGAGACGTTTCTCATCTCCCACAGCTTATAATCATAACCAATCATTCAACACTTAATTTATTATGTTACCAACAGTAGTGAAGGATTTTCTCTGCCCTGTGGTGTTGGAATGTAAAAATATGTAGCCATGTTGACTTCTAAAAAATTGATTTTGGCTCTTACTACATATATATATATATATATATATATACACACACACACACACACACACACACACACACACACAGTGGTACCTCGGGTTAAGTACGTAATTCATTCCGGAGGTCCGTTCTTAATCTGAAACTGTTCTTAACCTGAAGCACCACTTTAGCTAATGGGGCCTCCTGCTGCTGCTGTGCCGCCGGAGCACGATTTCTGTTCTCATACTGAAGCAAAGTTCTTAACCCGAGGTACTATTTCTGGGTTAGCGGAGTCTGTAACCTGAAGCATATGTAACCTGAGGTACCACTCTCTCAGTGTGTGTGTGTGTGTGTGTGTGTGTGTGTACACACACACACAGTAGTCACGAAATTAAAAGACGCCTGCTTCTTGGCAGAAAAGCAATGACAAACCTAGACAGCCTCTTAAAAAGCAGAGACAGCACCTTGCCAACAAAGGTCCATATAGTTAAAGCCATGGTTTTCCCAGTAGTGATGTATGGAAGTGAGAGCTGGACCATAAAGAAAGCTGATCGCCGAAGAATCAATGCTTTTGAATTATGGTGCTGGAGGAGACTCTTGAGAGTCCCATGGACTGCAAGAAGACCAAACCTCTCCATTCTGAAGGAAATCAGCCCTGAGTGCTCACTAGAAGGACAGATCCTGAAGCTGAGACTCCAATACTTTGGCCACCTCATGAGAAGAGAAGACTCCCTGGAAAAGACCCTGATGTTGGGAAAGATGGAGGGCACAAGGAGAAGGGGACGACAGAGGACGAGATGGTTGGACAGTGTTCTCGAAGCTACCAGCATGAGTTTGACCAAACTGTGGGAGGCAGTGGAAAACAGGAGTGCCTGGCATGCTCTGGTCTATGGGGTCACGAAGAGTCGGACACGACTAAACGACTAAACAATCGGTCTTAAGTGACACGTCTACGTATCCCATGCTTCTGGTTTACTGAAAATCCGATGTCTAAGTAACTGAGTTGTATTTGTCTCTAGAGAAAATGATTACAGAGCCTCCTGGTTTAAGAAGAGAGAGGCTTAAATCTATGCCAGATTTAGTACAGCATTATCTAGACCTGAGTATCCCAAGGTGAACAACAGTTGCATTTTAATTAAATTTAACTTGTCAAATTTAATCAAAGCCAATCAAATTTAATATCAGAGCCAAGAAATTGTCACCGAAGGCAATTCTTAGCACCAAATCAGTCCTAGGCATGGGGTTATTTTAAGCAAACCCTGCTAATTTCTGCCATATTTTCTCATAAGTACCGTATTTTTCCATGTATAAGATGACCTCTATTTTTTTTTTAATCCAAAACTAAGAAGTTACTCAAAATTGTTGAGCTTTCTGCAGGGCACCAATGCTGCCCGCTGAGTGAAGCAGAAGCTTTCACGGCAGCCGTGGGAAGATCAAGGAAATACCGTATTGTTCCACGTATAAGATGACCCCCAATTTTTGACTAACAAAATTGAGCAAAAAGCATTGTCTTATACACTGAAAAATACGGTAAGTGTGAATGGGGTCGTTGCCTAGGAGAAGTAGTCAAAGGTGCTATGGGGGAAAACGGCTTCTTGTAACCTTTGGATTTTTGCCAGATGGCATGTAGCCCCAAGCTGTCATTTGAACAGAAATGCAATTTTGAGAAGTTGTAATGGATACATAAGATGTTTTGGTTTGATATTTCACGGTTCAGTGGTACTGTGGGGGGGTCTTCTTCAGCGTCCTTCGTAATAGCCTAGGACTGTCTGTATCTGTCAGTGCTGTCATGTACATTTATAGAGACAATATAAAAAGACTTTGTGGGGGAAAGAAACTTGAAACAATGTGCTTGGCTGCTGAGAGTGGCGGTACCTTTTCTTAATGGATCGTGTTTACATCAGCGACTGCCTATCACAAAGTGAACGAAAAACACTTTTGAGCACATTTTAGGTCCATTAAAATGTACAGAGGGATTGTCAAGAAGTGGGAGAAGTTGGATTGTTTCTTATACTGAAACGCTCAACCTGCAGGTGCTTTTTGATGACTTGAAGATCACAAACCTTGCAAAGATTTTCCATAAACTTTCCTGTTATTTTTGGTACTCTCCTCCCCCCACCCCGATTCTCTGTGTCTCAGTAGCTAGGGTTTAGGGTCAAAAAAGGATTTCTTTGCAGTATTCTGGTACAACTTTTGTCTGCTGTAATTAAAAAAATAAAAATTCTTCTCTGCATTAACCTCTGTTGTGAAGCTAGTTTTTGAGTCAGGAGTTTGACAACTGTGGAGTAATTTCAAAGGAATCTGTGATCTTGTAAAAAGAAGGAAATGTCGGCATGTGATGACAATTCCCTCATTCCTTCTTGGTAAAGCTTTGTTGTGAATATGCTTCAGCAGAGTTGGATCACTGTCAGAAGAGGAATTTAAATAACTAAATATTTTCCAATAATTCTTAAAATATGAATACGAACAATCTGTTCATTTCAATGAAGCTTCACCATGGAAGAATGATGGAGAAGAGCTTCTGTCTGGTAAGTCATGTGTAAATTCATGTGCGGTCAGTTGCTAGAACCATGTTTCTGAGAACCAGGGGTTTTATCAAGATTCTTCCAGAAAAACATCAGCAATGGCAAAAATTAAGTTGTCCACCATAACCAATCTTCGACCAAAATGCACAGGTCATGGAGAATGGTGCGTTTGCTTTAGGTTGTCCTCTTTGTAGCCCCAGAAAGTCTGGTAGGTCCCGCAAATGGAGACTGCACCCCAGTAAGTGCCTCGGAATCCAGTGGCATAGTGTGGGTTGCCAGTGCCTGGGACCACGTGGATGGGGGGGTGAGAGGGAGGGAAACTGCAAGCATGCACATTCAACAGCCTAATGGCGTCTGCATCACCCAGGAGATTGCAGACACAGAAATAAGAAGAGTCACTCTGTTGTCTGGAGAGGTCACTTCCTGGAGACGCCATTTTCAACGGAGCCCAGGAAGCATACAGTTGTATTGAGGCAGCACTGGGGGTTGAAATTTTGCACCCCCAAACAATTTTGTGCCCGGGGCAACTGCCCCTGTGGCCACCCCCACACTATGCCACTGTCTGAATCACCTGTAGTGTGCAGGGTTTCGGTGTAGTGGTTCCTGCACTGATAAATACTGTATTTTTTGCTCTATAAGACGCACTTTTCCCCTCCTAAAAAGCAAGGGGAAATGTGTGTGCGTCTTATGGAGCGAATGCAGGCGGGAAGCTCTGCTCAGCGCTCCCTTTAACGAGCCGCGTGGAGCGTGTGTGCGGCTCTTGGGGGCTTTTCCCCGAGGAGGGAGAAGGGCTGCCCTTCTCCCTCCTCGGGGAAAAGCCCCCAAGAGCCACACACACAATCTGCAAGCTCTTTAAAGGGAGCACGGCTCTTGGGGGAGCCTTAGCCGCGTGCAGCCTCTCCCGGGCAGTGGGAGCCTTCATCCCCTGCCCGGGAGAGGCTGCGCGCGGCCAAGCAAGAAGCCAGGACAGCCAGCAGGATCGCTGCGCAGCTGTCCTGGCTTCTGCGATTCAGATTTTTTTTTTCTTGTTTTCCTCTTCCAAAAATTAGGTGTGTCTTATGGTCTGGTGCGTCTTATAGAGCGAAAAATACGGTAGCTGCAGAACGGGTTTCCAAAAGGTCATGGAGTTTGAAATCCACTTCTCTTGAGCGGTTGCTGGAGAGTCCAAAGAGTTCAGTGGAAATGCGAAAGTTTGAGAACTGCCAGGACAACAAGCTCTGAATGTGCAAATAGATTGTGCCATCTCCGTTTCTTCCCCACAGAGACCTTGCTGCTCAGGGAAGCCTTTTCAGCGGCTTTCTTGCAACCCAGAAACGCAGCTGCCTCCAGATAGACACACTAGGCCTAGGGGCTCTGCAGCTGATAAAAGGGAGCACACTTAAAATGTACAGTGATAAAAAAACCTGATCTACTGTGAGCTCTGCGGCATGAATGTTTAATGCCCTTCTGCCATTCCTACTTATAACTTGTCACCCCTTGATACAAGTTTAAAGCTATGGGATTCGGTGGCTTGCTTCAGTTCACAGAGGGTGGCATTATTTAGGAGAACCATGCTGATTTATCTCCGCTAGCTACGGGGCTCAAACTCAGCTAGCGGAATGGAGAGTTCCATAACCTTTTGATCTAATCCGTTGGGTTAAATCCTGATTCTCTTTATTCGTAGAGGCGGGTGGGCAGCTATTGCAGGTGTAAACTACTACACCAGTTCTTCTACTACACCAGTTCTTTCTTGGGGAGTACTAGGCTTTTTGGGGGGGAGGCTTTATCTTTGAAAAATTGGTATTTTGTAGATCTAGCTTCCGTGCCGCTAAAGCTGTTCATGTTTATAATATCAATGGACGTGGTAGATCATTCCTCCTCAAGTCATGTTTTCCAAAAAAAATTTCCTCTCTTTTTTCTTTAAACAGGCTCCACTTTGTGTAGTTATGAACTAAAGCCATCTGAATACACTACAGATCCAAGGGCTGCCAAGCTTTGCCCCAAGCTCCCAGTTCCAGAGAGGTAATGAAATGACTGCTTTGTGTCTCATTCTTGGGTCAAAACATAACTTTTGTCGTTGTTAATATGAGATAAAATGACTCAGCAGCCTTATTGCTAGCTCAGCATGCAGCCGCAGGGTATATTTATAGGTGTTCCCTTTAACACCCTTGTCTAAGGAAAAGGACCAGTTTCTTATCTGATACACTTTACAAGTTAAGACAGCATTTAAAAATACATTGGAAAATGTGTTATATTGATACTGCTGCCACCACTCAGCCTGGAACTTGAAGGAGTTTAGCGCTTTTAGGATGCTCTGCTATAAACAGCTTAGGGGTGTGTTTGATGCACGTGCATGAGAATGGTTCTTTGTCAATTGCGACAGAACTGTTGTGTCTTCTCTTGTATTTCACTGAGTGACATTTGGTTTGTTGGCTGGTTTTTGTTGGACCCCTAACATCCTGCTCCTGAGTTTCTCAGTCTAGAATGTGGAAAACTAGAGTCATAGCTATGCAGGGATCCCCTTTGTACCCACGGTTTAACATCTAATCTGGAAACAACCTTTGACACTGCTCGTAGTTTATTGAGCTTGTCTGATCAGCATATAGCCTCATAACTGAAGGAAACTGAAGGCCACTTAATGAAAAATTTAAACTGGTTATTCGGTCTGAACATTCAAACAGTTAATTTTTGACCGATTCTAATCCCCAAATCTCTAAAATGGTTGGATTTCTTGAATTTACGAGCACTTATCTTGCATTCAAGCCTTTGCCCCTCATCAGCACAGAAAGTAAAGAAAGCTTTTAGGGAATGAGATCTGCAAAACTCAATTTTAATTTTAAATTCAGAAACTTTAATTTCATTTTCTTTTCCCGTATTCCTAAGTGTAAAGTGTCCAGGAAAACCCCACCTTATGGCAGCCCTAACCAGTTCTGTAGTTTGTGTTACGGTTTATTTGATCCAATAATTTGGATTAAAGGAAACCTATTATTAGTAAAAGTGACAACAGTAGGTTGTATTCTATTTTCCCTGAAATAACTGCAAAACAGTGTAATAAGGGGCCAGATAGGAAGCTTTTGAAAAGTGAAATGGGCACGGGGGAGAATTCCACCCCACCCCCCGGACTTCTTTCTGTTTTTCAGGCTCATTTTTGATGCTAATGTTCTGTGGCGCTTCTGCCTTCCCAAAAAACCTTGTATGCCATGGTAAAAATGAAGGTCTGAATACGTATGTATGCATCCATGCGTTGGAAAGTGTGTGTGTGTGTGTGTGTGTGTGTGTGTGTTAATGTAGAATCCCTCCCGCCCATACAGAGCTCAGAACATTATTAAACGAAGGATTATACTTGAGAGAAGTTGCAATTCCATTAAGACATGTAATATCCCTGGATATAATCAACAGCCATTAATAAAAGAACAGAGGGTCACTTTGAATAAATTTATTATTCTGTTCGTTATTAAAAAAGGGGGCAGCACATCTCACACCTACCAGAGTTAGAACTCCTGAAATAGAAATTAGTCTCATGCGCTGGATTCTCAAGAGTCCCATTTATTCCAAGACATCATGTAGTAACCACTGACCTCATTTTTTATTCATTATAGCAAAGTTAGATTTTGTCTCCTACACATAAAACCAGGTAGTAGATAATCCCTGGCTTCAGCAAAAGGGAGTTCAGTGTAGTAATGGCTAGCTATGGTAAATTTGGGGTTGCAGAGGACAAGGCCATCTCTGAGCAAGAGTAGTCCCAGATCAAGAGATTTTGCCGCCTGAGGCAAAGGACAAGATGGCACCTACCCCTATGCCATTTACAGTAGCCAGCCAGATTGGCAGGTGAATCTTATTTTAACGATGGGGCCAGAATACTGTCTTCCGCCACACCTGAGGACAGCAGGCTAGCTTATACAGTGGTACCTCGGGTTAAGTACTTAATATGTTCCGGAGGTCCGTTCTTAACCTGAAACTGTTCTTAACCTGAAGCACCACTTTAGCTTAATGGGGCCTCCTGCTGATGCCGCGCCGCCGGAGCACGATTTCTGTTCTCATCCTTAAGCAAAGTTCTTAACCTGAGGTACTATTTCCGGGTTAGCAGAGTCTGTAACCTGAAGCGTATGTAACCCGAGGTACCACTGTATAGGGCATGGAGCAGGCTGTGTAACACATGCATCTGTGTCCACTCCCTGCTGCTCAGTATCTGCCGCCTGAGGCAACTGCTTCATTTTGCCTTATGCTGGGTCAGGCCTCCCCTGCCAGCAAAGGGTTATGGCTAGTACCTGAACAACCATGAAACTGGTTTCAGTGAAGCCAAGGTGGCTTTACACTTGCTCTTCCTCAAACAACAGTCAAGCCGCCCAGTGCTGCATAGCAGACTGCTTTCAAAATGGATGGAAGTTTCAGGAGGAGGAGCTCACCTATGCTATGCTGGTTCGAAAACAGTTATTGCCTCGTAAAATTGCACCAACATGCAAATCACGTACAAACTATTCCACTTCATGGGCCTTGGCTAATGGCAAATCTTTGACATTTGTGTAATTCTCTGATAATAGAAGTTGCTATTCCTGAATCTGCTGTTCACATTGTAAAGATAGAAAAACAAAACCACGTTTAAGAGCATTTGTTCACACTGCCCACTACATGAGTGAAGTTTTATAAGTTTTATCTTTAATACCTTGCTTGCCACAAAAATCCCTTTATAGGGGGGAAATTGTGAAAACTTTGCTCTCAGCAGTGAGTATTTTCATATATTTTGGGTGGAGAAGAATCCAAAAATTTGGTACCTAATGTTTCGACTCATGTGCCTTTCTCTCAGTCAAGTTGTGAATTCATAAGTAATGAAAATGTTTATTCATGTTTATTTTTATGTTATTCATTTATTATTTTAATAACAAGTGCTGTTATTGCTGTAATTATGTGTATGTTTTAAAATTTTATATATGTATATATTTTTAATTCTATTAATGCTCACTTGTTTTTAATGATTTCCCCCCTATATTTTGGCAATTCTTGTTTTTATCTGTAAGCTGTATTGACTCATGTCAGGGAAAAAGGCAGAATATAAATATATATAGTAATAATATTTATAGTAATATGTAGTAATAATAGATATAACATTATTATTATTATTATTATTATTATTATTATTATTATTATTATTATTAAATAACACCTAAAGTATCCTAAGTGCTGCACAAAAATAAAAAAAACAAGATAATGTCAGCCCATAACGTTACAATATAGCAGACAGAACACATTTGCTTTCCTGTTTTTTGTTTTTGTTTTGGCTTCCTACTTGTTCTGCTTTACATTGTTAGTCGCATTGAACGTTTTGTTGTAGGGTGTCCTGCAAATATTGTAAAATGAAACAAGCACATTTTAATAAAGGAGAAGCGGACAAAGAGGTAAATCTAGACCCCACTTCTTAAGGTTCCCAAATCATTCTTGCGATAGCCAGCTCAAACAGAAGCACTCTCACCTCTCTCCCTCTCTCTCTCAAATGTAGCCTGGTGGAATGGCCCCCGCCCAAAGATGACAGTTCAGAGAGGAGAAGAGCCAAATGCAGCTAGTTTCATAGCCAAGCAAGTAGAACAAGGCCTACTATCTGGTCGCTTCCTCAGGTGCATCCAGGTGAAGCAGTTGCTAATAGACAGGACCTAATGCCACAATATATTTGAGTGTTTTTCTCCAGTGTTGTATGAGAGCTAGGTAAGATTTCTTCCATAGAAACTGGGATCCTCCTGCCTCAAGTGTATATTTTCTATATACAGTCAAACCTCAGAACTCGAATGGCTCCGTTGCCGAACGTTGCAGTTCCTGAAGGCCAAAAGCTCGGAAGTAAGTGTTCCGGTTTTCAAACTTTATTTGGAACGTCCAACGCGGCTTCCGCTTGAGTGCAGGAAGCTCTTGCAACCAATCGGAAGCTATGCCCAGGAACTCGAACATTTTGGAAATAGAACCGTCTTCCGGAACGGATTACTTTCGGGTTCCGAGGTTTGACTGTACAGCTAAAGTTTTAGAAAGTATGGTGTCTCGTAAGAAAGTATTCCGAATTAAGGGAAATGACTCTTACATAATGGTAATACTTACAGTTAGAATTGCTTTTTGCAAAACAAACAGCTTCAGGGATTTTATATCTTCCCCCTCATCATGCACACGACAACATCAGGAACTCCATGCATCCTGGAACAGCTCCCTTCAGGCTGAGGTGATCGCGCTTTTGCTGGGGAGAGTGTTGGTGGTGGTGGACATGATGTAGAAAGGGTGAGGTTCTCACTGGCCCCTTCAGGCATTTGGAAATGAACTCCTAAATAGGGCTTCAGTAGAGGAGCATGGGACACGGGTGGCGCTGTGGGTTAAACCACAGAGCCTAGGACTTGCCAATCAGAAGGTTGGCGGTTCGAATCCCCGCGACAGGGTGAGCTCCTATTGCTCGGTCCCTGTTCCTGCCAACCTAACAGTTCGAAAGCACGTCAAAGTGCAAGTAGATAAATAGGGCGGGAAGGTAAACGGCGTTTCCGTGCGCTGCTCTGGTTCGCCAGAAGCGGCTTAGTCATGCTGGCCACATGACCCGGAAGCTGTACGCCGGCTCCCTCGGCCAATAAAGCGAGATGAGCGCCGCAACCCCGGAGTCGGGCATGACTGGACCTAATGGTCAGGGGTCCCTTTACCTTTTAGAGGAGCATGAAGGTGTGCTGTTGACTCTGTGGCCTCGCTAGCCTTTGCAATCTGAAGTTGTACAAGCCAATGAAGTTTTAGCACTCCATCTGCACAAACTACGCTTTAGTCATTGCAGCTCGCTTGAGAGCTTACACTTTAGAACTGCTTGTCAGCTCTGTGGAAATGGAGGCTCTAAAAATTCTCTAGATGTGGCAGGTTGCAATTTCCTCTCAGTTTGGGGATAATAATTAGACAATGAGTGTTAAGTATGTTTGCGAGTGATTAAGTAATAAATCGTGAAAGGGGTTTGTTGAAGGCAGCATATTCTACTCTGCCTGCATGAAGCGAAGGTTGAGCATTTTTTGAAAGACTTCCCATGGAGGACCCAAAAGGCACTGCATACTCAGCTTGCCATAACTTGCTTGAACCTGGCAAGTAAGACAGCAGGAACTGATTCAGAGACAGAAGAGCCTAGAGGTTAAATAACGCTCCCTTTGCATATGAAAGAGTGATTCTGTTCATTGATTCCAATTAGAAAGACGAGTGTCTTGCAAATAGAAATGCGAAAGCTTCTCTCTTTACAAAGGGAAATAAAAATAGGTTTGACAGTCTGGTATATATTTTGGTGGCAGCAATGCTGCTGTCTGTGTAGGAAGAATGGGGGTTGATGGGAACATTAACACGCCAGGAAGTTGTGCTTTTCTCCGTAGGCCCTAATTCCATGCAAAATATTGATGACTGAAATGTGGGATTTTCCTAACATTCTTTACGGTAGAGATTTGGATATTATTGCAAAAGCAATAAGTTGATACTTTGACACCACTGCCGAAGCACGACTTCAGCAATGCTTTTGCAGGACATGGAATAATATTATAAACTGGGAGCAAAATTTGTATTTAGCTGTGGTATGTCAAAGTAGGAGACTTCAGCACTGAAATAAAACATTTAGGGAAGGTCTGCTATGTTTGGCATTCCAACACAGTTCTTTCTTAATGCTATTTTGCTACAATTGTTGGACACCTTTTTGTTCTAACATCAGTGGAAATCTTAAAACCAGGATCTAAATCAGGAGGAGGCCAGTTCACTGTCCCTCAGACCTTGTGGGGGGGCCGGACTATATTTTGAAGAGAGAAAAAAATGTACGAATTCCTATGCCCCACAAATAACCCAGAGATTCATTTTAAATAAAAGCTCACATTCTACTCATGTAAAAACACCAGGCACGCCCCACAAATAACCCAGAGATGCATTTTAAATACTAGGGCACATTCTACTCATGTAAAAACATGCTGATTCCCAGACTGTCCGCAGGCCAGATTTAGAAGGCGATTGGTCCGGATCCGGCCCCCGGGCCCTAGTTTGCCTACCCATGATCTAAATCAATCAGTGACCAGCAGGTCTCATGTGACCGACACAGGCCTCCCATGCAGCTGGCCCAAGCATCCTGTAAAGAGTGTTGCCAGTTGCCTAAGCTGAGCTGAGTACAATTGCAAGGGGGGAAGGAAGAGCACAGGACATCAACATATATAAATCACAAGAAGGTGCACGTGTACATCATGCTCCTCTCAGCCTGCCAGACAGCTGTCTGACAGGCTGGGAGGAACACGTTCTGTTCTGTTCTGTTCTGTTCTGTGCTGGTGTGGAGGGAAATCTGCCCTTCTCTGCCCCGGGAGGCTATTGCCATTGGGGCCCCTGCTTTTGAAGACATTTCCCCTCTTGCTTGGCTATAGCGGAGTTGAAACAGTCATTAACTGGGCTCCTTGATACGGATAAAGCAAAACAAATTGTTGTGTTTGAGACTTTGGGCGTGGTAGCTGCAGAATTAGGCTTGGAATTCTAGGTATATTGCACTGGTGTGTGGAGGGTGTTTGTGAAAGAGTGGAGGGAATAATGTTTGTATGAGATATGTGGAGTGTATGTGGGCGTGCATGCCCAGAGCACACCACTGGCATGCACCGCCTGTGTGCCCATATAGCCCTTAGGGGCTAAAAGGTTGCCTACTTTGATCTAAGGAGTTTTACATAGAGATCTACATTAGGGTTACCAGACGTCTCCGGTTCCTGGGGACAGTCCCCGGATTTGCAAATCTTTCGCCCACCATTTTTCCTGTGCCACGGCAGTGAGTAGCAAGTAGCGAGCAGCTCCTGAAGCCAGCCAGAGCCAACTGCACTACTAGACTGGCCCCTCCTGGGCAACAGCCACCCACCCATGACTCCCGAGCCTCCCCTGATCTGTCAAAACAAAGGGGGAAGGGGGAAGGAGATCAGGGAAGGCTCAGGAGTCACAGGCAGGCGGTGTGCCGTTGCCCAGTTTTTTAAAAAACTCTGCGCATTTATGTTTCACAGGGTGCGAAAGAAGGGCTTTGCACCTTTATACAATATGCATGTGTGCTTGGGCGCAGGGTCTTTTGCCTCACCATCCCCACTACTGACTCCCTGTTGCTACTTAGCTGCAAAAAAAAAAAGTGTCCCCGGATTCATTGAAAAAGATCTGGTAACCATAATCTACATGTGCACCGAGAACTTCCAGGACTCCCTTCCCAACCCCCACGGCCCTATCTCTATTTTTCCCTTCCCCAACCTGCCACTGAATATCGACAGAGCTTTCGGAGCAGTATTCAGTATTGTATGTGGCGCTGTAGGTGGAGAATACATTAGCTGCTGCCCGCAGGGGAATTGTCATGGTCCCTGGTATGTATACGTGTAAAACACCCTGAACTGCCTTTATGTCATGCTGCAGTCTCTGTAGAGTCTAAGGTGAGCAGCCTTACTTCTGGGAGTTACAGAAAATCGTCTGCCCGAGGCTCACCGCAATCTGAATATTTTCTGGAAATGTCTGAAAACCTCTGCGTTACACATAATTAATTATATCTAGACATATTGGACTAGCGGTGTATTTTTTTAAAAAAAATAAAATAAATTGTATTTGGGGCTGATGGGTTTTGCTCTGTGTTCTGAGTTGATGGGACGGGAAACATCAGAATGTGCACTCCACCCTCTTCTTGGGATATCTTGGTTTTTAAAAACAGCATCACGACCCATTACAGTCATCTCCATTTACAGCAGCACCTTTCCGTTAACCTTGCAGCTCTTGGTTAGATGTTTACGAGGGTGGAGTGTACGGCATCAGTTCACCTTCCATTTGTGTGTTGATGTGGCATTTATATTACCTAGGAGTAATTTTTTTTTCTGATTATTTTTTTCCTTGTATCACCAGTGCACCTATTCCATTCTTCCATCGCTGTGCTCCTGTGAACATTTCCTGCTATGCCAAGTTTGCAGAGGCCCTGATCACCTTTGTCAGTGACAGTAGTGTCTTGCACAGGCTGATTAGTGGAGTAATGACCTGCAGAGAGATTATATTGGGACTTTGCTTGTTATCACTAGGTAATTGTTTTTCTCGTTCTTAGCTATTTCTACAGTACTGCAACAGGAGAATGTGAACATCTTCTGTCCCCACAATGTGGAAATAAAGCATGTTCAGTATTCGCTATTATAGCAGACGATTCCAAATTATATTTCCTACCCAGCAGCTGAATTAAATGTTTTTTTTTAACATGTATGTGCATTTGACTCTCCTTATATGTAACTAATGTGGGGATTTTGACTCAGCTCTGTGTCACTGTCATTGAACCCTCTGCTTTCCTTTAAAACAACCTCCCAAGTGTACAGTATTCATAAGCCTTGGGCTTAAGCTTTGGGTTCAGATTGCTAAGTGAATGTTGATACTTAACCCTTAATATCTTCAGGAACTTGGGTTAAAAGTAGGGCTGATATTTTTATTTTTTTATTTAGTTGATCAGTCTCCCAGTTCAGTGGGAGATCGCCTGAGAACCACATGTAAGGTGCTCCCTCAGAGATCTTGCAAAGCAAAACAAGAAGTCAATGAAAATATCATTTAAGTAAATGTGAACATTATCGTAGCTTTAGTATAGCTGCCCTTTTTGATCATGATTGCATGAATTGTGGAGCTTGCACTTTAATAAACAAAGGCTATCTATCATTATTGGAAGAAAAGGCCCATATTTCATAACTCTCCTAGTCTCTGTTTCTGAAACATACTGTATTTTTTGCTCTATAAGACTCACTTTTCCCCCTCCTAAAAAGTGAGGGGAAATGTGTGTGTGTCTTATGGAGCGAGTGCAGGCTGCGCAGCTATCCCAGAAGCCAGAACAGCAAGAGGGATTGCTGCTTTCACTGCGCAGCGATCCCTCTCGCTGTTCTGGCATCTGAGATTCAGAATATTTTTTTTCTTGTTTTCCTCCTCCAAAAACTAGGTGCGTCTTGTGGTCTGGTGCATCTTATAGAGCGAAAAATACAGACCTAACTAACCCTAAAAAAGAGTTGCATGTACCTTACGTTCTAGTCCCATGAATTAAAATTGTATCTGATTCTTTCAAATGAGAGCAGAGCAGACACACACACACACGCCCCCCCTTCAAAAAATAACCTTTTCAGTGACAGTTGAGAGGACACTTTGAACTGTCCAAATGAAGTCATATAAATGCAGCAAAAGGAGAGCACAGCCCCAGATGCACATCAGAATGTGTCCTGGGATGTTCATCCAAGTGTAGACGTTCTCTGCCTGCTCTCAATGAGATGCAGCATACTTGAATGGCCATTCTGAAGCACATTCTGGCATGGGTACAGCTGGGTTGGCTTTAGAATGAGGGCAGCACAGTTTTGCTTTCCTTGGCATCGCCCTGTAGTCAAATCTGATTGGCTCTAGGATGTTATCATTTTACATGATCCTCAGTTGGCTGAGATTATGTAGCAAAGGAGAAAGAATTTTTTTTTAATTAAAAAAATGGCACAGAAACAGCAATAGAGGAGAAATGACTGCAATAAAGAGCAGGTTTAGGCAGAATGCTTCTCCCTCCCCTATAAAACTTCACTTTAACTTTAAATGTTCAAGGGTGAACATTCAGTGCAGTTTTAATTAAAATTGGCTTTCAGTGATTGATCAACTACTTACTTGAATAATCGATTAAATAGATTAGAGATTGCAGCCGTAGCTAAAGCCTCTTCTTAATTTTGTGCAGAGTTGGAATAAAAACAATATTTGCATTATTATGTGACATTGGAGTTTTGGTATGAATTAACCCAGACAGAAGCCAGCAACAACAATTCCAGTGTTAATCCTTTGCCAAAACATATTGCATGGTATCCAATGGTGCCCATTTGTCTGCAGATGAGACTTCTGCTTGTGCAATAGGACCTCTCATTCCACCTGCAGCCCCCTCAAATCTGCTTCAGAAAGTTGAGAGACCCTCTGAAGCAGATTGGGGCACATGGAGGACTTGCCAGAGGGGTAAAAGAAGAAGAAATCCTGTCACACAAGTAGAATTTCACCTACAGCTCCTAATTATTAATACTAAAGTAAAGTTTCTGTTTAAACATATACTAATCTGATGACTGAATAGAATAGAAAAAGCCGATGGAAGACTCCATTGATTAAAAATGGAAACCAAACTGGCCCAGCTGTTATATACCCCCACGGGGAGGGGGGGAAGGATTACATCAGTTATTGATTATTGATTATATCAAGGCCTGTTACAATAGGATTAATAGACAATTAAAATAACCGCGAAGCCCAAGCACGTTAAACTCATCACTTTGGGAGGAATAGTGGAAATGTAGACCTCTGAAACTTGGTAACTAAGTTAAATTGATTGTTGCCAAGTTACGGTCAGTGTAGCTGATTTTTACTTAAAAGCCTTCACATTTCATGCAGCAGTGAATATTCCAAATGTCGGTGAATGCTGGCATGCATGTGTGAATGTTGACAATCCCGGTTGAAGTTACTAAATGTCTGAAAACAGATAGACATTTCCCCATTTTATCAGTATTCACTGGCGTATGTTCTGAGTCACATTTAAGTGATTGTCAGCATTCACCTGTTCTTCTGTGTTTTTGGATACTTGCTAATTTTAGGCTTTTGCTATAGTATACCTCTACATTTGCACACACATAAACAAACTTGGTTTGTTTGATGTGAATGACCAACTAGGTTCCTTTCAGGAACAGTGGCCACCTCCCAAATTATACCTGCAACCTGGAAGCCATTGAAGCTCTTCATGCTTTTCCAAGGCAGTGTAGTTTGTAGGAGAAACTCGCCCATGATGGCCTTATGATACTAAGTGCCAAGAGACGAGACCTTCATCTTCCAAATCAACAAAGAGCTAGACAAGTAGAAGATTGACAGTGAAAAGATCTTATTTAATGACCTCTCCTGAAGAACGCAGCTCAAGCATAAAGTAGCATGTGGTTCTTATCACAATCTTGACATCTTAATTCATACTTGTCATAATAATTGTGCTTTTTGAGCATGTGTGTGTCTGCATGCAACTTTTTGGGTTGTGCTCAACATGAGTTGTGCGGTATTTTTGCAACTCATGATAATAAAGTTGCAGTTCTATCATGTCAACATTAGTTCTGTCATTGTATGTGTCTGCATCTCACTGTTAAATACATATGTCCCATGATGTGTAAATGTTCATATAGGGTTGGTTTGTTTAACTGGCAAATCAGACACTGAGTAGGATAGCTAGTTTATCTTGTACATTTTTGTACAAACAGTTAAAAAGTGAATTCAACTGTATTTGTATTAATAAAGTCTCTTTTTGTTTTTGTTTTTGCTGTTTCCATTTTAAATAATTACCCTTCTTATTTTCTTTTGTTTTCTGCAGTGCTTTCCATGATTATGATGGTGATAATAAGATACATTTCAAGAGTACTTGTTTGGATTTTAACAATTCTTGTTGTTCTGGGATCACTTGGTAAGTTGCTGAAGCTGGTCGATGATGATGATGATGGTGATGGTGATGATGTTGATGATGATGACTGGGTTACCCTAGCCACTCTGGGCGGCTTCCAACAAATTAAAACACAGTAAGACATCAGGCATTAAAAACTTCCCTATACGGGGCTGCCTTCAGATATTTTCTGAAAGACAGATAGTTGTTTATTTCCTTGGCATCTGATGGAAGGGTGTTCCACAGGGCGGGCGCCACTACCAAGAAGGCCCTGTCTCTGGTTCCCTGTAACCTCACTTCTTGCAGTGAAGGAACCAACTGAGCCTCAAGCAACAGCAAAGGATCCAGGAGGACTGCCAAGCTACATACCCACTCCTTCAGAGAGAGTGTAACTCCATCAAGAGCAGGCAACCTCCCATCCATCCATCCGGTCTAGGGAACCACCCACTAACAGCTCCTCAGTCTTATCTGGATTGAGCTCCAGTTTGTTGGCTCTCTTCCAATCCATTACCAAGGCACATCCACTGCCTCTCCTGCAGACATAACGGAGAAGTAAAGCTGTATGTCATCATCATATTGCTGACAATGTCCTCCAAAACTCTGGATGGCCCCACTCAGCGGTTTCACCTAGATGTTAAATAACACAGGGGATCAAACTGAGTCCTGAGGAACTCCACATTGAAGGCTCCATGGGGTTGAAAAGCACTCCGCAAGCAACACCCTCTGGTTGTTGAGCTCCCAAGTAGGACTGGAAGCATCGCAAAGCGATGACACCTACCCCCAACTCATACAGCTTCTCCAGGCAGATACTATGGTTGATGGTATTGAAAGCCGCTAAGAGTTCGAGGAGAATTAACTATGACATATTTCCCCTGTCTCTCTCCCAACAAATGCAGGGTGACCAAAGCAGTTTCTGTGCCAAAACTGGGCCTAAATCCCAATTGAAATGGATCTAGAAAATCCCATGTGTTTGTGTGTGTGGTTTTTTTAACTAGTGTGGTCCTATGCCGGACACCCTCTATGCAAATGGTCCCTTAGCTATGGGTAACTATCTGCCAGAATCCAGATCACATGTAAGCCTCGTTCCCAACGTTGTCATGGGCCTCATCCAGCCCCTGCCCTTCCCATGTTGCACAGGAAATCACTGCATGGAGCTTCTACTTGTGTACATTTGAATACGAGTAGAACCCCTTGGAGTGATCAGAAACCCAGATAAAGCAGGGTCCCTGATCACCTGGAAGACTTTACTTGTATTCAAGCCTGTGCAACGCTGGGAAGGTCAGGGATGGAGCCTGGGGGGGGGGGGGTTGCACACAATGGCATTGTTGAAGTGGGGCTTGTGTATGTCCCCTGCTTCTGTCCACGCATTGGCATTTGTCTGCTCAGGCAAATGTTGAAGCATGACTTGAGAATGGAGCGCATACGTCCTCCTGGGTTGTTCTATGAGCATTGCAAAGATGGGAGTTCATTTTCCTGCCTTTAAAGAGAGACACTGGAAAAGATCAGTAGGGAAGTGATGCTTCCCTTTGTCCTCCTTGCTTCCTTTAAAACCATTCACCTTCTACTTCAGAAACAATTGATTTGCAGCCATGGTTGCACTATTAAAGCTGTGCCCATGGGAGCAATATCCATTTGGTTTAAGGATTTATGGGACTGAATGAGGATGCGGCCAATTATTAGGAAGAAAAATAAAGGGACAAAGCATGGGCAATATTTACATTCCACAATCACCTCCCATTGATGATTTCAGGGAATAAGACTTTGCTGAATAGGAAAGTGCAAAAGAAGCAGGCAAGGGAAATATAGCGATACAAGAGAAAAAGCAATAAAATTACAAGAGTGTTCTTTGGCTGTCTTTGCCCTAATTGTATTGCTGCACTGCATCAATATTGGCATGAGGCATTTGTGAAAAGCCACCCACAAACAGCAGGTTTCTTCAAGCCAGCAGTTGGAGGAGGAAGCAGATAATCCTTCCCACCTCAGGATCCTTGGGCAAGATGATTTGGAGATCGGAGAAGAGGGCATTTATTTATAGAATTCTGAGTTTCAGTTTCCGGCAAACAGAGTGTGCTCAAAGCAGGATACAAAGGAGCAGGGAAAACAATAGTTGAAAGAGTATTAAGCAGTTAAGATGGTTGTCTCCTGTCAAGTTATCACTTCAGCAAAAACAGCATCCACCCAAGGGAACTGAGAAGTTCAGCCGGGGTAAAAACTGTATTTGGGGGGGAAAGGGCAAATGGATGCTCCGGTTGATCCCAGCTTTTTTAAAAAAAGCGCTCTTAGTTCTCACCAGTGATGAAGGTGGAATGCAAAGCAAGGCCTCAAGAAATAGGGAGAGATCCATGAGCAGGCTTCAGGGAGAGGTGCCAGTTGCGATTCTGGTTCGTGCCGATCATCCTATCCTAGCCTATTGAGTGTCTTAGTTAATAATTCCTGTGTATAACCTTTTTCTTGCCTGGAACTCCTCAGCTTCTAATTACAGAACAGCATCATAGCTGTGGTAAGATGTCTTGTAAAAAGCAAGCCCTCTTTGATCAGTTGTCTTTTGCGATATCAGAATGCCACACCGTCCTGACATTTATGTTGCAGCAGATCAGTTAAGTCTGAGTCTAGCCTGGTAAAGGATGAAACTGGCCAAGCTAATTATGCTCCTTATACGTTATTACACATATGCTGTGAAACTGAAATGATCAATATCTTCTTCTTTGTGAGCACAGGTGGTACAGGAGTATTGTGGTGGTTGTACGCCAAGCAGCGGAAGTCTCCTAGCGATACTCTTACAGTTGATCAGCTTCAAATAGCCAAAGACAATCGTCAGGCCCTTCTGATCTATGCCATTGCAGCTACGGTCTTCACGGTACGTATTTAATAGCTGTGAAGTCAGGGCTCCGTGACACACGCTGCATATCTGTGTAGGCCAGAGCAGGAAGCAAAGTATTCAGCTTCACGGCTGCAAATGACAGCTTTCTCGTTCATGCAGTAAGCATTTGCAATTCATATGTGCAATGCTGTACACAGGTACAGGCCTTTCCCCCTAGTCCCTGTAGGAAAAAGTGAAGCAACCCTCATATGTTGTGGAGTATCAGGTAGGTTTTCTATGCAGGAAGAAGGCAGGCAGGCTTCTTTGCTGCCTCCCACAGGGCCTGGAACCTGCCACATCAATTAGGACATTGGGTTGTATCCAACACCAGTCATACTGAGATTCTGGAATTAATGAAAATTAACGGACACGACCAACAAAGATGCATTCATTTCAATGGGTCTTTTCTGAGTAAAAATTAGTTGATGCAACCCGTAGTGTATATGTCCCTCTCATGTCAACCATGTGCCCCTTTCTCCCAATTCACGTTATGAGCTCTATACTTGGTAGGGAAAGTGCACAAAGCCAGGGTTTGCTCCTGCATATTGCCAAATGTGAAAAACTGAGCAGGGGCGGAGGAAGGGGGTGCGGGGGTGCCACTGGGGGGGGGGTGACAAAATGCCAGGTGGCACTCACCGCAGAGCCTGCAGCACACCCTAGCCATGCGTCTCTCCTGGGAGAGACGCGGTGGCTTGGGCGCCCGCAGGCTCCACGCTGCCCAAACGGTCTGTCCGCTGCCTCCCCCCCAACTGTAGGGCGGCTGAGTGGGAGGAGGCAGGCAGACTCCGGCGGCCCCAGAGGTTTGCCTCGCCCTGCCCCTATGGGCGTGCCACCCCAGGCGCCCAAGCGGCTTCCTCCGCCGCCAGCACTGAGATCTTATGTGAACCAGCCCATAGAAATCCATTGACAGCAGTGCAGTTATACCAACATTATGGTTGTTGTTTTCTTTCTCTATGTGTGGGAGTGAGAGATGGACAGGTGTCAGTGGTACCGAAGGGTTTTTGTTTTGTTTTTAGCATAAGGATGAGTTTGGAGGCAAGGAGAGGGATATATAAAATAATAAAAGCTTTAATTTACATATGGAGCTAGTGGTAGTGTTCATCTGCATAGTGATGTACAGTGGTACCCTGGATACGAACGGGATCCGTTCTGGAGCCCCATTCGCATCTAGAAGCAAATGTAACTAGCGACGGCACGTCTGAACACACTCGCGTCGCTTTTTGCCGCTTCTGCGCATGCGCGTGACATCATTTTGAGCGTCTGCGCATGCATGAGCGGTGAAACCCGGAAGTAACACACTCTGTTACTTCCAGGTCGCCACGAAGCGCAACTTGAACGCGCTCAACCCGAAGCACATTCAACCCGAGGTATGACTGTAAGCTTTGCTCTTAAACCAGAAATGTAAGGAAGTGGAAGTATAGTAAAATATCCTTGGTTAGATACACACTTCAGTAAGTTACCACTTTTTGAAACACTGGTGGGCAGCAAAAGGGCCACATCAATTGGTGAGTGGCCTCAGGTTTCTCTGACCAGTTATGTGCTGTGATGCCCATAAATGCATCCATTATTGTTAGTAGGTGGCTCATGAAGTCAGGATGACATCATACATTTTGTAATGAAGACTAAGGCTAGGAACATTACATATAAAATTAAATTTCAGAGCTGTGCGTGAGACTTTTGAGTCTTGTCTCAGTAGGTAAAATTCATCTAAAACAAGTCTCCTTCCTTTTGTAGGTTATCTTACTGTTGATAATGTTAGTTATGCGCAAGCGAGTATCTCTCACCATTGCCTTGTTCCACGTGGCTGGCAAGGTCTTCATTCACCTGCCACTACTCGTCTTCCAGCCATTTTGGACGTTTTTTGCCCTCATGCTCTTCTGGATCTATTGGATCGCGGTCTTGCTCTTCCTAGGTACCACAGGTATGTAAATCTCACATAATTTCATAATTCCTTTCTCCTTCTTTTTGGTAACCTCAGAAAGTGTTAGTGTCGCTCTTCTCTATTGACTGAATCAAATGAAATTCAGCCAAGTAAATGAGTCTGCATTAAAATAAATGAAAACAAAACAAGGCATGAGTACTGTTAAATGCAGCATGGCTGATCTTTATGTATGAGCACATTGAGCCGTGGCTTCGCAGCAGGTGCGCATGGATGTTAAAGGCAGGCACTGAACTTTCCCGCTTTGTGTCTGCAGGAAAAGCATATGAAAACTCCAGCCAATCCTGAATATGACAGCCCTTTTATTTCCTGTGATCTGCGATAGTGAATGCCTTTCACCAATATTTAAAATTCTTCACCCTTTGCTGATTTGTTTCTGAGCCCAATTAGAGTGCTGATTTTAGCTATTAAGGCCCTGAACAGTCCACTACTAGAATAGCTGAAGGATTGTCTCTTCTTATACGTACCTGCCTAATCAGGGGTGAGGAGCTGGTTCTGGCTGGCAGGCCACATTTCTGTCTCCCTCACCTCACCCCCAGACCAAGTCTGACAGGTGGGCGGCGTGTTTTTGCACACACAGTTTGAAGTCAAAAACCGCTTGAAATCAGAACAGCAAGCACCGTGCAACTGGGGGTTGCAAGACCCAACCACCAGCTGACCATGAGCGCTTGCGCGTTGCTGCGCGTTGCTGCGCATGGCGCTTTGCGGACCCGACAATCAGCTGATCGTCGGAGCCTGCAGTGCCCACGCCTTTGCCCAGGCCTCTGATCAGCTGATTGGCGGTTCCTGCAAACCCCCTTTGGCTGATCCGGGTCTTTACCCACTCGAAACCTGACGTCATGTATCGTGTAAGGTGTAAGACGTGTGCACGATATATCAGGTGTTGGTGGGGGAGCTTCGTAGGCCTAATGAGACCCACAGGCAGGAGGGACCTCAGCCCAGCTTCGATTAAGTTCTGCATTCCCCACTCTTTATGAGTTAGCAGGCGGTTACACAGCAGAGGGACATTTCTGCTTTGTGGCACCATTGTTCTGAAATGGCCTCCTGAAAGAAGCCCTTTTGGACCCATTATTGCTGGCCTCATGAAGCAAGGAGTTGCTCCATGAGGAGCATAATTCTTTTGTGCCAATATTAAACATGTTGTGTTGCTGTGGAATGGCTATTTTGAATGCCTTTCTCCCTTGCTCTTCATTTCTGCTTCTAGGTAGCCCTGTCAAAAACGACCAGGGCTTTGTAGAGTTCCAAGTCGCAGGCCCACTGAGGTACATGTGGTGGTATCACGTCGTGGGGTTAGTTTGGATCAGTGAATTCATCCTTGCCTGTCAACAGATGACTGTAGCAGGAGCCGTTGTGACGTATTATTTTACGAGGTGAGAGATTCCGGGGCAGTTTAATCACGAGAGGCTGGTTCTCTAAAACCTCAGAAGTAAACAGGGCATGGGCAGATGGTGTAATGAGAAGATGAAACTCGAAGGCAAAGCCTCCAGTAACGTGCTTGGCTGGTTTTGATCTGTTATAAATGCATTCGCTCCAATACAGTCCACTCGATTATTCACCTAGGACAGAGTTTCTGTGTAAACAGTACCTTGGTCAATATTGGATCTGATACGTCTGCCGTGGCTGTTTAGCATATGACTATATCAGAGGCGATCAAAGTTCAATACTGCTGGGTGTGGTGCTTTGTTTGCTGAGGCCTGTAGGCTAAATATGAAAAAATGCTAAGTACAAAAAATATATATTGTATGTTAGATGAGCAACAGAGAGCACTGTTCCCACCCACCCCTGCAGTTACGCTGTTCTGATCTGTATGACCTGTGCCATGGGTAGGCAAACTAAGGCCCGGGGGCCGGATCCAGCCCAGTTGTCTTCACAATGCGGCCTGTGGATGGTCCGGGAATCAGCGTGTTTTTACATGAGTAGAATGTGCCCTTTTATTTAAAATGCATCTCTGGGTTATTTATGGGGCCTGCCTGGTGTTTTTACATGAGTAGAATGTGTCCTTTTATTTAAAATGCATCTCTGGGTTATTTGTGGGGCATAGGAATTCGTTCATTTTTTTCTTCTTCAAAATATAGTCCGCCCCCCCAAAAAGGGGTCTGAGGGACAGTGGACCAGCCCCCTGCTGAAAAAGTTAGCTGACCCCTGACCTATGCAGTGGGTCAGAACAAGTCTCAAATGAGAGAGGGTGCATTTTGTTAAGAATCACCATTCTTCAGATTATTTCATTTAAGTTAGACAGAAGACTGTTCCCTTCAAGGTTTAAGGGAGTAGTTTCCTGTCTAATGTGAATGAAATTCAGTATTGGAAGGGGGGATTTATTAAATGTGATATTATTTATATTATAAATATAACTCTAAATCAAAAGTTCTCTTACATTTATTAAAGCACCCAAAGATGATGATGATTATAAATCACTTTGCTTGTAAAACTCAAGGGAATGAACTATACCAATGCAACATTTCCATTTACAGCAGCTTAAAATCTGAAAGCACACTAAAACCAACAAACCACTGCTTGCAGATTGAAAGTATTCCCCTAAATGAGGGTATTGACTCTCCTTCCAGTCTCTTCATGAATTTAGACATCTTCAGGTGTCACCAGAGAGGGCTTTTTTGTTTTTATGAGAACAGTATGTGTCCACTGGCGTCTTCCACAGTCTCTGGCTGTCTCTCTGGCAGTCTCTCTCATGTTATGCTCCTCATGCAAGTGGACCACTCCCAAGTGAATAAAATGGATGAAAGTTACATCCTGGGCTCCTGAGGCAACAGGTTCCTCATGGTGACTTGGCATGGTTTAATTTCTGTCATATACCTTAAGCCAGGGGTCAGCAAGCTTTTTCAGCAGGGGGCCGGTCCACTGTCCCTCAGACCTTGTTGGGGGCCAGACTATATTTTGAAGAAGAAAAAATGAACAAATTCCTATGCCCCACAAATAACCCAGAGATGCATTTTAAATAAAAGGACACATTCTACTCATGTAAAAGCACGCTGATTCCCAGACCGTCCACGGGCCAGATTGAGAAGGCGATTGGGCCGGATCCAGCCCTGGGCCTTAGTTTGCCTACCCATCCCTTAAGCTTCTCTCTCTCTTGAAATCGGCCGTTGTTGATTCACAGGCCTGTTTGTAAATAACCCAAGTTTTGCATGTTCTTTGCTATTTCTGTCAGGGACTTTTTCCTGTGTTCATCAAGAATACTTGTGTAACTCTTAAAGCTGTGTTTTTAAGAAATGAATTGCAGTCCTGTCTGAAAGGAGAAGAATGGGCAAAGAGGCAGAGCAGAGGATAAAGACCACATGAGATGTTTTAAGCACAAGTGAAAACTAGTGTCCGGTTTGTAGGATTTTTACCCAAGCGTACTAGTGGTTTAATTTGAAGTGGATAGGTTTGTCTTTCATCTAAACCAGTGTTTCCCAGACTTGGGTCTCCAGCTGTTTTTGGACTACAACTCCCAGCATCCTTAGCTAGTAGGACCAGTGGTCAGGGATGATGGGAGTTGTGGTCCAACAACAACTGGAGACCCAAGTTTGGGAAAAACTGATCTAAACTGTTGGTTTATTTTAGCCCCATAATATGTATAGCCTGACACTCTGATTGTTTTGGTCCAGATAGCTAAACACACATACCGGTTCTTTGAATCAATTTCACTCCTGCAATAAGATCATGATACACCTGGATCTCCTTTAAAAGCCTTCATTATAGTAGGAAACAGATGCAACAATCTCAGCTTAATAAATGATGTGCTTCTGTTGTGGATAATCTAAATCACAGTTTCCTGTTACATCTGAATGGGGAAACTGTGGTTTGATCTCAGTTTACTAACCAGGCTCTAAAATCCTGGTTTCAGATCCTGGTTAGCTTGGTTTGTGTCTTTTGATACTTTTACGAAATTGGTGCCATCATTTTGTCTGCCGTAGTATATGGAGACAATTGGATCAGTTCTGTGTGAAATCAAAATCTTATTTTCGGCTAATGAAGCAGAACTTCATAGCCATCTCAAAGCCAGCAAGGGGCTGCCATAATGCGATATGTAAAAAATTAATTTGAACAAGAAAACACATGATATCAGTTAACACTGTAATAGACAAGACACGTTACTAGATAGTTCTGCCTTCTTAATCAAGAATCCCTTTAGTGTCTTTGTTTCTTGGGCTTTACGGACAGAGGTCTTAATGATTGCTGAGACTCACTACAGAACTACCATTGTAGGGTCCTTCACATCTCAAGTTGGCCTCTGAGTAACACTGTTGCTACCTGTTTTTGTCTGCTGATGCTATCTGTTGTCACTGTTTTTGTATTTTTTAATTTCTCTCTACAGAGAAAAACGGAATCTGCCATTCACACCTATTCTGGCGTCTGTCAATCGCTTGATCTGTTACCACCTAGGAACTGTGGCTAAAGGGGCTTTCATTATTACCTTAGTGAAGATTCCACGAATGATACTCATGTATATTCATACCCAAGTCAAAGGAAAAGTAAGGGGAACACTTTGCTATAGAAGTGTGGGCCATTGGTGGAACTGACAGATGAAAAATGTAAATAGAGAATAAGAACAGCCCAGCTGGTTCCCCAAAACTGATCTAGTTCAGCATTTTGCTTCCCAAAGTGACAAGCCAGATATACCTCTGGATTAAAAAGGAGAGTTCCCTTCTCTCCCTCATGAGTAAAACAAGCCTTCTGAAGCAAAAGTGGGAAAAACACCTATTTGGGGGGTAGTGCAGAAAAAGGGCAAAAAACAGATTCTGTTGGGGCCTGATTTTTTTATTATTTAACTAAATGCACATTTAGAAAATGCACATATATCTTTAGAATGTCATTTGGACAATTTAATAGTCAAGATCAGTGTTTCCCAAACTTAAGTCTCCAGCTGTTTTTGGACTCCCAGCATCCCTAGCTAGCAGGAGCGCAGTGGTCAGGGATGATGGGAATTGCAGTCCAAAAACGGCTGGAGACCCGAGTTTGGAAAACGCCGGTCCAGATGTTGGCGGAAACACTTGTCCTACCTTTTTAGACTTCTGTAATGATTTAAAGCTCAGCCTGTTCAAAAAGGGGTTGTCAAAAATAAAGGCTGTGTCACAGTATGACGTGGCTGGCTGTTTCAGATACAAAGGAGGGATCTCAATGTTCTTTTCAACACGGCAGAATTCTCAGGTTGTGGAAAAAGAAATGAAGCCAGACTTTTGAGAGCTTTCGGCAAGCTTTCTTCATGACTGAAGTTTACCTTATAACAACTTTATACGGGAAAGTGGATGGTGAGATTCTTGGCCACTACAAGAGTCTAGATAATGAGGAGGGTGGGCCCCAAAGTCTTGTCCCATATGATCTGTGGGTTGATTCAGGCATGACTACCAACCACTTTTTCCTCTGGAGTGATGGTGTCTCAGCATGAACCAGGCTAGACACAGAGAGGGCCATTTCCACAACTGCAGGAATAACTTTTGTCACCACAACTGTGGAAATAGCTGTGAACTGTCTCCGTATACTGCCTGGGTTAAACTTAGGTTTCTTTGCCTGATTACATCTGCCACATGATTTCTCTCCCTCATGGCGGGAAAAAGAAGCTTTTTTTGCATGTTTGACTTGGTCTTACGTGACCACCAATTACAGGAGCCATTGTATTAAAGCTGGGCTCTGAGCCCTTTGTTACAGAGGAAGCATATGTGTAAATTGAGACTTGTATATGAAAGTACTTACCATTTAGATACCAACCTACGCCCTAGCACTTAATGCAATTTAATGTTTTCTCTGATTATTATTTCCGTTTTGTTGTCGCCGTTCTCCCCATCTTAGGAAAATGCCTGCGCTAGATGTATGTTGAAAGCCTGCATTTGCTGCCTTTGGTGTTTAGAAAAGTGCCTGACTTACTTAAATCAGGTAAGAATTTATATTTCCCTGGCATTCCTTTTCAAAGGCTGGAAAGTTTCACTTCAACCTTCATGCAATCGGCTCTAAACTGAAAGATGCCGGATGGTATGTTAACATTTGAATGCAGTTACGGACTGCAGGAATAGAGCCTTTACTGAAATTAAAATGCGTTGTAGTTTCTCAGAGGCTGTAAAGAAGAACAAGTCTAATGTTTTGGAGGAGAAACCATCATGAAACTGTTGCCTATGAGCTAAAGCATATTTTGTACAACGGTTAAATATGGGTCTATTACAGTGTGTACGCCTTGCAATAAGAGTGAAAATCTTAAAACACCGGGCATTTTAGAAAGTGTGCATTTGCGGATTGTCCTCATTTGCAGGACACCCACAGTGAATTGCAGTGGACAAACTATATCATACACAAGTTTCCTTTGATAGAAACATGGAGGTGGATGGGTGTTTAATGGACAGTTTAATGTTGAACCTGGCATGTTGCGTCCTGTTCTATGTGCAGGAAGGGCCAGATAATAACCCCCCTCCCCAGTTTATCTAGATTATCTTTTTGGTCTGTTCATCAGATCTTGCACAGACCTTCACTGTTTGCTACGACGGTGACTAAGTGAAGGATTGTATCCATCAAAAACTCACGTTAATGTCTATGAAGGTCTTAGATGTCGGGTGTGGAAGAGTGGAAGAGAACCTAACCAATGGCATTCTGCCTCTCTCTTCCCAGAATGCATATACAGCCACAGCTATCAACAGCACCAACTTCTGCACCTCAGCAAAGGATGCCTTTGTGATACTAGTGGAGAACGCTCTGCGAGTGGCTGCCATAAACACAGTGGGAGACTTCATGCTCTTTCTAGGAAAGGTAGGGCTGTGCGAAAAATGGAAGTTCTCCTCAAACTGTCTCTTTCTCTTGCACAATGCTGGGCAGTGTGTACTCTGTGCACAGAACATTGCTTGTAAACAGAGTTCTCATTTCCCCCCTTGCCTTTTTGCCCACCAGAGTAATATTCAAGGCAGTTAACAACAAACAACAGTGAAACAAATCATCACTAATCAAACAATTAAAATCCAGAAAGAGAAACACCATGCAGTTGCTCAGTCGAGCCCAAAGTGGGGGGAAGAAATTCTGATAATTCGGGGGGGGGGGCAGTTAATTGCAGACTGAGATTCTTAGGAAGCGGAATTCTTCACCTGAGACCACATCCTGTACTTTTGCAGAATCATGGCATTCACCCAACCCAGCTAGTGTTCTTATGTTTTCACTTTCCTCTTGGAAGATAAACCAAAGGATGAGCCAGTCTGACCATTTCAGTGGATGTAGCTAGCAGGAACTAGCCAGGATGAATGACTATAGGAATGCAGGCATTATCCAGGTTGAGGAGTAAAAGGGAGCTTTTATTTTTCTAAATATTTGAAAGCTTATGATTTGGCCCTTGACTCCAAGACGTCTCTTTCTGAAGTCCCAGATGGTTCAGTTTTGATCTTAACTTTTGCTGCTAGGTAACCCATGAACAAACCGTATTTTTTTTTCCTATTTCAAAGCACGTTTTATTTGACTGCAGTGCCCTTTGCACCAGTCTTCAAAGACAAATATGTCTACCGCCACCTCATGGCATTAGGGTCCTGCTTATGAATTCCTTCCCTCCTGCTCTTTGTGCATTAATTCATACTGCAACCAACCCAACTTTCAAGCAGAGACTTTGTAATCCCCCAAATAAACAAATCAATAAGTCGCGGTAGGAGTGAGCGCATAATTAGATATAATGGCCTTAGGGCGACTGGAGTGCACAGTGAGGTTTGCTTAGAATGGATTTGACATGTACCATGAAGGTCTCCCTCGAGGCCGGGAGAACACGTTTTTCATATGGCTGAAAATAAAAGAACGATGGGAAATGCTGACCTTAGCTCTGCAGAACACTCTCCGTTAATGTCAGTGAAACACTGCCGCCCATACCAGACGAGCTCTGCTTTTCAACTTAAGCAAAGATACAGATTGAAGTAAGATGCAGCGATCCATTTGTGCACGAAGTTATCATTAAAAAACAAGATTTGGGTGCCGGGAAATGCACTGAAAATCAATTTTTATGAAACTAACATGTATTTCTTTGGGAAAGGTTTCCGAAAGAAACTTTGAAATGGTTTCCATTACTTTTCAAAAACGTGTACTAATGATTCTTAGGGAGAAGGAGCACTTTCCTTTTACAAGTGAGAAAAGAGATTGGAGAAATCTAATGATTCAGAGAGCAGCGTAGTCGTCATCTTGAGATACTTGCCACGCATGCATACCCATTTTTTTTACCCAAATGATCACAGTATGCTTTCTTGCTGCTGTTCTCTAGAATAGGTATGACTTAAGAAACAACTTCAGCTACCCCTCGGTGTGTGTATTTGTGAAATGTTTTGAAATAACCGTATTTTTCACTCCATAGATGCACTTTTTTCCTCCTAAAAAGTAAGGGGAAATGTGTGTGCACCTTATGGAGCGAATGCAGGGGGGAGGCAGGCAGGAAAAGCCCCCAAGAGCCGCACACAAGCTCCGCGCGGCTCTTGCGGGCTTTTCTACGAGGAGGGCTCCCTTTAAGGAGCGTGTGGCTCCTGTGGGCTTTTGCGGGAGGTGGGGGAATTGCCATAGCCGTGCGCAGCCTCTCCCGGCCGGAGAGACTGCTCGCGGGTAAAGAAGCCAAGACAGCGAGCGCGATCCATCCCGCTCACTGTCTTGGCTTCCTCTTTAGCCGCGCGCAACCTCTCCAGTCATGGGAAGCTGCACGCAGCTATGGCAGAAGCCAAGACAGCCAGTGGGATAGATCCCGCTGGCTGTCTTGGCTTCTTTGCTCTTTGGGGCTGGGGGGGGGGACCCATGCTTCCCCCTGCAGCCCCAAGAAGCTCTGGGAGAAGCAGACAGGCTTTCCCCCCTTGATTTCCCCCTCTAAAAACTAGGTGTGCCTTGTGGTCCGGTGCACCTTATGGAGCGAAAAATATGGTACATAATGAATCTCCATGTGTGTTTCATGCACATTTTATGACATGCGTGTGCAGTATCTCACCACCCATTCTAGAAAGGCAAAGGACCACAATTGCCTCTGCAGGGGGGGTTCTGTATCTCCCTGTCTTCTCCAGATCTGGTTTAAGTGGAGGCTTGGCAACACCGAAAAGCTTGTGATATTCCTTGTCAACTTTGTTTGCTCTCTGTCTGCTCTTCAGGTTCTAATAGTGTGCTGCACGGGCCTGGCAGGGATCATGCTGCTGAACTACCAACGGGACTACACGGTGTGGGTGCTGCCGCTCATCATTGTCTGCCTGTTTGCATTCTTAGTCGCTCACTGCTTCCTATCCATTTATGAAATGGTTGTGGACGTCCTCTTCTTATGTTTTGCCATTGACACCAAGTATAACGATGGCAGCCCTGGGAAGGAGTTCTACATGGATAAAGTTCTTATGGTAAGTTCTTTAGAATGTGGTGTGCTTCTGAATACAAGGAATCGTGTAGTGAAAAGAGCTTAAGAGTAGTGATAGGAGGAACTCTGTTCTGGTTTGCTTCATCATTTGGCTTGTCTATTTGTGGGCCACTGTATTTTCTTAGCATATAAATCTGGCACGTGGGAAGGTGCTTGAAAGTTCAGTTCTTGTTTCCTGTAGTCCAGTAAGATAAAGATGTACAGTATATATGGGGAAGAGAGCCATGTACTCAATCAGTTGCTTCTTTGAGGGTTCTGTGCTGTAGCTGCTTGCTCTGCTGAAGAAGCAAGCACTAGGGAATCTTGCTGGACCCTCAACCATATTTTGCAGGGAAACAGTATACAGTGGTACCTCGGGTTAAGAACTTAATTCGTTCTCGAGGTCTGTTCTTAACCTGAAACTGTTCTTAACCTGAAGCACCACTTTAGCTAACGGGGCCTCCTGCTGCTGCTGCCACGCCACCAGAGCACGATTTCTGTTCTTATCCTGAAGCAAAGTTCTTAACCCGAGGTAATATTTCTGGGTTAGCAGAGTCTGTAACCTGAAGCGTATGTAACCCGAAGTACCACTGCACCATGGTTTTCTGCTTTAGATATTGTGGTAAACTGTTGTTTGACACAAACCAGAACACAACTAATGGAAAACTAGTGCTCAAGGAATGTCAAGTTAGGAGTGGGGACAGAGTGGTTTATATATCACCACTCGGCTATGAAGTTCCCTGGGGAGCCTCAAGGCCAGTCACAACACAGGATTGTTGTGAGACTGACATGAAGATGGACAACCTTGCACACGACCTTGAGTTCATTGGAGGAAGAGTGGATAGTAGTGTAATAAACAAACAACAATCATTAAAGCAGAGAGCATGTGGAGAGAGGGAGGGAGGGTGCACAAGTACCAGATTTATTCCTGCAGCACCAAAGTGTGGTTTGACATTACTTGCAAGCCAACTCATCATCTTGTAATATTTACAAGAGCATGGGCAATAATGTCCCAGGGCAACCAGAGGAGGAGGGTGCCCAACAAGCATATCAGGAGTGCACCTCTTGCCCAAGCAACCCGGCTGGCACTGGGAAGACAATAGGACACGAAAACAATAGGACAGTGGGTGGTAGTTCTGTGGTCTGGCTGACAGGGACTGGTTTTCCCTATCTGGAAGCCCGGGTCTCATAACACAGGGGAAGAGAACCAAGTACCTGTCATACCTCCTGGCAGCTCTTTAAAAGCATGGAAGACAAATCAAGGGAGGAAAATTCTCTCCACTATCTTCTCCAGTGTTCCAAAGACTGTTTGTGACAATAGTCTTCAACCATTTCAGATCCAACCCAAACACGCATTTGGGGGAACCATTTCTTAAATATTTTATCATCTGCTTACATGGCAGTAGTAAAAGGGTAAAGGTAAAAGAGCCCTGGACGGTTAGGTCCAGTCAAAGGTGACTATGGGGTGCGGCGCTCCTCTCGCTTTCAGGCCAAGGGAGCTGCATTTGTCCGCAGACAGCTTTCCGGGTCATGTGGCCAGCATGACTAAATCGCTTCTGGCACAACAGGACACCGTGACAGAAGCCAGAGTGCACAGAAACACCGTTTACCTTTACCTATATATCTACTTGCACTGGTGTGCTTTTGAACTGCTTAGGTTGGCAGTAGTGCTGCTATTGTGACCCATCTTAGATGAGGCTCAGTATTGGGCCCCAACCCCCCAGGTGAAGAATGATTTTCTATGATCATGAGTCATGATGGAGGACCTTTTCCTTACCGTCTTTCAGGAATTTGTGGAGAACAGCAGAAAAGCAATGAAGGAAGCTGGCAGGGGAGTTGGAGCCGAAGGCAGGGAGCTCAAACCAATGGTAGGTCCTCTGGAAGAAGTGGCTGCTCTCTTCCAAGAGTTTCACGTGTACTTCCTGTCCCTTTCTGTTTTCACTGACTATGCTTCTTCAGGAGAAGTCTTTGTCGTTTGTGTCACTCAGGATGTTCTGCTTTTTTTGTTTGTGAGCTTGCCTATCACCTGGATGGCAGAGTTTTTGTCACAGCTGAGACCATCTCCCATAAAAGTAAGCTGAAAGGAACTGTATCTTCATGCTTCTACTGTGTTTCTGTAACCCCAGAGCGCAACCGAATTCTCTCAGTAGTGATGTTACTGGTACTCAAAATTACCTTTGGGCTGTATACATGGAGGGGGAAAACAGCCAATATGAAACATATATAACTATGCGCCCAGGTATCCTATTTGTGGTAGGGTTTCAAAACTTAGTCCATGTTTTTAACTTGACATTTACTATCCTTTTGTTGGAAAATAAGATATTACACTGAGTTGCTAATAGGATTCTGGAAGGCACAGTGGCTATCGCTATGAGTCACTTGACCTCCCTCCACACCACTTTGCTGTCTCTGGGTACCTGATATATCTGGCTGATAAGTTCTGAGGTGATTTGGAGTGATTCTAGCTTGTTTATTTCCAGCCACATAAGCCAATTCACTTCAGCCTGATTTTGACGCTTAAACACTCATTTTTTAAGTTTCCACGCATTCCTCCATCATCAAGGAAGTTGATACAGTTATTCCTTTCAACCTGCTAAAGTAACATTTCTCCTAATTCTTCTCTCTTTGCCATTGTTCTTTCTGCGTTTCAACATTGTGCCTGGTGGAGAAATGTGGATTTGGGCTCCCTCACTTCAAACACGTCCTTTTTCCATTTTAACATGCAGTAACTTTTTGATAAGTCATGAAATTCTTGGAAATAAGAGAAAGCCAGGAAACAGTGTGAAGAAATTATATATTTCATGTACTCCATATTGATAGCAATACTGAAGAAACATGTCCTGTCCCCCTGCCGCAATATAATACTTGTGGCTGGTTCATACTATACGTTGGGGCAAATTTTTGCAGCCAGATACATTGACTTGGCAAGAGTAACATATACAAATGAGCTCATACCTCTCAGAATTAGATGTTGCGACCCTTATAATCTCCCTTGGAAAACTGAGAACTCTTAACCCAGCTCTTAACCCAGGTTTCTCCAACCTCAAGTCCCCAGATGTTGCTGAACTACAACCCCCATCATGTCCACCAGCATGGCTGATGGCCAGGGATAATGGAATTTGTAGTCCATTCATACCTGGGGACCCAATATTGGGAAAAGCTGTATTGATTCCTTTTCACCGGCGCTCAGTTGGCAGTGCTCTTCTTTTTCAAATGCATAGGTGGGCATGATTTGACATGGGGCAGGGGCCTGTGGATTTCATTAACACATTGACGTAGCTGCTTTATTCAACATGAACATAGATGCCTCCTGAAAGTCATTAGATAAATTCATGAAAGTTCAGTTTCTTGGAGGCTACTAGGAATGAATGATAACTCAGAATGAGACCTAAGTGTGCAGAGGCTGTAGACTTCTAATAACTGCATGCCAGAAGTTTGGGGCCAGGCAATAGGGGGTGCTCTGCTTTTGAGCTTTCTGGGAGCTTCTGCATGATCAAGGCTGGAAACAGAATATTTGACTAGATAGATATTTGATCTGATTCAGCAAGGAAGTTCTAATATTCCTTTCACATGTTTGCTCAGGGACCTGCCAATCCTCTCGGTAGCCCTGATTGCTACAGTTTGAAACTGAAGCTAAAAATTAACATTATTTTTTTGGGAACATAATGCTAAACAACAAATAACTCTGCACAATCCTCAGGCTTGCATGCTCCTCCTTTCTCTCTTCTCTTGGCATAGCTATCTGAAGATCAGAAGCACTTGCTTCCTGATACATCCAAACCCAAACTGCTTAGAGTTAGTTCAAACAAGCCAAGATCAAAATGTGTTTTGTGATCTTGACTTGTTCACCAAAAAAGAAAAAGACAAAACAAACAAGTGGAGAGGCCTCTAGGTCTAATCAGCAGGTCCACAGACTCTTTTGATCAGGCCCGGTCTTGCTCCCTCCACTGCTCTCGCCAGTCTCCTCTTCTCCACCCATCCCTTCCTCTGCTTTTCCCCATCCCAGCCGCAACCCTGCTGTTTCTGCTGCTGTGAGAAGAGGGAGAGGGAAGCAGCATGCCGATAAACTCGGAGGCCCAACCGTAACCCATGGTGATCAGGGCAATGTAGCTACCGCATCTAGAACTCTGCTGTCAGAAGCTGGGCTATTAATTGGGCACACAACTTTGTACAAACAAACCTAGTGCAGCTTGCTGCTTTATCTAGGTTCAGCCAGAGAGAAAAATCACACTATGTAGATATATATATATATATATATATATCCACTTTGGAGAAAGTTTGACTAATATGTCTATTTTTCAGACCTTCATTCTTGTATCAATCAAATCTCTGTTTATTGTGCCAAGGACTGAAAACCGGTGCAGCAGAAAAGTTTTTAGTGTCAGTGCAGCATACATTTTTCAATTATGCTTATGAATCTAAGTTCTAAATATACACTGTTCTGAAAAATTATCTCTACTGGTACTTTGTAGTAAAAACAATTAATGCACTGGTGGGATCCTTAGGCAAAATGTATAATTGGGTTAAAGGATTGAAGGAAACTGCAAGAAAAGTGTGAGATTCTTATGTTTACGATGTGATCAGATTGATTGTTTATACAAATTGTGTTAAAACTGACTAAAATTTTAAAAAGTGTCTGTGTAGGTATATATTATGTACACAAGCACATAAATATATACAATATTACCCAGGAGTATTTTTTTTTCAGGACTTTTTAGATAATACTAGATAAAATTTTCAAATGTCATACTTTTATTTTAAGGGGAAGATTGGTTATTTTCAATTATTAAAGATAAAAAGGCCAAAAGAAAAAGAAAAAAAGAAGCTGGGCTATTAACAGATGTAATACTTATTATAGGTGTTGGTACATGCATACAGCGGTTCTCGTGCAAATGGCAAAAAGCATAAGCCACACTGAAGCAGATTCTCTGTCATCAGAATGAGACCCACTGCTTTCTTTCTGGGGGTATGCAGAGGGTACATGTACCCCTAAACATTTTGCGTTGCCCCAACCGACGGACCGACATGCCAGCTGTCTCCGCAGTAGCAGCGCGGACTGGAGCTCTGTCATTCTCCCCGCTGGTGCCTGGGTAGGGGAGTCTGGGGTGGCCGTAGTGGAGGCGCTGGCGCTGCTCCTCCTCGCTCAAGCCGACCACACTGCTGCTGGGGGTCTTCCCGTCCTCTCAGCGCCGCCACCTTGAGTCCCTCGTCCAGGGTTTGGGGGGGAGGAAGGGTGCGAGGAGTGAGGGAGCAGCCAAAATGAGAGTACCCCTAAACATTTTTTAAGGAAAAAAAGCACTGATTAGGCCTACATATATTTTGTAGCTATTTTATTTATTTAACTTGACTATTTATAAGGCACCTTTTCACAACCAGACCAGTGGATTTTCCATGGCACTTGGCTAGTTGTTGTTTTTCAGTTGCACATTTTATTAATGTTTGTTATTGACACGTGAAGGCAGATTCCCCGTTGATCTGACTTAGGCACCTGAATGAAGTTATCAATATAATAAGCAAAGACTGAATGCAGCTGACCATTTACCAAGTGATGACTTCCCACAGAACGCATGTTGACTTCCGTTGCTGCCAAGCAACAAGGAGGATTTTCCCACACACCTGTGCAAAAGCAGAAAGCTGAGGAAGCAGGGAAGTGTTCAAATTGTTTCTGTCACATGGTTGTGTATCACAGACCATCTGGTTCCATATCGTGTCGTGGACAGGGTGTGAGCTTTAGATCAGGAACACAACCAGCTCTGTCAAGAAGCTTAGCTGGGTGCCTTTGGGGATCACCGGCACTCTCTCAGCCTAACTTGCCTCATGGGGTTGTGAGGATAAAATGGGATCAACATCACATAAACCAACCTCAGCTCACCGAATGAAGAGCCACCTACAAATCTGAAATAGGCTTTAGTAAATTCTCAGTTGATAGACAAGCAAAATGCTTTCCAGAGCCTTCTGAGATTGTGAGAGCCTGTTGCATTTGAAACATGTAGTAGTTTGTTTTGTTTGGATCCACTTCGTTCATATAGTAGAGAAACTGATCTAATCATTCAACCAAGACAGGCACCTAAGCATCTTTCCAAAATGCTAGGGTGATGAACTTCTTAAATTTTATAATTCTAAAGGGTTTTGGTTTTTTTTGTAGGCTGTTGACTGAATTTTGATTCCCGAAGAGCTTTCTGGTGTCCCTAATTCGTGACTCACCAAGTTTGTTAAAATGAGTTGTTTTTAACTTTGAGCAGGATTCTGAGAATTGGTTCTGCGCAGACAAGGGCTATGCTGTCTTCTGCTTCCTGAAAAGCAGCTCCACCATAATTTGTGGCAAACCGTTTTTGAAACTCTGAGGTGTTGTTGTTTTTAAACACCATCAGACATGAAAAGTAGACCTTTGGATCCTGGCCTTTGCTGTGGCTTGAAAAAAGAAGCATATATGAACAATATCATTTCTAAAAAGTGTGTGTGTGTGTGTGTGTGTGTGTGTGTGTGTTACTTTAATGGAATTTTATTTTGAAACAGAGTTAAAAAGAAACCCAAACTCAACTCTACACATGCACAACCCAGCAAGGTTACTAAAGGAATTAAGAAAATCACTGATTACAATCCTTACTATATTGTGCTTTGGGAGAACTAGTTCACTAACTATATTATTATTAATTTAATCGGTGTACCATCCTTCATCTGAAGATCACAGCGTGGTTCACAACATAAAAAATGCAAAGCAAGAACACAAAATGCATAACAAAAACAAACCAATAAACCCCTTTCCGCAAACACCATAGGGTGTTTATATATAAGTTATATATGACATGTGTATCAGCATAATTTGTACTTTATTGAAATTTGATTAGAAGTTTTAAGGGTTTGCATATAGAAAATGAACAGAAACCATGGTACCATAATATCTCTTTAAAAACCAGGATTCCTCGTTGATTCAGTTTGTACATATGTCTCCCAGATTTTATTCAGCCACTGGCATTTAGATGATTGTTTGGATACTTTAGATTGCGTGCTGTATGAAACTTTGTTGCTGTATGTGATTGCTTAAGAAGGTATATGCAGGAATCCATGGTCATTAGGTTCAAAATGATGAGGAAGCATATCTTTGGGAGTTACCTGCAGTAGACTAATCAGGAGAAAATTCTGGTAGTAATCAGCAACCATTTCCCCAAACTACTGCATTGTTGGACATTCTCACCCTAGATGAAAGTATGAGCCAGTCTGACTGTATCCCTTAGAATAAAGGCATAGTTTCAATGCAGGTCCCTGGTCAGCAGGAAGGGGCAGCAGAGTTTACTTGATTTTCCATCACCAGTGAGGTTCAGCATGGTGCAGATGCACTGGCAGAGCCAATCCAGTGCCCCCTCTGGTGTTTGCACTGCGCCCCTGCCTTGCCCCTCTTCCTCCCAGTAAGTCATAGCAACACCGAAAGCAGAAAGCCAGCTATGTGCCATCGCCTCTGCCCACTGTTGGAATATGCTACCTGCTGAAAATTTTGTACAGTATTATGCTTCCTTTACGTTAGTGTCAATTGCTAAAGTTTCAAAAGAATTCCACAAAGGCATTTTTGTATTTTTGTATTTTTAAAGGAGGCTTTTCAGAATTAATGTTTCACTTTTTAATATCAGAATACTAGGGGAAATCAGACAAGCATTATTAAATTAAATGCCTGGTAATTACACAGCACACTATACGTTACCAACACAATTAATTAATGAAACATCGTAGAATTTCCTAAGAACCGCCATATAGCGAGACTTCTGTAAGCACATTTTCTTGAGGATATTCTGTTGCAAAAACCAACGTCCCCACCCCCCATTCTTTAGTAAATTAATGCACTACATTAAATTTGCCGGCTTGAATTTCAAATGCAGATAACTTTTCAGAATTACTGTGCTGGTTATGATGGTGCTTTTCTGCCTGTAAACATCAGGGTCCTTTTTTAATCATTTCCTAACTTCATTTATGACTTATTTATATTTTCCAGGCCTCTGGAGCAAGTTCATCTTGAAGCTGGTCAGCCATTATGGAAACCATCAACATTCCAAAACAATATCTATCTTATCTTATCTTATCTCTCTATATATATCTATATATATATATATATATTATTTAAAAAGCAGCCAAAATCAGAGAAAAGGAACAGGGATTTAATACTTTTTTAATGATTATTTTTGTGAAACATGTACTCTTTTCATACGGGTGGCTTTTACAAGCAACTTTTATCATTGTTCCATTTCAAATTCTAAACCATTGTGGTTTGTGGCAGTGCTATGATTGTAATCCGATTGAGATATTTCACAAGTTGGAGAAGGATTCCATAATATTTTAAAAGAATTGTGTAAGATTGCCGATTTGGAATAACGTAAGTGGGTCAAGTAATTTTCCCTCGTGGTTATTTTAATGAGCATAAATCTTTAAAACTCAATGGATAATGACTGTTCTGGAGGGGGAAATCCTTCATAGATATTTTTTTTTTTAAAAAAAAAGAACTGGGATGAATAATACATTAATCATGTTGGATTTTGCTTGCTTTTTCACAATGGGATGCTAATAAGATCCAGTAAGTTCAACTTAATCCAGTTTTTTTCCTCATTAACACATTAGACAATTTATATCTAACACATTTTTAAGAAAACCTAACCAACTCCTCAGGTATTTAGATATTGAGACAGCCCCTGAATCTGTGAAGGACAAACTAAAGGCATATGAGGGAGGATGAGTTTTATATTATGCAATTTTTGTCCTGTTTCACCTTATCATTTCCCCTTGAGTTCAGTATCACCCTTTGCACATCATTGTTCCTTTGAACTACGCAAACTCTTTAAATAAGCGGTTGGACAGCAGGCTTCGGAAGCTCTGCCTCAGATATATACGTTACTGTTCATCCATGACTACATGGAGAGAGACCATACACAACTATACACAAAAAGAAAAATTAAGTACTGTAAGTCATTTAAGTTTCTCTTTACGGTTGGAACCATTTCTTGGTCTTGGTTTTCATTGTACGTTTGGTTATTAGTGGAGTACGGTGGGGAAGAGCAGACAAATCTTTTGCGGGTGGGGTGGGGAATAATGTCACTGCCTTAGTATCTAAAGCAGTTCTTGAAGTGGCCTCTGTGCATTCAATGCTCATGGTACCTGAGTGCCACATGAATACTTCAGAAACTTCCAGATAGCAATATTTTTGTCCTTTTCTACCTTTCCCACACTCTGAAAAGGAAGGATCGAGCTGCTATCTTGGTTATTGGAGTGGCGAGACACATGTTGTGGTGGCAGAGGCCGTAAGCTTGAGCACGCCAAACGCCTATACAGTGGTACCTCAGGTTAAGTACTTAATTCATTCCAGAGGTCCGTTCTTAACCTGAAACTGTTCTTAACCTGAAACACCACTTTAGCTAATGGGGCCTCCTGCTGCCACCGCGCCGCCGGAGCCCGATTTCTGTTCTCATCCTGAAGCAAAATTCTTAACCTGAAGCACTATTTCTGGGTTAGTGGAGTCTGTAACCTGAAGCGCATGTAACCTGAAGCGTATGTAACCTGAGGTACCACTGTATAGGGAGTGGGGTATTTGAAGCATGGCACTGGCTTGTGGAAGGATGTTGATGCTCCCCCCCTCCAAAAACTGCTTCAGCCCATAGCCCGCCCCCCGTCCAAAATCTTGGTCCCCACCCAGAGAAAAGGAGATGAGAGACAAAAAACGCTAAGAGAGAAGGGTTCAGTGGCCTTTGTTCTCCACCCATATTGCACTTTAAATCGCCTCCGATCTTTCCAGTTGCTAGGAAGTTGGTATAGCCGCTATACTTGGACGTAGTTCTGCTGTTTGTGTCTGGCTGTCCCTTACCATAGTGAAAATACGTGGGAATATCTCTTGGGGTTCTTCATTGAAACGGTTGAGGACGTTCAATTTACAGTACAGCCATTTTATGCCTGTATATCAGCAGCGGGGAACTGCTAGGCCACCTGAATTTGACCTACAAGGCCATTTTGGGCAAACTGCATCTACCTGTCACTCACTTGACGGCTTAAGTGTTAAGATCCCTTAGTGCTATATGGGGTCTCAGCACCATAGCATTAACATTAACTGGAAATCTTGGCTGCTGCCTTTTGCTGTGAGAGCGCGGCCAGAGGCTTATCTCTGATCTTAGCGCTGTGGTTCCGCACCACTAAGACGGGAAATGAGAAAACCGCTGCCTGCTCTCTAAAACTAGAAGGCAACATTTCTGCCCATCCCTGAGAGCCTAACTTTCAAAGGCTTAATCCGGTGCCTCGAAATGCCTTCAAAAGTTAAAATCTTATGCTACACCAGCTCTTTAAGTAACTGGGATTTCTGAGAGAGAGAGAGAGAGAGAGAGAGAGAGAGCCCTTTCTAGGTAGACAGGCTTCCCATTAAATGTATGTCCTAGTTTAACAGTGCAAGGTTCTCGTAGGAAAGAATTGAGAGTGCGCTGTGCATTCCTTACATGGCTTTCTCATACAGCAGGTCAGGTAGCAAGACTGCTTTTGAACTATACCATTTTAAATAGCAAGGGGTATTTGTGTTTGTGTGTGTAGGTCACATGTTTGAACAAGCCCAGTCACCGTATGTCGAATACTAGCATGTCAGGCTGGGCTAGAACTCTTCTCCCCGACATCTCACCCTGTAGTCTGAAGTCGAACTGGAACAATTGTAGACTCCTCACCTGCCGCCTGTGTAGGCCAGAGAGTGGGACCTTTACAGATAGACATTGCTTTCCAGAAGCTTCCAAAGTTTGACAGGGCTCAATCCCCATTAATGCAAATGCACAGAGGCCTCCTGAAGAACTTCATTACGAGTTAAGTAGCTTTCATCTATCCAGTAATAAGAACTTGACCATTTTTATATGTGTTAAATTCCTTTCTTCATTCCTGAGACTTTAAACTACGTAATGAATGCTAATATTCCATTGTTTGGCTTATTGTAATAGTAAATGCTTACAGTGTAATTGCAGAGAATAATTTCATGATCTGTTTATGCGATATATTCCGTTTTGTTACAATTTTTTTAAAAGAACTATTTTTGTTAATGTAAAGTTAAATATTTCAGAGCAGAATTTTTAAACTTTATTGCACTAAATGCAAATGTGGGGAGAGAGAGAGAGAAGTAATGCCTCAATGGATGGATCACTCCTTAAGAGAATCTTTTTCTTTCTTTCTTTTTTGGAAAAAGAGAGCTATTGTTCTAGATAAGCTTAGCTAAACGGGTGCAGACACCCAGTAGAGTTGAATGGCCACCAATTTTTTTATTATAAATGGCTGTTTTGATTCTGTGCTTCCTTTCAAAGGATCAGACCTTTTAAAATTGCTGCTGAAGGAAACATAGCATTCTGTAATTAATCGGTGGTCTTTGCTGTGTAACTAAACGCTTCAGTTTCATTTTTATAAATCATCTGACATCTTAAAACCTTTTCAGACTACTTGCAATAAATTTCAGGACAAGTTTAAAAAAAGTGGGAGGGGGGGCAATAATCCTTTCTCGGTCGGTCACAGAAACCAATCATGGAAGTACATTTTAAGACTAGGAAACTAGATTAGCCTCTGTTCCTGCTAACACTATAACCCAACGTGATTAACTTTTCCAACATAATTATTGCCATGAAATCTTCATTCGGTGTTTTGACATGAATCAACGTTGAATGCATGTGTGTTAGCAGGAACCAAGGCATTAGTCTAGGCTTAAACTAGAGCACTGCTTTAAGTCTCTTTTAATGTATATATTACATGTTACTGTAAGGATATTTAGGAGGAGAATTAAGAGGAGCCTTAATTTGTTGGAGGAAGTGCCGTGGCTCTGCTGTGGCACTGGGTTTTGGACACCGTTTGCTTCGGTCGCTGGGAGTATGGCAACAACAGTGGGAAGAAGACCTGGGCTCAGCAGGTTGAAAACCACGGAAGCTGGATCCCAAAGCAAGGAAAATGGGTCACTTATATGCAGCTCCTCTGGGGTTAACTGCCGTTAACCTGTTTTAGAAAGGATCACTCAAGACGGGAGGCTTGGATTTGGCTCACCTTGGACATCATCCGAACACCTGCGTCGCCAGGTCCCACCAGCTTGTGTTCCCTGCTTGTCGGAAGCCCTGGGAAAAGAGAGGTGCTTTTCCGGAGTTTGAACTTGCAACTAGAATTGTAATCAGAAACAAAAATTTTGTATTTTTGTATACCTTGATTGTGCAGCATTTTTATATACAGGTCCTGTTTTACAAATAAATTTGGTTTCTTAACATGGTGTTTAAAAAGTTTTGTGGCTATTACTTCCCTCAGGCAGCTGCAATCTGCAAAAGACACTACTGTACAAATGGCAGCTGATGTGTGAACCCATGCCCCCAAGTCTTCATCCATGTGCAGGTGCTCTGGTCATGCTACCTGAAGCCCGGACACTTCTCAGATACACTTCTGAGTGTAGACGAATCCGTATACTTGGCCAAGTATTAATGTATTAGAACAGTAACCAATCAAATATTAGTAATTTCAAGAGGGGCTGTATTCTGTAAGACTTCAGCCCATCCCAGGAACATCAGAGGGCACAATGGCTATGTGTTTGGTGTTAAGAAAGTTGTTTTAAAAAAGAAATGTGTGCCCTTAACTTGTGTGTCTCAGCCCCTTCCAATTAATCGCTTAAAGTTTCAGATTCATAATCTAATGATTAAAACAATTAAATATTGCAGCCCTTCTGTGTTTTCTCAGTAGGGTAGGAGAGCTGGGACAAAATTCACATCTGGCTCTTTGGTTTCAGATAGTAAGTGGGCAGATGAGTCTAAAAAGCCCAAGACACAATTTTTCATGGCTATGGTGGCTCATTTACCAGCAGTAATGTATTTACTTCTGGATTCAGGGAGGTAGCCATGTTGGTCTGATGCAGTCGAAATATATAAAAAAATAAAAAAATTGTCCAGTAGCACCTTAGAGACCAACTACGTTACTTCTTGGTATAAGCTTTCGTGTACATGCACGAAAAGCTTAGAGTGTATCTGAAGAAGTGTGCATGCACACAAAAGCTTATACCAAGAACAAACTTAGTTGGTCTCTAATGTGCTACTGGACAGGGTTTTTTTATCTTTTATGTATTTACTTATGGTAAGTGTATACTGGATTCTGACTAAACTAAACCACCTAGAGAAAAAGCCTTGAGGAGAGTAGCTCCCCTGGTGCAAACCTGGTCTATATAACAGGTTAACCACATGCTAAAACTTTTCCAGGCTGAACTAATTCAGACTGCAGATAAGGGGTGGCATTTTCAGGCTTCCGCATGAAAAATATGGAAAGATAACACACTGGGGATAAAGCTAGACTTGAGCCATTCTCTTGGACCATCTAGTTTTCCGCGAATGGGCTTGTTTGGTTTCAGTGCAGAAGATAACTGACTCTTGTAAGTGACCACCTTCGGCCTGAAGTGGCACAGTCCAGGAACAATTCCACCATCTGATGAGCTGCTTGCCTTGATTGCATCTAAGGATTTGGCTCTATAGTTTGCAAGTGGGCAGAGAGGGAAGAGCTTGATGAGGTGGTATTCTAAGCTGCCTTCAATCAGCTCTGTGAAGCAACTTGGATTGATTTTGCCTTTCATCTTTAACAAGCAGAAAGCCTATCTGCCCTCCCAAGGTCTTTGTGAGTTTGCTAGAGGGCAAATAGCAGATGCGCTTCCAAAGCCAGCGCCCTGCAAGAAGCCCTAAGAGTAAATTGCTCCCCGCAACCCAAGGGGATGGGATGGGCTTATGACCCCATCCAGAGTTTTCCAAGCATAATTTTTTCAAAGCAGCCCCAGAGCGCTGTCTCCCTCACTTTGCTGTGCTCTGTTTTGAGCAGCTACCTGAATTGGTTCGGCAATAAACCAAGCTATTCACTGATTGGCGGGGCAAAGAGTTTGGCTCTGTTGCAGCCCAATCAGAGAAGGACTTGCCCATCTCCCATCTGTGTAGCCCTGTCTGCTCTGTAGGGCATTTCTGTCAACCTTCCTGGTGTATGCTTGCTCCATTTGCTCCTCCCCAATGGTCTAATTAACTGGAGCAAGCCGAGCGGAGCCATCTCCTGCCTCCTTTGTTTACCGCAAGCCACTTAAGCAAGGATTTCTCACCTAAAGGGTTTTAATTTATCGGAGAGTGTTACGTGCAGTCCAGACCATTGCGAAAATCCACTGAATTATGGATGGTTTTCATCACACCAGTCAAGCAACTCAGGCCTCCTGCATATGTTGGGGAACCACATGCTGTGGAACTAACTACTCCTAAATGAGTTTATTTCAACTGTCAAATGTCATTTTTAGGGTGGTGGTTTGAGGCACAGAGCATTCCGGAGTACAATACAATTACCGTTTTGGAGAGGAGGGGACCAGGACCAGAGGGTGTTTTCATAAGCAATTTTTAAAATATGAGATAGAAAGTGGAAGTGAGCCATGTTTAAACTGAACTAGCAAAATGTCCAGTGGTGGCTGATGAAGTACAGGATGCAGGGAAGGAGGGTAGCCTGCAGTTCCCGGCAGTGCTAGCTTTCTAAAAAAAGAAGTGCCAGAACTCACCATGGACACATCCCTTGTTCTCTTAGAATGGCAATGGTGTCCACCACCTGAGAAGTGCCAGAACTGAGTTCCAGAGAGTTTGGGCTGGGGAAAAAAGCCCTGGCTCTTGGCCAGATGATTAGTTCAGATCCTTGGCAAAATGACTGGCCATCCCCAAAGCAGAAAGAGGGAAGGGATGGTGAGAAAAAGAGGGATGAAGAGGAAGACGGCACATACAGTGGTACCTTGGTTCTCTAACTAAATCCGTTCCGGGAGTCCGACTCCTGAAACTGATTCAAAACCAAGGCGCGGCTTCCGATTGGTTGCAGGAGCTTCCTGCACTCAATCGAAAGAAAAACGTTCGCAAGCCTTCCAGGTTTCGGGAGCCGATTTCTTTGGGAGCCAAGCCATTCAAGTACCAAGGTACCACTGTACTATTGGCTCTGGTTGTGCCACTGCTGGCTTTTGCCTTGATGCTCATGGTTCTGTCCAACAGATCACTTCTCTCTCTTCCTCTCTTTCCCTCTCCAGAGGGAATGTGACACTTGACAGAAAATAAGGTTTTCCACCCCAGCGTACGGCAAGGGCCAATGTACCGCAAAGAACCTGGAGCATCCAGTGTAGTGATGGGCACAGAGGCACGTCACAGACCTCTTAGGTGGTGAACTTGCAGTTATCACTTGTTTCCCAAATACCGAGGCCAATATCATGCAAAAAGGGGGAGGGGAAAATCACATTCAACCTTAATCAGCACACCTGGTACCAACTTCAGTCCTGGCTAGTGTACTATCTGTACTTCAATGCTGGGACAGAGAGGAATGATGACCAGTTAAGCAGTGATGCTTGGGGTGGAAAAGACGGCGACTTTTGAAGCCTGCTTGAAGTTATAGGGGCCCATGTCATTTTAGTCTTGTTAGATGGCCTCTGTAAATGCTGAATGTCTTCCTGGTGTCCGGAACATCAAGTTTTGGGGGGAAACGGTTAGTTTTCAGTAGGTTTCAAGGTCTAGAATGCAATCTTTTTTCTACTTTGTCCCATGAAAGCCAAAGGTTATACTTAAGATCAGCCCTGAGATTCAGACTAAATATGCATCTTGCCCCTTGTGATTGCACGCTTTGCCCCTGTCTAGAATGTCATGAGTGCCATCGTGGACCATGCTTGCTGCAGTATAGCCCTCAACTTTATGGTCCCTTCATTTTTATTGCTGTTGTTGCTATCATGTGACAGAGCTCAGGAATGGGCCTTTACATACAGATGAACGTACATTTTTACCAATGGACCTTTTACATCAGCCAAGGGCAAAAGTTTAAAATAAGGTTAGCATTATTGTTATTACTACTATCAATATTGGGTGTATGGGGTGTCAGAGGAGGGGTAGTACCTCTGGTGGGGGACACATCGTGTTCCTTCTGGGGTAGTTTGTCCACCTTTGGTCCTCACCCTGCACTGAGCATTCATCTGTGGCTCCTAGAAGCTGCCAGCATGCAACGGTGACCACACCCCAGGAATGGCTTTGACAGGCTAGCTAAATCAAGAGAGGATAGCCAGTGGTTCTCAAACCCTTGGTGAGTTAGAGACATCCCCTGTATGTGAAAACAGGCTCCAGCAGATATGGATGGACAAGACCAATAGTAGGTCCAACGGTCAAGGGGGTGGTTTCTGCATGTAGAGGGGCAGATGGGGCTCATCAGCCTGGGAAGGTAGCCCATCTAGGAGAAGAAAAACTCTGATACTAAACCTCCACTACCTTGTGGCCATACTCATCCACGAGAAAGGTTTCAGGAAAGAATGGCTAAGGAAAAATCCATACCCACTGCCTTGCCTCCTGCCATGGGCCAGGAGTCGGCTTCACTTGCTCAGAATTGACTCCACCTGCTGCTGATCAGCCTTCTTGCTGAAGAAGAGGCTCCAGCTTTCTTAAGCAGGGTTTCCAGCCTCAGTTACCGTATTTTTCGCCCTATAGGACACACTTTTCCCCCTCCAAAAATGAAGGGGAAATGTGTGTACGTCCTATGGGACAAATGCAGGCTTTCGCTGAAGCCTGGAGAGCGAGAGGGGTTGGTGGGCACTGACCCCTCTCGCTCTCCAGGCTTCAGGAAGCTATCCGCAAGCCCTGGGAGCCCGGCGGGAGTTCCCGCCGTGCTTCCTAGGCTTGTGGATAGCAGCCTGCATCCCGAAGCCCGGGGCGCGCTGAGTAGCCTGGGGAGCCCGGCGGGAGTTCCCAAGGCTTGCGGATAGCAGCCTGTTCTGGGGGCTGGGGTCGGGGGAAGCTCGGGGAAGCCCGCGCCTTGGGGGGGAAATAATTTTTTTTTCTTTATTCCCCCCCCAAAAAAAACTAGGTGCGCCTATGGGCCGGTGCGCCCTATAGGGTGAAAAATACGGTATTTGTTGGAAACAACATTCATCATTCCTGGCCAGACGTTGCTGCTTCTTGTGACTTGGACCCTTGGCTTTCCTGGCCCCGGTCATCTGACTATGTGAACTGAGATACTCCTGACCTTAGGATAGGACTGGACTGCACCTTGTATACAGACTCTGCCTCCAGGCAAGTACCCCCCTGAGACTCGACTGGTTGACTGGCTTCTCCCTCCACTGAGCTCTGCTGTGGCTGACAGCATAGGGCTACGACACCTCCACTTCGGGAGAATAAAAGGTTAAACCAGGCATAGGCAAACTTGGCCCTCCAGATGTTTTGGGACTACAATTCCCATCATCCCTAACCACTGGTCCTGTTAGCTACGGATGATGGGACTTGTACTCCCAAAACATCTGGAGGGCCAAGTTTGGCCATGTCTGGGCTAAACCCTACAGAAATCTATTATTATTTTTTTAAATGATATTTATTAAAGTTTCACAAAGAAAAAATCACATCAACAAAAAAGAAAAATTCAAGAATATAAAGAAAAGTACACAAACAAAATACAAAAAGAAAAAAGAAAAAATAGTTAAAAACAATTCCTTCTTTTCATCACTACTTTTACATTTACTTGTTTCCGGACCTCCTCATACCTCCCTCTTTTGTATTCCAATTCAGTTTGTTAGTCCAGCAATTCCTTTCCCTCCTTTTTAATCCCAGTCCTTAATCTTAATATAATATAACATTAAAATTTTACCTATTAAAAACCAATTTTCCATTCTTTTATCTTTTTAATCCTAATCCTTAATCTTAATCTATTTATAACTTTAAAGCCTATACAGCTAGAAGCCACTTAATTTCAATCCAAAATCACTCTAACATTCATTAATTTTGCAATATTTCTGTAAATATTCTTTAAATTTCTTCCAATCTTCTTCCACCAACTCTTCTCCCTGGTCACGGATTCTGCCAGTCATTTCCGCCAGTTCCATGTAGTCCATCATTTTCATCTGCCATTCCTCCAGTGTGGGTAGCTCTTGTGTCTTCCAATACTTTGCGATGAGTATTCTTGCTGCTGTTGTAGCATACATGAAGAAAGTTCTATCCTTTTTTAACACCGGTTGGCCGACTATGCCCAGGAGAAAGGCCTCTGGTTTCTTCAAGAAGGTATATTTAAATACCTTTTTTAATTCA